ATATATTTATATACTACTAAATAAACACTCTAGCTAACAGTGATAGGCCCTACCGTCCCGCAACCCTACGCGCCCAACTCCAATCCCTGCTCTCCCTCTCCCCCCAAAACACCATCCTCCTCACCCTCTTCGCCTGGTCCTTCCAATCAACCTTTTCCCTGCACGACCCTGTGCGCGAGCACCTCGACTCCATCACCTCTCGACGACTACACAAGCTTCTTGACTCGGCCGAACCCAACAATAACACCCCCGACCAGGCCCTAGGAGATGACTCCGACACAGCCCTAACCCTCCAAACCCTCCGCTTCACAATCTCCCATGCCGCTCGCCGCCCGGGACCAACCTTCCACGCTGTGCGTGCCGCATTCGAGGCGGCGTTATCTACCACCGAAGACCCCCATTCATCTTTTGTTGAAGATATCACTGCCCACCAATACATCTACACTTCACCACCCCCTATCCATACCCCCGACCTCTGGCTGCAATACCTCCGCCTCGTAGCCCGCCACGCGGAGCAGGAACTCCGCCGCCGCAACCTTAGCTGTAAATCACGGCACGGAAAATCCAACACGAAGGAGGACAAGAGGAAAGGGGGGAGGTGAAAGAAGTCAAGGAAGCGAAAGAGGTGTTTTACAGGGCAGTGGCTGCGTGTCCGTGGGTGAAGGAGGTGTATATGGCAGCGTTTGAGGAGCCTTTGGTGGAATGGATGGAAAAGGGGGAGTTGAAGGGAGTGGGGGAATGGGTTGTGAAAAGGGGGATGAGGACTTGTGGGGATTTTGGAGCGATGGGGGTTTGGGACTCGAGGAAGGAGGGGGAGGGAAAGGTAGGGATGGGGGAATAACGAAGAATGTGTAGCGGTGAAGTTGAGAATAAGGCTAGGTGGTTAGCGAAGCGTACATATATACAAGTAATCGAGACTGCTGTCAATTTACCCTGACAGTCATTGTGGTATCTAAATCCTGTTTGACTCAATCATCACAAAGGACCAGCCCCTCATCTCTTCGATGTCCTCCTTTTTGAAACGTCCAGGCCGATGAAACTGGGCCGCATCTTCTTCATCACAACGTCATCTTCCAACCCTTCATGGAGGAGGGAGCTTATACAACAGCTGCGCCTTCTGTTGCAGCTATGTATGCTATGTAGAATACTTACCGACCTACCCCGAAACAGGTTTCTCTTTCTTCCCTCCCTTCCCCCTTCCCCACCCCCCCCCCCCGGGGCGCCGCCGGGCCCCCGTCCGGTAACAGTGTTTGGAGGAGCTTGACGTGTACGATGCTACTACTATAGGTAGGTACCTTTCTGTCGTTGACAACTTCCTTTACGGGAAAAAGTTATTGCAAGCATGATGTGGCAGGGCCCGGGAGACCAGGCTCCGACCCGTCACATCAAGTCCTAGGTAGGTAGGTATGGATGTCACATAACGGAGAAGGGCCTATTTCCACTAATGCTTACAAAATAATTGGGAAGACCAAAAGATAAGCAAGCTAGATAGTGCTCTCAATGAAAATGCATTTAATCCCCCCCCTTTCTCCTTTACTATCTCTATCTCTTAACTACATCCTAGAGGCCGAGCTGTCTGCAATTCCGTTCCCCCCCTTTCTCCCCCGGGCTATTTTTCATAGCCTTTCTCCATGTACGTATGCCTGATGCGATGCCTTAATTGAAATCACCTATTCTGCGTTTCCCATTCCTTGGGGTATCGCTCCATGTGCTCTGTGCTGTCTGTATCAATGCCTTCCGTATGGCTTATGTGTTATGTGCTATGTTCTCTTAAGCCTCTTTCCCTTCCCCATTCCCTCCCCCCCCCCCCCCAACACTTGGAGTAAAAGAAAGAAGCATTGTCATTTCAATGATACATGTTATGCTATGATACAAGCCAGTAAGCCAGTGTGTTGACCGTGTTATGTAACTGGTCTGTCGGTCTGTCAGTTGTTTTAATGTCTGAATGTCTGTCCATGGATGCCATATAGATGGTTGACCGTAGCCATCCGCCTGTTTGTTTAGAAAGCGTTTTAAGTACCATGAATAGGCCCTGCCGAGAGACCAAACCCAGCAGCATCGCGAAAGTGAAAGACGTGTCGTGCTGTTAGTATACGTAACCTCATCTCATCCCAACCGATTCATCCTTCTTATATCCCATCATATCATCCCCCACTTGGGACCCGATCCCTCAGAAACCCAGAAACCTTCACTCCCCCTTACTCCCCTTCTTATGCACATGCTCATGATGATGATGTTCATCATCACTCCCCTCCCCCTCCGGCTCGGGCGTATCCCTAACCGGAATAAACTCATCTCTACCCCCGTAACTCTCCACCCCCTTCGGCACAAACCTTACCCGCAACTTTCTCACTCCCCTAACCTTGGTCCCGACCCGTGCGCGCACCGCCTGCTCCACAGCACGCACTTCCTCGACTGTCCACAGCGCCGGCACGGCCAGCTCTACATCCACCAAATAATTCTGTCCCGACTTGACGCCGGTGATCTCCCTCAGCTCAACCTGCTCACCCTGGAAGGCCATCTTCTCACCACTATTCACCGGGGTCGGGTTAAGTAAGGCCTTGCCCACTTGCTTTGCGATCGAATCGCGCACCTCATCATCGATCGAGCGGTCGGCGAGTTCGTACAGCGCGGAGAGGGTGTTGCCAACACCGGCGCGGATGACCAGCAGGGAAATGAACAGGCCGCCAACGGGGTCCAGCCAGGTCGCGTCGTGGATGAGGTTGGCACCTAGGATGGCGATGAGCGCGACGATGCCAGTGAGGGAGTCGACGCGGTGGTGGACGGCATTCGAGGCGAGGACGGAGGATTTGCGTTCGCGGGCAACTTTCATTGCTGGATACAGACAATAGGTTAGTTGGGGTAAAAAACACAAAAAAAAGAAAGAAAAAAAAAGAAAAGGGGGAAGTAGGGGGAAAGGAAGTAGGAAAGGAAGTAGAAAGGAAGTAGGAAAAAGGAAAAGTGAAAAGAAAGTACATACTAGCATGATATAACCACTCCTTAATCGCAACCGTCCCTGCTGCAAGCCACGCAGCATGAAGACTCGGCCCGCCTTCACCATGATGGTGATGATGATGGTGATGATGATGAGCATGCGAATGGCCATGACCATGCTCCAACAGTGCCGCAGCCGCCTCGGTATCCAAGAACCAGTGTGCATATAATGACTGGCAGCTGCTGATGCACATGAAGATGCCGCCGAATAGCAGCATGGAGGAGACGCCCAGCGAGCCGAGACTTTCAACCTTGCCAAAGCCCAGCGGGAAGTTTTTGGTAGGCGGGCGCAGCGACCAGGAGACTGTTGCGAGAGTCAGGATATCGGAGGCCAAATCAGTAAGGGAGTGCCAGGCGTCGGCAATCATGGACTGCGAGTTGAAGATGTAACCACCGGCGCCCTTGGCGATGGCCATGCCTAGGTTGGAGTACAGGCCGATGCGAGTGATGCGCACACCTGCGTCATGTTTATTCGAAGAAGTCAAGTAAACGTTGTCGTGGTGATGGTGATGGCCGAGCAGGCCGTGATGGTGATGATGACCGTGGTCATGGTCGTGGTTATGATCATGATTGTGTTCGTCGTGGGAGTGGTCGTGATGACCACGCATCTGCGAAGTCGTACACATTTTGACAGTCGTCGCAGTCTCGGACTGCAAACGCGTCGGCAGCAAAGTCAATGATTCGGGATGTAGAGAACGACGTATCCTGGCCGTGAAAGCGCAACAGGGTGAGAGGGTCTGGAAGACGCGGATGGAGATGTGCTGGAGAGGCGGAGGACAGGATCTTGTCACGGCCAAGGGGCCATGGTGGTCAATAAAACGGGGGCCGATCCCGTTAGCTGTGGCTTGCCGTGCAGGCGCTGGAGGGGCGGCCAGATAGCTCCGTGCCCTTCTCGGATGGAGCTGCGCCGTCGCTTGTGTGAGCGTCCAGGTCCCTGGTGTCCCATGGGTCCCGGCAACGGTAACCGTCCGTGGTAGCCGTAGCCGTGGTGACGCGGCAGGCGTTGCACACGTACCCAGGCGCACCAGCCGTGAGCCGGGGCGCCTGCAGGCTAGCAGAGGCATAAAGAGGTTGCTGCAAAACTATGTTTTGGAGTATAAGTAATTTTTTTTGCTGTTTTTTTTTTTAAATTTTTTTGGGTAAGAAACTGCGCGAGATCGCACGAAGCGTGAGAACGATTGACGGTCGGATTAATTTCGTCGCAGGCTGCTATCGTTATCCCAGGGTAAAATGCGAGTCGTCTAGATATCGGTCGCACAGCAGGGAGTGTGGGAGGGAGAAGGGAGTGTGAGAGTAAAAAAAAAAGGTTTAATATAAATAAGTGGAAGTGGTCGGTACCCGAATTGGTTGTAGTTGAGGTTTGTAAAATAAACGGCAGGCACGGCGATGCAGGATAATAACACGCACGAGGCGGCGCCGCCGATGGGACAATAGGAAGAGAGTCTCAAACCGGCGAGCGACCGATGTGGACGTGGACGTGAAGGACCGAGAGAGGGCAGGAAGTGGACGATGCCGTCAATGCAGCGATCAAAGGCAGAATGCAGGGAACTTAACCCATGGATATGGATACGGATAATCCGTAGAAAGACAAGACGTCAAAGGAATTGACCAATGGCTGCGCTGCAGCCTCAATGTCAAAGCATGAAACCCGACACTTTCAAAAGAAAAAAAAAAGTTTAAATGACTTTAGATATCTGGATCCCAAAGGTCAGCCACTTCCACTGCCAGCCAGACCTCTCCGATCCCCATCCTCCAAGGCCCAAGGGACGCAGCCAGCCCGGCCAGGAAACATCTGGACCCCTCTTCTGTGGGACGCTGGCGCACTGCGACGTCGTCTCATCGCGGGACTTGCCTTGCAACGCTTCCGAAATCGCACCACTTTTGCGTCTGCCACTCTTTCGTTTCTTGCTGTGCAGATCTGCATTGCTGTAATTCTGGAGGGGCAGCGCACGGGCCAAGGTACGTATCAGTCACGTGCTGGATTGTGGAGAAAAGCGACGATGTTGGGGGAGGAGGGCCATGGACAAGGGGAGAAGGGGAGTAAGAGTCACGTGTATTAGAATAAAATCACGTGAACGGATGCAAAGGAAGTAAGGACGCCACAGGCGCTGGGGCTAGAGGCGCAAGGGAAGTGGCTGCACAGACCAGCAACACAGACCAGCGACACAGACCAAGCAGCCGGTCAGTGACACGAGACCGCTGGACCTCAAGTGTGGCTTACGGCACGCCACAACGCCACATTGGACCCGCGAAGCCGGCTCAGCCTTGCTCATCGACATCATTGAGCAGAAGCTCCTGACAAGCAGCTCACAAAAGTGAAGCCATCTCACTAACCTCGCAATGATTCAACAAAGTCAATAAATTCATTATTTTTTTTTTTTTACAAATACACATACAAAATACATCGAAATATTTTACACCCAAGCCAAATGACCACCCGCAAACCCCTCCTCCGCATCCCCTACACCACCCCCCTTCCGCCGCCCCCAATCCTCCCTTCCACGGCAACCTCCCTTCGCGGCGCAGTTGCTGCCCTCGCGCACTTCCTTCACGCCGCCCCGCCCCGCCCCGACCTCCCCCTCTCGACTGTAGTCCTCACAGGCGCAGGCCTCTCCGTCGCCAGCGGGCTCGCCGACTACCGCGGAGCAAAAGGCACCTACCGCGTGAACCGGACGTATCGACCGATCTATTATCACGAGTTCTTGACGAGTCATGAGGCGAGGAAGAGGTACTGGGCGCGGAGTTTCCTGGGGTGGACGACACTTCGTGATGCGGAGCCGAATGCAGGGCATTATGCGATCGGGGAGTTGGGGAAACTGGGATTTGTGCGCAGCGTGGTGACGCAGAATGTGGATTCTTTTCATAGGAGGGCGCACCCTGATCTCCCGACGCTGGAATTGCATGGGAAGCTACGCGCCACAGTGTGCGTGTCGTGTGGGGGGGAGTTTGAGCGGGAGCTGTTCCAGCAGGAATTGGCGAGGTTGAATCCGGTGTGGGAGGGGTTTTTGCGAGAGGTGTTGGAGAGCGGGGCGTTGAGGACCGAGGATCCGTTGGAGAAGAGGGAGCGGGGGTTGAGGATGAATCCGGATGGGGATGTGGAGGTGCCCGGTGCGCCGTATACTACGTTCAGGTATCCGGCGTGTCCGAAGTGCTTGATGGATCCGCCTTACGGGGAGGATGGCAAGAGATTGAGGGTCGAGGTGGATGATGATGGGGCGTGGAGGGCGGGGAGTGAGGCGGGGGTGTTGAAGCCGGCGGTGGTGATGTTTGGGGAGAGTATAGCACCAGAGGTGAAGCAGGCCGCTGAGGAGGCGATTGATAACGCCGGGAAGTTGTTGGTGCTGGCTACCTCGTTGGCGACGTACTCGGCCTGGAGGCTGGCGAAGAGGGCGAAGGACAGGGGTATGCCCATCGCGATTGTGAATATCGGTGGTGTCAGGGGAGAGGAGGTGTTCTTTGCTGACGTCAGTCCCGACCAGCCGGGTAGCCAGGGCGCGAGAGTGGAGATGTCGACCGAGGAGTTGTTGCCGGCGCTTGTGCAGGAGCTTCGCGGGGTATCGTCATCGTCGTCACATGTCGTGTCGACTGAGAGGAGCGAGGGCTCTGTGTTTAGGAATATGTTACAATAGATTACATGCCGAAAATCTCCATATTCGGTCGGCGTGGAAACTCTTGGAGGCTCAGTAGAAACCCTCGCTGGCGATGGCACTCTGGACCTTGGGCTTCGCTGGTTCGGCCGCAGCGGGGGCTTCGTTCTTCTTAGGAGCTAGAGGTGGTGTCACGGCCTGCGCCTGCTTCTTGCGCTGACTCCGAGTCGCATCCTCGCGCTCAAGCTCTTTCAAGGCTGGACCGTCCAATCAGCATAGGGTCTCTTTGATTGTTCGTTCTTTTTTTTTTTTTTTTTTTGTCGCAGACCTACCCTCTTCCCATTCGCGCTCCTTCTCGGCGTCGCCCGTGCCCAGAACCTTCTCAACATCAACCTCTTCGCCATTCTGTAGCTTCTCGACCACCTCGCGCAGCTGGCCGATGCGCACATCCGCCCGGCGCATGAATGCCGCCTGATCCTTCTTTAGCGCGATCATCTGGATGGACATGGACCCGATAAACAGGAACATCCAGATGAAGTATGTCGCGGGGTTCCATCCCTTCTTGACCTTGACTTTTCCGGTCTTCTGGCGCTCGCGCAGCGGCTTGGGGACTAGGCTTTTCCAGAACTCGGGAGCAGCGATGGTCGTCGAGGAGCGAACTGGGAGGATTAAACCTGGGAGGAGCGGTCGAGGGGATTTTGTCACCAGGATGCGACGGAATGCTGGCGCCAGGAGAAGAGCGGGTCGTTGCGCTGCGAGCATCGTGGTAATTGGATGAGTTGACGACTGCGACAGTCGGTCGATTCCAGCGGCGATGATGCCGATGCCTTCGAGTTCAAATTCTCGAAGTCGATCTCAAAATCATTGAAGAGTCGAGCCCCACCAGAGCTTCCACATGTCTCTTCAGATGTGGTCCGTGCACTTGCATCCGCCGTAGTGGGGCTGGCCCCACTTTCGTTGCCGGGTCAACCAGTCTAGTTTTGCGGCGTGGGGTCAACAACCGTGTTCGGCAAAGCTGTCGTCGTGACCCCTGCTGAATGCCAACTTTGACCCTCGACGTGCCTGCCTGGGCTGAACCCGATCTGCGCCCTGTTTGATCTCACCGACCGCTGTTCAGAGACACGACACGTCTAGACACTACCTAAACAACACTTAACACATCACCACCCGGCAACGACACAAACGCGTCGGAGTGTTTTGGATAGACCGTGCATGCGGCGGCCATGATATGATTAAGGATCAGCTCTAACCTTTTTTGCTCTCTTCTTTGGACCACACGCCACATTTTCAGATCCCACTTCGTCTACAACTCCCGCTACGGCCACTGCTACCCCACTAGTCACTGTCATGGACTCGCTCCAAGCGCAGGCCGACGCTGTCCGCAGCGCGGTCACCTCCGTGACGACATGCTCGCCGGCGACGTCATCACTCCTCAAAACTCTGCTTCTCGACATCAACAATAGCGCTACTATCAACAGCGATTCCGACTCACGACCTTCATCTAAAACTTCAAATTCGCGATCCCGAGCCAGCACAAACACCCGCGCGCCTTCACGACGCGGCAAATGCGACTCGCCCACGCCAACCAGCCTCTCTCCCCGCGAGAAGGCTGCTCTTGCGACCCACGTCGTCAACGCGGCGCTTAAGGCACTTGCCGAGGCCGCAAAGACTGCTTCGCCAGCTCCAGCACCAGCCAACAGCGAGCCATTGTCACCGGCAAGGCAACAAAAAGGACAAGAAGACAGCGACCTGGTCAAGACGGTCACCAAGAACAATGCCGCTGCTATACGCCGGTCCAGTTCCGCGCCGATGTCGCCTCTTCAGCCTAGGTCGCTTAACAGGCAGACGACGCCGCCTGCACCGACGGGCAGTCGGCCCCCTTCGAGAGGGAGCAATCATAGTACTAACAACAACAACAACAACAACAGCAGCAGCAGCAGCAGCAGCAGCAGCAGCAGCAGCAGCAGCAGCAGCAGCAGCAGCAGCAACAGCAACAACAACAGCAACAGCAACAGCACGAATGTGAACTTGCTCGCGACAGTCGAATGTGCCCGCGTGGCGCTCGCCGCGCTGCGACAGTTGCCGTCGACAGGCAAGATCTCGCCTCCCGAGTTACAACTAGAGTCAGGCATGTCAGCTTTGATCGGCCGGTTGATTACCCTCGGCCTACACGAGCAGGCTATTAAAGAGTTGCGGATCCTGAGGAAAAAGCTCGACACTTCCAGCGACAAGAAGACTTCCTCGAAGTCAACCGAAGCGAAAACAACAACAACAACAACAGCAGCCCAAGTCTTCACAGAAATCCTCGATTTCGGCTCCGTAGCAGCAACAGGCGCAAAACTCCTCCTCATCATCCAAACCCAACTCCACGCCCTCCGCATCCTTGCCACCACCACCTTCACCTCCAAGAAGCCCTCCACTATCGCGGCCATCCTGCCCCTCCTCCGTCTCGACTCCCACACCTCCCCGCTCAACCTCTTGCTTACAGCCTCCAAAGAAAAAGGCGCCGACACGGCGAAAATAGCCCGCCACACCGAAACCCTATCCCAAGTCCTGCTGGCACTCACCCCTTCCGTGTCAAGCAAAGACGACACCCTTGCCCTCGAGCCCAGACTCTCCATCCCCCCGCTAGCAGCCCTCGAGCTACAAGCCCTTGCGCTCGAAGCAAGGATAGAGTGGTGGCGACTGGCAGGCCACAAGGGCGATGCAGAAAAAGACATTATGATCCCGCTGTCGCGGTGCTTGGCTGCGTTTGCCAGGCGGAGTCAGGACCGGTCGCGCGAGGCGTGGGGGGTTTGCGTGCGGGCTTTTGAGAGGGTTTATAAGGGGGTTAAGAACCTGGGGATGAGCGTCGCGAAAGGGGGGAGGTCTGCTTTGGCGGGGGTGTTGCAAAGTTTGGTTACTGTTGCCAAAGAGGGGGGGTTAATTACCGAGGGGGTGACGTGGGCGGGGAGGTTGGTTGAGGTTGTGGGAGCTGAAAAGGAGGGGGTTAAGTTCTGTAGCTTGCAGGCGCAGGTTTTGGGGCTAAAGCTTAAGGCGCCGGAGAGGTTTTGGGGGGCTGAGGAGGATGCAGAGTTGAAGAAGGTGATGGAGTGTATCATGGGCCCATTGAGGGGAGACACGGCGGAGTTGGATGAGTTGTTGGGGTGTGTATGTGGCTTGAGGAAGGGGGCGATGCAGGTTTTGCTTGCTGCCATGCGGGACAACAACAACAGCGGCAGTGAAGAGGCGGAGTATAAGCCGTCCCCAGAGACTCGGCAGCTGCTGGAGTCCTTCGTTTTGCAATGTCCCCGGTTCTGTCTCCGCTGGCTAGGCAAACCCCCCGGCTCGAGGGGCAACACAAAAGACTACCTCCGCTACGACCAGCGCCGGCAACTGTTAACCCAATACCTCCCGCACGTCCTGGACTCCTCCCTCCTCCTGATCAAAACCCTCCTCGACCACGGCACGCCCGCCTGGGAGCAGATCGACGCCATTCTATCCGACTGTTCTACCCTCCTCGAGTACACTCCCCTCCCGGACTCCTCTTCGCCGTCATCATACTACGTCAAGATCTCCCACTTCCACTACCTCCACTTTATCTCTCTGCGCCAGCGCTCCTCCAACCCCCAGGACGTTGGCCCCCTAAGGGCATTGCGCAAAGCAGTCGACGTTGTCAAGCACCGTTCTAAGCCTGAGAAATCGGCCGCGAAACTCACGCTCAAACTAGAGCGTCTCGCTGACCTGTGCCGATCCCTGGGGCGGATTGATGAGGCGCTTTCTGCGCTGCAGGCTTTGCGCTCGAGTCTGGTTGAAGACGGCGTGCTTAGGAAGATTGCAAGGCGGTTGCAGACGGAGAGTCCGGTGGTGGTGTGGAATAGGGATGAGGGTGCCTTGCCCCTGGGACGGTGTTTGGTTGGGATTGGGAGGTTGGAGACCGTATGGGTGGATTGGACGGTTGAGTTGGAGGAGGAACAGGAAAGGGGGGCGGTGTTGGAGTGGTGGGTTAGGGTTGGGGTTTTGGGGAGAGGAGAGGAGGTTGGGTTAGGACATGCGGTTGTGGAGAGGTTGTTGGGGGTTTATATCCCTACGAAATATCCGGTGCGCAGGTTGAGGGTGTTGTTGTTGGTGTTGTGTGCGGTGTTGGGGGACGGGAAGACGGCGGGAGAGGTGTTGGCTTTGGCGAGAGAGGCTTCCCGGGTTGCTTCTGGGGATGATCTGGGCGAGGACAAGGGGTTGGCGTCCTTTCTGCCGCATCTCAAGACCCTTTGTGCTTCCCTGGAGGCAGCAGTCGACGAATACCGCGACATTCGCGCCGTTGAGCAGTGCCTCACCTCCTGGCGTGGCATCGTCTCCTCTTGCGAGGACAAGAACACCCTCGAACAATCTATCGACGACGTCCCTGGGCTCCTGGAACACCTCCAAGCGGTGGCAGATTTCCATCGCATGAAGGGGCGCGAGACAATCCTTATCTCGGTGCTGGAGCTGATGGCCGACATCTCCCGTCTCGCCGAAGGCCCCAGAGCAGAGGACGTCATTGTCCACGGCTCAACCTTCGGCTTGCAGCTGACGAATCTGGGACGGGCAGCCAAGGCAGAGGAGGTCTTTCGTAAGATGGGGGAGTACCTCGCTTCTCTGCAACCGCAAGACTCATCTGACAATGCTGCGGTCGGCGAGGGCGCGGTTAACTACCATCTTGCCATGGCTGAGCACTTTGTTGCGTTGGGCCAGATACGGCAGGCCGAGGAGCACCTTGCTCTGGCGCACAATGCGGCTTCGGAGGAGGGGGCCGTGCAGAAGTATGGCAAGGTCGAGAGGAGAAGGTTAGTTGCGAGGGCGTGCTATCTTTATTCCGTGGTAGCCCTGGAGAGGGGAGATTCCCATCTGGCGCTGGTGTACGCAAGGGAAAGTGTGAGGAACTTGTTTTCGGAGTGGGCGAGGCTCGAGGCAAAGATGTCTTCTTCTTCTTCTTCTTCTTCTTCCCCCACAGAAACTCGACAAGAGCAGCAGCACCAGGACGACCCCGATGCTATGGACATCGATGCCGCTCCTCCTGCTCTTGAGTCCACTAGAACACCAAAACGAGACGCCCAACACACCGCGGCAGGCCCCGAGTTCTGGCGTCTCTTCTGCTCACTGCACCGCAACATCTCCTGGCTGTCTGCCGTTTACGCTCACCTCGGTCTATTCAACGAAACAATGTACTATGCCGAACAGGCGCTGCGCATGGCGAACCTAATTGGCTCCGAGTTCTACTCTGCGCAAGCGGCGGCATGGATCGCGTCGGTTGCGTGGCGTGCCGCGGACGTTCAAAAGGCGGGCGAGATGCTCCGGCAAGTTATGGCGGGTCTACTGGAGAAGGATGGCGGGTGTGAGTATGCCCGGGCGGTGCTTGCTTGTCGCGTGAGTGAGACGGCGCTGGCGCAGGGGGATTTGGAGAGTGCGAGGAGGCTGCTGGAGTGGGCGGAGGGGGTTGTGAGGGGGATTGCCATGGGGGGGCAAAAAGAGGTTGTGACGGTTGAGGTTGCGGAAGAGTACGAGGGGAGGAAGGCCCCTATTAGGGCGACCAGGACGAGAAAGGCGACTACAAGGGCGCAGAGTACCACGAGGAAGGGGGCTATGCGGTCAGCGAAAGGGAAATCGGCTTCGACTACGACCACGCCGTCTAACTCTAGGCCGGGTACGCCCGAGGTCAAGGAGGAGGACGCACTGCTCGCGAAGCTAAAAGCGTACATCCTCGTGCAGAAGGCGAGTATGATGCTCAGGCAAAGGGATTGGGCCGCCGCGCAGCAGGTCCTGTCTGAAGTCCCTGCTCCAGCAGTGCAGTCCAAGTCATCCAGCTTCCTGCCCGCCCGCCATCTCGCCATGGCAGCCTGCCTCCTAGGCATGAGCATGGACCAGATGGCTCATGACCCCGTCTTTTCGGTCATTCAAGACTCGACCATCTCTTTCCCTGCTCTTTCAGGTTCAGGCAGCGTCTTGCTTGCGGGCAAAGGGTCACCCGTCAAAGCAGCTGCTTCGCCGGTCGTCACATCGCCCAGGAAGCCAGACTTGCCGACGACGACGAAGACGACGACGACCACGACCGAGACCGACCCCCGCGTGTATGTCGAGCACCTCAAGTCTGCGCATGATTATCTTCTCGAGGCGCATGCCGTGGCCGCGCTGAGCGGCGATGCCAGTCTGGTGCATCGCATCTCGGGAATGCTGCAGAATGTGGGTTTGATACTCACCGCCACGTCGACCAAGATCCGGCCTGCGGCTGTTCCATCGGCGCAGACGGCATACTCAGTTGAGCTGGCGAGGAACCTTACCTGGCGACGGGAGAGGAAGGCCCTGCTGCAGGAGAAGAAGGGTTTGGTGAATGGGAATGGGACAGAGATGACGAGCGTGCAGTTCCCCCCGCCGCCCAACCTGGCTGCGTCTGCACCAAGAAGGTCCAGCTTGGGGTTTACGCTGGATTTGCACCGCATTCAAAGGGATTACATCGACCTCGTTCCCAAGCACTGGCACGTCATTTCGCTTTCGCTGTCGGACGGCGGACACGACCTTTGCATAACCCGCCTACAAGCAGGCCAGGCCCCATTTGTCTTGCGGCTACCGCTCGAAAGGGCAAGTTCGCGAGACTCTTCCGTCGACGAAACCGACGTCTTCGACTTCCACACCGGCCGCGCCGAGCTGCTGGAGATCATCAAGGAAATCAACCGGACGTGTCACGACTCCCGGGATATGGCCGCCAAGGGGGAGAGGGAAAAATGGTGGGCTGAGCGCGAGGCGCTGGACCAGAGGTTGAAAGAGTTGCTGATGAATATTGAGCATGTGTGGCTCGGCGGGTTCAGGGGCGTCTTCTCGCAGCATGGGAGGAGGCCCGAGTTGTTAGAGAAGTTTCGGGCGATGTTTGAGGGAGTGTTGGATAAGCATTTGCCTTCGAGGAGGCAGGTTGGAAGAGGTAAAAAGGGAAAGGGGGTCGCGGGGCAGACGAAAGTGGTGTTGGATGGGAATGTGTTGGAGCTGTTTATTGGGTTGGGGGATGCGACTAAGTCAGGGGCGGATTTTGATGAGGAGCTGACGGATTTGCTCTACTTCGTCGTCGACATCTTGCAGTTCCATGGGGAGAGGAACGCGTACGACGAGATCGACTTTGATTCGATGGTTGTTGAGACCATGGATGCGTTAATGGCGTATCATGCCGAGGCGAATGCTGCCCCAGAGTCGGATTCGCACGCTCACACCATCCTTGTCCTCGACAAGCAGCTGCATGTCTTCCCCTGGGAGTCTCTCCCCTGCTTGCAGGGCCTGGCTGTCAGCAGAATCCCGTCGCTGGCCTGTCTGAGGAAGTTACTTCTCGACCGCAGGCGCTCGTCCTCTCAGATCCAGGGCGAAGACTCCGAAGAAGAAGACCCCCGCTCCGCCGGCCATCACGCCCCCCTCTCCGGCGGCACATATATCCTCAACCCCTCGTCAGACCTCCTATCCACGCAGAAAACTTTCGAATCCCTCTTTTCCACGCACCTCCATTCCCCCAACTCCTGGACACGTATAATCTCCCGCCCCCCCACTGAACCCGAATTCCTCTCTGCCCTCACCCACTCCCCCATCCTCCTCTACTTTGGCCACGGTTCCGGTGCGCAGTACATCCGCTCACGGAACATCCGCCACTTGGACCACTGCCGGGCTACCGTCCTGCTCATGGGCTGTTCCTCGGCGGCCTTGACTGCCAAGGGCGAGTTTGAACCCTCCGGCCCGGTCTGGAATTATATGCTTGCCGGGGCGCCGGCCGTGGTGGGCACGCTGTGGGATGTAACGGATAGGGATATCGATCGGTTTGCCGGGGGGGTGTTGGAAGGGTGGGGGGTGCTGCCGGAGGGCTGCATGGGGGAAAAGAATGGCAAGAAAAAGGCGGGAAGAAATGGGTTGAGTTTGGTGCAGGCTGTGGCAAAGGCGAGGGACAGGTGTCGGTTTAGGTATGTCACGGCTGCGGCGGCGGTGGTGTATGGGATTCCGGTTTATGTGGATGTTGATGGGAAGTCGAAGGACTGAAAAGGTTCGACGGGTTCTTTGAGTTGCTATTGGAATGGAGTGGGATGAAAAAAAAAAATTGGTTGGGTCTTATGGGAGGAGTTTTGTGGGTACAGGATAGGCTCGTGCGGGTTTTTGTTGTTACTAGGTTTAGGATTATGCACGCGTATATGTTATTGTATGGTCTATATGTCAATGGTTGTGGATATGATATCATGGCTGTGTAGGTACATGATAGTTTATAGTGAGTAATGATGATGAGTGCCCGGTTACTCCAATTCTCAGCTACGTTTTCCGGTGTGAAGTGATGGTCTTCGAACCTCGAGCATGGAAAGAAAAGGCTTTGCTTCCATGTATGTATGTAAAAAGCCTGCCCCCCTTTTTCACTCTCTGTTAATGTTGCATTTGTCATGTTATCTTGGCCCCGTCACTGGACACTTTTCAGAAGGCTCAAAAGGCACAGACCTTAGTCTGTTCTTCATCAAGGACCCGTATCTAGGAGTGGCGTTAGCTCAACGGATTACCCAACCCCAGAAACTCCCGTCATGCCACCACTTTCTGAACATCCTCTGAATCATCACCTCCACGGGTCCCCCAGGATCTGTCTCTCCTTCTCATCTTCGATATCCCCCTCCCGGTCTTTGATCCCAGCTAACGTAAATCTTGGCTCCCCGCCTTCCTTCCCCTCCCTCTCTCAAGAAGTCCCTTCGATATCTCCTCAACTCAACCAGCACAACCAAGCTATACCACGGCCACTTATATCCCCGCGGTCCCCAGACGCAATTCCCCGTAATGGGAACCCTCCCAAACAGCCACACGGTAGCAGTCAATCCGAAGATCGCTTGGCTGCCGGCTGTATACCCCGGGCCAAGACGTGCCGTCCGCCCTTCCCGTTCCTGCGCCACCAGTGTAACCTTCTCCCTGCTAGTGTCACTTATTACACATTGCGGAGAATTTGAGGGGCTCGAAGTTTTCCCACCATACCTACCTTGTTCCCCACAGTGTTATTCTGCCGTGCCGTTTGGTAGGTTTGCAGGCAGGCAGTCAGGAACAGGAATAGGAGGGTTCATCGGGCCATCTTGTGTAGAGGGTGATGTAACCTTGAGAGGGAGGAGTGCTATAGGGCTGGTTCTGTGATTGGCGGGTTTCCATGGAGGGGACATGGTGTGGTTGTCAGCGGCGGGGATCTACTTTGCATCGAAGGGCTGGGAGTCAACATGAAGACAAGCAGACAGCAAGCAGACAACAGCCCTATGCTTGGCTGGGGGATGGACCCAGGGCAGAAGCGGCTCTTGTACTAAGCTTGGCGGTTAGGGATTATAATTAAGTAGGAGGTCTGGTTGGAGCGGTTGCGTTTGTTGTCCTGACAAGTTGACAACACACACGAGACGGGATGAAGATAATATGACCGGCCTTTAAAGGCTTTGTATTTGTTTGCAAAAAAAAAAAATATTGAGATATATGCGGGAAATATATAGTGGCAGAATAATGTAAGTAATGGAGACGAGATGAATAAATGAATCCTGCCAATATTTATACCTTGCCTGGGAAGACAACTGGACAAATGCACGAGTTTGAGCACGTTTCCCACCAGGCGGGTCCCAACATTCTCGCTGGTCCGACATTAACAACTCTTCTCCTCCTTCCCCTTCAGCACTTGCGCCAAGCCAGAGACACATTGACAGTAATCTTGCCGCTGATTCGATCGACCTGTTTATCCCCGTGATCGTCAGCGTCTCTTTACCCGGAACATCTTCTTTCTCGTTCCTGGACCATTGACGAGAAGTACTCACCGCAATTAGTGCAGGCGACCGGGTCGGCGAGATGTTGCACTGCGTGTTCATGTTCATGATGGCCGTGGTGCCGCCGCAGGGCGACCAGGAGGTGACGTCCGGGTCGGCCGTCAGGCTGAAGGGCCCCTCGCGCGGGCCAATCAGCGAGATGGAGTAAGTCGACTGCTCCGACGTGCCCGTGAAGTCGAAAGTGTTGCTGCACAGGCCGCGCGAGCCCTGGGGAATTTGCGCGAAGCCGCGCGTGTCGGTGGAGAGCGTGGCGAATCTAGATGTTCTGTTAGAACCATTTACATAGGAAAAAGTGCTCAGCAGGAAATGGGGAACATACTGGAAGCCCTCGTCAAACTCCATGTTCAGCGTAAGCTTGCAGTTCTTACGCCAGTCGGCCGCCATCGTGCCCGGCCCGGTCTGGATGATATATTCGGAGAAGGTGACCTCTAGCAGCGTCTTGGTCGCGTCGATCTGCACGTCCGCGGTGCCCGCCGGGCAGCCCGAGCCTAACAGCGAGACGCCGACGATACGCACGTTTTGTGGGACGACCGTGGGCACGTTCAGAGCGCGCGGCGAGGCGACCTCGCTCGCTGGGGCCGCTGCCACCAGGGGAGCCAAGAGGAAGAGCGCCGAGAGGGCCTTCATTGCGATGGTGAGACTGGCGATGAAAAAAGAGAGACTCGAGACTTTTGACGCTGAGGGCTCAGGGATGAGGATGCTGGTGTTGAGTGATTGTCGAGCAGTCTGGTGAAGACAGAATGTTTGACCTTATATACGCGTTCCTCGCGAGGAATGCTCTCGTCTCCCTCCAAAGCCTTCCCGAAATCCAACTCCGGCAATAACCCTCGGACTCGGTGTTCCAGAGTGTTTACACACCAGATTGGATCACGGGGCCGCCATCGCCGTGTTTCTCCGGGACAGCCGGGGCATCATGACTCGGAGCAACAAAGCCCATTACGCCCCGTATGCCAGTGTCTATCCCCGCTTCGAATCCTATTTTTATCCTTGACGGCGAGCCTTGTTCCTGGACTGTTGGCTCTAGGCAATCAAGCGCAATAACAAGCCTGAGTTTCCGTTCGTAGTGAATTATTAAAGCCGGGACGAAGCGACCAGATGGAAGAATGCCATTAACCGTTTTATTTACCACTTCATATACGGACCTTCCGGAGAACACCCCCTTGTATATCGGCATCCTTTCCCGCCCGCTATGAAGGGCCTTTGCATTCCATCTGTCAGCCTGATGACTTACGGCTAGATGCTGGTCAGCAACAAGCCCAGGTGGGCGGAAATGTCTTCAATATCCTAGAGACTCATTCCATGGCCGAGGCAACCTGAAAATAGAAGCTCAACTCCAACATCGGTCGTCCTTCAGCCGGTCTGTGCGACGATGTGACAGCTTCTCTGGGCCGTACTGGTACTTATAGGGACTAGCAGCGGCCTGGAGCACTATATAGACATCAACTTAGATTGTGTCAAGGTCACTCGTCTTCCGTGCTGTTCATCCACGATATCTTGGTGCTCCGAGATGGTAGAAGGAGGCTGGATAGCTAGAGCACAGCCTGCTTTTTGACCGAAGCTCAACTGTCCCTCAAGTCTATTACATAACTTCATGCTCTAAGAACTTTAGAAAGACGGCCTGTGATGTGTTAAGCTCTGGAAAATAATGTAGTCGAAAAGGTTTGTGCTTCATGGCACACACTGTCACAGTGTACTGAAACGTTGGACTAGGTGATTGGTTTTCGGGACATATAAGTCAACTGAGCCATCAAAGATATTCGATTCCAGGGCAAAAGGCACTTGTTTCGAAAGGCGTGTGTTAGGACTTGGGCTTGCTTGTCTATCTTTGGCCTTCAATGCTGCAAATGCTGATAACGAGTCTGGGACTGAAAGCAACATTACACGAAGTCAAGCCGGATGAGAAATGGGCACAGCTCTGCCCTAGTGTATTGGTTTATGCAGCGATGTTATTCAATTCAAAAGAGCAAGAATTCATAGTTGAGCTAATATAAGACACTTCCGAGGTGGTTAAGAGTGGAGACGACCTGGCCTTCACAACAGATCCGCGATGCTCACACTGACATCTCGGAGCGGCCCTACTTAGATAAAATCTTCCTAAGAAGACGAGCGACGATATGATAACCACATGTGATAAGATAATCAACTGCGATAAGATAAAAATCTTTAAGATAAACATGTGTGATGTGAATATGTAGACACGATAAAGTAGCCACTTGTCAGGGCTTCTGCCTCTCCTGGCTGTTACGCCATTTCCAAGAGTCGACTTGACGGGTCCAACCAAAAAAAAAAAAAGACAAAGTAGCGAAAGTATTGGGGTATTGGTGCTAAATCGATTAGATTAAAATTTTTCTCAGAAATTCTTTTGTTTTGTTTTATGCGTTTTAAATGCGACGCTCGTATACATATCCCAACCAGCATTGCTAGTCCAACTTCCTGTTACCCCGACCCCTACCGTCTTCGGCGGGCTGCGTAAGCTAAATAACGTACCCTCATTGCCCATGATACCTCCTCCGGAGCCGACGTCCGAGTTCAAACCCTCTTCCAAGGGTGGCAGCTCGGCCCTCCGCAGCGGGAGGTCTTCCCGGAGCTCTACAATTGCCCGCAAAGCCGAAAAGTTCATCTCCCCTCGTGGCCCAGCTCCCATTCCAATATATGACTTTGACTCTGCTCCGGCTCCGCATATTGGTCATGAAAAGCCAAAAGATGTTCAGCCATCTACCACAAACAATACGAAGGAGAGCAAGCCCGGCTTCTTCCGGGGAATGTTTGGATCAGCGAAGTCAGTTGTTCCCGAGCAATGTCTTGACCCCTCAGCTATCCTTCCCATCATTGCAAGGCAAGAGTTCCACACCTCCATCCCGCGAGGGCGTGGTCTCGGCCGCTCATACACTGCAAACGAAAACGTCTTCATTTTTCCGGAGAAGGAAACGCTCTGTCACAGAGACAGACTCCCCCTCCTCTTGTACCTCCTGTACCACCTGTCAAGCTTCCGCTCGACAAACCAGAGCCCAGCTCAATGGCGGGTCATCGGCGGGCTATGGACCCGCTCCTGGAGGGCAGCTTTGACATTAGCACAGTTACTGCTGCTGCTGTTCATCACGCAGCGATGAGACGCCTATGGCTGTGGCTTACCACAGCTGGATCAGCCGCGTGATGATGCGGAAGGTGAGTCTGCGATAACGGGGCCCAGATTGCTGAGTTGGGCCACGTTGATCTGCTGGCGTCAGAGGGGTATACACTAATCATGACTCATTGCTCTATCCTCACATCCAGTTCAATCAGGAAAGCCTTGAGGTGGGTGACCTGGAAATTGAACTGATTCCTATCCAGCATAATATGAAGCTCACTGGGCCATGAGAAGCTTACTGTTAGGCAGACTCTGCGGCGTTTGGCCTTCGTTGTCTTGTCGGTCCGGATGAACTCGGCCATCAGATAAAAGAGTTTTAACCACTTCGGTAACGTAACGATTCCATAAGCTCCTGAAATGGGTTCGAAGATAGTGGTCAGGTTGCAGAACCAGAGCGATCAGGGTCCGCTCACAGTTCGGTATGCAGCTAACTGTGGTCACCAGTCGTTGGTTGACAACTGTTTCTATTGCTGACTAGGAATCTTCATCGTGGCTCTGAGGATGGGCGATTCTATATATATATATATATATATATTCATATCCGAAGCCGTCGGGGTGCCTGCCATAACGTTGAAGTCCTGCCAAGCATTTCTATCACCATTATCACGATTTTTACGATGGTTATAATCGTGAGAATGCGCTTCTCTTCCTGACTGGCAGCGTCCAACCCCACTTCGGGGTAACTTCTGGTTCGCTGCTGGATCGTAACAAATTCCCTATGTATATATACTACGCTCATGATCGCTCCCGGTGGGAGAGACAACAAGCACTCTATTCTTTCACACACTCAAAACGGCTCTCCACCCATGATATGCTCCTAACGGTGCGACAAAATGTTACGGCCTTTACTACCCTAATATATGAATCGCCCAAGAGCTTCCTAAGCCGTATTCCTTAACGACTTCGACCTTTTGCGTAGTTCGAGAAAGTCGGTGTTTGTCATTGGTTCGGCGATGCTTAAATCGTCGTCCTAGGAATTCCTCAACTGAGTTGGCTCTGCTAATTTTAGCTTAGGTAAAGCCTTTTGTTGTGCTAAAACTACTCGCATCTAGCGTTTCAGCTTGTCTGTGTTGAGCTTCTCATTCTTTGCAGCTGGCTGCATCATTTTGGCGAGCTTTTGGGCTGTTATGGTAATGGGAGTACTAACGCTATATGACATATAGCTAGTTTAGAAATAGATCTAGAGTAGAAATGGAGTTAGCAATGTTTGATATATTTTTGAGGTTGCTTGAGGTAAGTGGACAGTAGCAGGCTAATATAGCTCATATAGGACCAAAAACTACACTATCTGTCACTGCCTACGGATTGGGGGAGGTCCTGCCAAGAAAAGAATCACAAATCACGGGGGATACCGAAAGGACGGGCCAATTAAGACATTGTCACTGCCAAAACCAAATTATCACGGCGTAATACTCAAGTATCGCTGATGATAGTCGCGATGGCAGGAGTAGCACTGGAGGAGACCCTCATGTATTAAGACTTAGCTAGCCACTTATTAAGAGGAGTTCCTCAGTCGGCAATTACAAACAGATGCTTACCCCCACTGGTGACCACAGTGTTTAACATTCTTTTTAAGAACTCTTGTCTCTCAGATTCCATAGCCTGGTCACAACCTTCGAGCCCATCTCAGGAGGTCGTGATATCATCACGCTAGCTCACCGAGTACTTGCTCCCCATTTACACTTCACTCAGACACAGCTTCGTTTAGGAAGATTGCGTAACATCCTTCTAGCTTGCAAGGTAAATTCCGACATTCCAACTGACCTGACTCGGCTAACAGGTAGCAAAGTTTTAACAACCTCGGTATGGCCCTACTTTGTAGCGTATTTCAGTGACGTTCTAGCATTGTTGTCTCGTCGATTTGGATCGACTCGGCAATCAGATAACAGAGTCTTGATAATCTCAGTGTGGCTCTTCGCTGCAGGCCTGACTCAGCGGCGTTCTTCCATAGCGATTTTGTCGGTCAGAATCAACTCGGCCATCAGATAACAGAGACTTAATAATCTTGGTGCTACCACCCTCCGCAGCGTAACCCAACGGGGTCAGACCACTGTTGTCTTGTTGGTTTGGATCAGCCCGGCCATCGAATAGCAGAGTCTCAACTACCTTGGCACGGTTGTCCTCCGCAGCATAATTCAATGGCGTTCTATGTTCGTTTTCTTGCCAGTCTGGATCAACCCTATCATCAGATAATATAGGCTTAAGAACCTCATCATTGCCATACTCCGCAGCGTAATTCAGCGGTGTTCGAAGTTTGTTGTCTTGTACGTCTTGTAGACAAACTTTATGACTGCCAAAGGACGCAGCAGAACTCAGCCAATGTGCACGATAGTAATCTTGTCGGTATAGATCAATTCGGCCATAAGATCGCAAAATTTTAACTTTGGTCTGGCCATACTCCGAAGCCTAACCTAGTGGCGTTCGACACAGCAATCTTGTCTGTCTAGTTCAACTCGATTAATGGTCGATCGGGGCTCTTCTTCCACTCCTGGAAGAGATCCAGAAGGAGATCATTGGCATGACAATGCAAACAGTTTACAAACATTCCAGAACTTCCCCCAGATGCTGATCGAACCATATAGGCGTCATACCCAAAAGTCAACAGACGAGCCTGCTTGAATATGTCGATTCGTGAAAGAAATTCCTTTTGGCCAAGGTATCTTTTTTGACTTATATATCCACGTAGAATCACAACTGCCGGAGAGTCCATGAACGAAGCAAATGTCAACAATGGCATCTTCGCAGTTCATGGTGAAGGGGGGGGGGGACTTGGGTCTTCAGACGCAAGTTCAGACGCCGTCTATGAGACGGAGCACCAAGAAAGTACGCCTTTGACATCAAATGCTCTCTGAGGGGTTTACTGTGCTCTCTCCTACAAAGTTTCTATGACTTAGGTCTCGACATACTAGGTGTTTGGGATCTTATCCAAAGAACTGATTGAACACCTAATGATCAGAAACACGATCGCTACCTCTCAGTTGTGGGACTAGGACGCACAATCGAATGCAAGTACGCCCCTTGGTAAAACTCGCCAGAAGGTATCTTCATGGGCCGCTTTTCAATCCATGGTCGAAACATCAGACCATGTACATGTGCCGGGCTGCCCTGCTGCGGCACTGACCAGACAATACAGGGCTAAACCGAACCGCAAAGCCAACATTATCTATACTGGCCTCCGGAGTTTACTCGGTTTGATCATTCAGTTCTCGTTTTTGAGGACTTCTTGTGCAGGTGGTTGGAGTATTGGACCCAGATTCACTTAGCTACATACGGTTGATGAGCAAAAACACCCACTGTTCCGTATCTTAGAGACATTACGATGATCAACTAATCAAGGTCTTATACAACATCTCAGACAATATCGAGAAATAGTACAAGCTGTCCGCTTTGGGCGCATCGAAAACTATGCAGCTCTTTGAAGCTGAACAAGCTTCTTCTGTTGTGCTCGATTGCTTGAGTCAATCCTCATTCATCACATTTTTATGTTGTAAGACAAGATCTTCTAAAAGCTGGGCCTACGAAAGAAGCATTTTTGTAGACAGTACTCTGAAGCTATTAATTAAAGCAGATCAAGGAGCGGCAAAGCTATATATAGATGAGGGATGAAGAACGACAGAGGCTGGGGTCTAGCAGCCTACGGAAAAGGCGGCACGCTGGATGCTGGAGCACATACAACCTGAAAGAGAGCCCCTCCCTCAGCTCCTGGGCGCTTTGCTTTTGACATTGACGCCCAGCCTTCTGATTATGATCCGTTCAAGCGGTGAGTATCCAGTTCCCTTGCCATCAGACCCCTACGAGCCCCTGCTTGATACGGCGGGTCAATGAAATGCATGATTGTACCAGCGGGATGGTAGTGATACTGGACTAGCTCTCCGCTAACTGAATTGCTTGAAGGACGCACCATAGGTGGTGTATCCGAATGGTACTTCTTCGCTATTCTGATCGCCTGGACATTGCGGCATCGCATATGATCTTGCAATCCGATGAAAGATGGAAAGCCAACACGCCTACAACAAAAAGACAGCTCGTACTCTTGGTACATTATTGTCAATATGTTGGAATGTCTGACATGCTCGTCAAAATAGCTGAAGGTTCGTACACTTTACCGCTCTAGATCAAATTACTAACGATTAACGATATTGTTATCCAGCCTATGGGTGTGGTTCACTGGGCATGGTAATTTTGGCTGGCGACCAAGCTCGAGTTGAACTTCTGTTGAGATCATATCGAGGGACATTGGATGAACGAACCGTTTGCAATAAGATCCCGATGCATCTTGCAAATAACAATCGGCTTTCCCAGTTCTGTCTGTTGACTGTTCATTTCTTCGCTTTGTGTCCAACATCCCAAACTGATGTTACAGAAGGTATTAGTGGAACTTGTTTGGCTTGCTCCTGATGCGTAATCTGTTGCTGTCGTAGTTCGTCGATGACGTCTTTGCTGAGGTGAGCGTCGTTCACAAATTCCCTGCATCTCAGAACATATCTCACATAACAACCGTGTCTATCTGGAACAGGACGTCAGCCCTCTCGGTTGTGCTTATTGCTCCTCAAACGTGGCTTCCAACAGTAATTGACAATGCCACATCGTCAAAACGTTTAGCAGCATCCCAAAATGATTTGACATGCTTGACCAAGACCCAGGGGGATAAATATCTGCCTTTCCGTCTTGTAGGTTTCCGGAAGTGCCTACATAATCTCAGATGCCAGCGAGTCCGCATGGTGTAAGTCTTTTGAGTGTGGCCGAGCCGCTTAGCAGGAAAGACTGAGACCTACCTGACCGCTATGGCCTTCACGATAGGCCTCAACAAGAGAGTAATCCATCCCCTGACGTGACTTCCAAGAGCTAAATACGACGTGAAGCCTCGAAATATAAAGGTCTTGGTAGCACAACGGTTGAGACGTAGAAATTGATGTATGAGCAGAGCGCAGTCAAGATTCCATCTTCTCCATAGACACTGCTGGTCAGTCGTCAGTCTCCGTTTCTATCGAATTGAGTCCACATTAGCCCTTTGCTTCCATACCACTTTGTGTTTATTGGTTTGCAAGAATGTCGACCCCTGGTTCCAAGACTGTCGGTTCTAAGACTCCCACTAGCGGGAAGTCCCAGTCTCCTCCTTCGACCCGTCCTTCATCCAGCGGCTCTGATACTTCAGCTAAGAAGAAGATTGAATCTCCTCCAGGCCCGCGTCCCTCTTCCAAAGGATCCATTATTCTCGGCGGCAGCTCCCGGACACATTGGATGCAATTTTCCCCGGAAGTAAATGGAAACGCGACGGTTCATTGAACCAAACAAAGGGCGTTGTCCACGTACCTATGGGCGGTATAGTGTACGTGGACTATACCAGAGAGAGGTATATCCGCTTCTGCTACGGCCCTCTGGATTTCAAAGATTATGGACAGTTCAACCAGTAAGATCCTCCGGCGGCTCCGGAGAAAAAGAAGGATGGTGCAATCCGCATCCTAACCTCACATCTATCCACATGTTTTTCTGTCATCGTCGCAGGCCCTGGGGGAGCGATTATACCTCGTATCTCATCAGCCCTAAGAATTTGGTTGATGAGCGCCAAGAGGATCGGGCCAATCTGAAAAAGGCTTTCAATGCCATGTGGCAGCAACACGGGCAAGACATTAAGGGGGGCGATGACAAGGATGTCAGCGTTATACTGGTCAAAGGTTACGCGACGGAAGATGACAAGATTGATGTGCTTTACCGGGACATTTGTTCCCCAGTCACTTCGTTCAAGGCCAGGATATTCTCGTGCTTGAGCTCACAGGAAGCGACAAGGTCTGAGGAAATAACAATCCAATGATGGTGGCAGACTGTGATGTTCACGGCAACATTGCAGGGACAAATGGAGCTCTGGATCGATGGAAAGAGATGGGCGAATAAGGAGTGGCAGGGTCGACTGTTCTTCTCCGTCCCCTTCGGTTCCAACAAAACACCGCTTCCTGTTCACCCATCTCTTGTGAGTCTACAGACAACTCCCTCGGAACAACCCAACCAGGGCGCTGCCAGCACTGGGGAAGGCAGCAGAATCCCGAGGCGCGTCAGGAGAAAGGTAAATTTTCTCTTAACCGTATTACTTCATTCCTCTGCGGACAAAATGATTCCTCTGCGCCATTCACATCCACATCCACGCCTGGCAAGACTTCGATGACGAGCCTTCTTGGGTCAAAGAACAAGGGCTCATCGAAGGATAAACGCAAATGAGGGGTCATTGCATTGTTTTAACAGTGAATCAAAACCACACTGTGGAGAGGCTTTGAGCTCTCGAAGCAACATGTGTTCGGCTGACCTCAGGAAGCGGCGCTTCTTGAGCAGCATTTTTCGACAAGGTTAGTGGGCAGCAGCATTTCCAGCTGAAGACAAGCGGACGGGTGGTTTGGTTGCCTATTGATGAGAATGTTGATGGGTCATTGTCCGATGCCGCTCTTTTGGGTAGTTCTCAAAGGAACTCTGGAAGTTCGCTGTCAGTCATCTTCAATAGATACCTATATATTGGACGCAACTCTGTCATTGTCTCCTCCTTTTATGTTATCTGAGGGTCAGCAAGCAATGGGACAGGTGAAGCCATTCATGATGTAAAGCATGAGGAAGTGATTATGATGCTGGCTTCTTCCATCTGGCATCTTCGTAAGCAATGTTCCTTATCAGGCTGCAAACAATGGAAAGCTGGATGCCTTGCAGTTGCGGGTGCATAAATCGGTTTGAGCATGTCAGCAGTACACGTCACTAACCGGGACTTTCACTACTCGACAGTGCCTGGGCAGATCCACGTCCTTGGAAAGAGACAGATGTTTGTTGCCACAGCGAACTGATATGCTACTGATGCCGGGATGCTGTTGGTCGATCGTTAGCGATTGAGCGCAGCATGCGTTGGCCATCAACGTTGATAGGGATTGGTCTTTCTAATGGCCATCTGCCTTGCATAGATGGCTTGCAGGACTGGTCGCGTTTGTGGTATCAACGTCGTGATGATGGGTTGCGCTTGGTCTGGGACTTCGGGGTCCACGTATTGTGTGATGGTGGTGGGTAGTTACTCGCATATCAAGAACCCCCGCTATGTCAGCTTAGACATAGCGGGATACTTTGAAGAAAAAAAAAGGAACATTTTCGACTGTCTTTTGTGTTTGGCCGGCATATTTTCCTATGTAGTTGGTTTTTTTTTCATGTTATTAGTAAATAATTTTAAATTTTCTATTATTTAACTTTCGAAACAATTCTAGATATGAAGGTCATCGCTTTGAGGCGGTCGTTCATATCCCTGGTTATAAGGTATCCCACTAACTGTTGATGCAACATAAGATGTACGCTTCGGCTGGAAGACAGGCATACCAGATGTAAATGCTCCCCCTCGATTGAGCCCGGAGTCTGCACCCCAGGAAAGTTCATGCAGAACATAATTCAGCGGGCAGCCCAACCAAAGCAAAAACCCTCACTGGAATTCTCTCTTACTCCAGCAGTCCATTCTCGAGTGTCAAGTGCTCCATCTCATACCTTAAACCTGAATTCAAAACTTTGCTGTCGAGTTACCAACAACAAAAAGCCCAAACCTTCCAGGAGCATCACGATGAGGAAAGCAGCAAGCTACCACATGAAACCATCAGTCTTGTCAATCTTCCCTCAGAGATCCTCAACCAGATCTTTTGTGAAGTCAAATGGGATTCTCCAACTGTTCCATTTGAGCTCGATGGCCTGCAATTCTACGAGAACTTGACTGCGAATGAGAGCTACATCGCTTCCATACGACTGACTTGCAGACGGCTGGCATCTGCTGCAGCACCATGGCTCATGCTTGCACCATGTGTGTCGCTCACCGACCCAGAGTCCATAGACCACCTCGAGCAGATTGCTGCGATCACTTCCTTCTCTCCTTACGTGAAGGCTGTCCGAGTCTCTGCTGGCTTTTATTCCGAGGAGATTGCTCAGGACATTCGCAATTCGGCAAAGTATCTTATCTGGAACGTGGAAGGAATCAAAAGGGTTCTCGAGGATCTAGGATATCAAGACGTCGTCTCGACTCGGCTGCCAGGCAACAGGACTCCAGAGAAGTGGGATAAAATCTTGGATGAGTGGAAGGCTCTCAGCAATAACGGTGATGAGCAAGATCAGCGAGGTGGGAAATCAGAGCTCAGTAGTGCTTCAGTGGACAGGGACTCCGAAGCGATGCAGCTGCTGGAGAAGGAGCACACCGAGTATCAGCGTCGCTTCAACAAACAGCAAAAATTGCTGATGGCGGGTCCCGAGTCAGCTGTTGAACGGATTGCTGGGGCAATAGCTAAGATGCCCCAGGCAACCCGTTTGGTTCTGAGCGATGCCTCTCGATGCGCTGACTATTCCATACCAAAGATCCCATTCGAAGGTGGCGATGGATGGCTCCTCAGCCCAATGAGCTGGGCATCCTACTTCAAACTTCATTACAGCCTTGGCGATCACCCAGCCCGTATCTTCGACACCATTCTAAACACCTTATTCAACCTCCCCATCGCCATCCACCGCGCAGGCGTCAACCTAACCGCCCTGCGTATACGCAACCTTCGCCTGCTAGAATGTCTCCCACTCTAGGAGTCTAACTTCGATTGGTTTGCTTATTACAAAGCCTACCCCTTGAATTTCGACAGGCCCCAGCTGCTCAAGTCCATGCGGAAATGGATCTCTTGGGACCCGGAAGAAAATCTCGCGAACGACCCCCTTCTCCCCGAGGCCGAAGAACTGCGAGCGGCGTGCCGCCACCTGCGTGTCCTCGATTTTCACGCCTGACTACCTGCCGGGCTGCGTACTAACAGACAGCCCCAACTGGCTTGCATGGCCTCACATCGGCTACTTCCGCAGACACCCGACCATCCGCTCTATCACCCACTGCGAAGAGCTCTTGGGATGGATCATGACCGCCGCATGCAACACCCTAACGCATATCCGCGCCGACGAGCTCTTCATGGCACCCGATGCCGGCGAGTTCGCCATGCCACGGGGCTTTCCCGAAGGCACCGCCTTGCGCCTCTCAAACATCCAAGTCCTCTGCCTGCAAAACCTGAATATTTCCCTCGGCATCCTCCCACGCTTCCTTTCCTACGCCTGTGCCACACTCCGCCGGTTGATCCTCTTCAAGGTTATACTCAAGTCCTACCCTATTCCTTCTCCAAGAAACCTTAGGAGGTGCTCGTGGGCGTGCTTGCTCGACGAAATCCGGCCGTACACTATGAGTCGTGAGATGGAGGGAGGGAAGGCAGAGCATCGGGTGGTGGTGAAGATCAGGAAGCCGACGGGGTATGAGATTGTCTGGTTTGATGCATCCGATCCTAACCATTCTCTGATGGCGCTGTTTGAGCCTGATGACGAAACGCCTGATCTATGGGCGCCTTCTGATCAGCCATACGATATCTTTGAGGATGAAGGAAGTAATTATCGTGATCATCTCTATCATGGATTTAGTCCTGTGGATAAGTATCTTATGGGGTGGAGAGACTAGAATCCGATTGTTGAGTTGGGCAAGACGCCGTATCATTATGATTACTAAACAGCCCGGGTATCAGTAAACAGGACCTGGTATGGAAAGGCAGAGAGAACAGACAGTTGGCTAACTTTGCATGCTCAAGTCTTTCTCAAGGGCTGGCAACGTCCACATGCAGTTAGAGCGGCCCAAGTCAACCACAAACCAACGCAGTAAACAGGTGGTGATCTGCAAGAAAATGAGGATACAAACCGTTCAAATGAGACAAAAGAAGATGACCGAGAAAACATGGGCAAAAAGAATACCTTTTCAAACCGAAAAGGAAAGGTGATCAGACAGAGGCTGGATGCACCCGGGATCGAACCGGGGACCTTTCACAAGCGCATGCTTAGTAGGATGCGAAGCGAAAATCATACCACTAGACCATGCACCCGACCTTGGTACAACTCGAGGTAGTAGTATGACTTTCAACTAGTTACTTATCGCTGTAACACGGAGTCAGCAAGTGGACCCCTTAAGCAAGTCAGTGGGCACTCTGAGGAGAATCCTAACAGCTCTTGACAAAAGTTGATAGTTTGACACCACCAGCCAGCGAGAATCGTCTGCCGTCGAAAGTAGCAAACATTCCGTTGGCTTCTAGCTCAATTTCTACATTTGCACATAAGCTACTCTTTTTGGATGTTTAAGGGCACAAACTGAGCAGACCAGTTCCCTGGACAGCAAGCGAGCCTCAGGTTTCAAATTGACCATAGTAGCGTCTACAAAGGCCAAACTATCTTACCACATGGATCGATTTTAACCTCATCATTCCAATCTCACAGTAGGGACACCTTAGCTCTACGGTCCGCTTTCTTGTTCTGTTGGGAAGCCAAAGCCTGCAACTCCGTTCGTCAAAGCGTAGCTTGGGATGGCATTTCAGTGGACCGGGCTTCTTTCCCACATACACCTCATCCCTACCTTTGGACCTCTCGCCATGTGATGATGGACATGGGGCATGGCCAAAAGAACGACAAGTGCAGAGTAGCAACATGCAACGTCCGGCAAGTTGAGCCGGATAGGCGAATGGATCGTTGCAACGGCGAGCGGGTAGCCAATAGGGTATTTAATGTTGCGTGAAGACAGAGAGGAGGAGGGGGGAAGGGGGGCTCAGGGGAGTGTGAAAGAACGCGGCCGGGGATAACTGTCCGCAAGGCTTGTTTGAAGTTAGGTAAGAAACGAGAACGACGCGGAAGCGGGAGGGCTTGCCTCCGCCTGTTTAAATTCCGAGAGGCAAGCTTATGCACATCGTGTTCCGATGTTGTTGGAATGACTTTACCCCATGAAAGGGGGGGGGGGGCCGTAGATCATGGGATAGGGCTGAGGAAGTTGGTTGGTTGGTTTCCCCTTGATGACGACTGCTGATGAGGGATAAAACGGCCCCCTTCACCCGGCGAAGTTTGTGGAAGGTATGGGCCTTCATCAGGCTGTTTCAATTTCATCCGCCATCTCTCAAATCCCAGACCGAGAATGGCGTCTTGGCTTTTGCAGGCCGCGGGGATAGATGCATTGCAGCGTATCTTTCGTTTCCATGAAAGCCCACAAGTAGCAAGATAACCACCCAATGCGGGAGGTCACATGTGAAATAATATCCTGAAGTGGGAAGCGAGGGCGTGCTCGCTTGATCTCCGACGACGGAAGCACAGCATCTCTTCTTGCTGACTGGGTCTGGACGTTTGACAGCTGCGAAATTGACACCTTCCTGACGGTTTGCCTTGCAAAAGATACTGGTAATTGGGCAGAGGACGAATGTACAGTCTGTCCCGACCTTGAGTGAAGAATCTTCGATGTGCTGGCCGTTTACCGATGCGCAAGACGCGCAAGATGCGCAATGGTCAGCAGCGGCGAGGATGGTGGTTGCTCAGACGGCGGCGCGGCTGATCCATGTTTCTCTTCGCAGCCGGGCGGCCGAGCGGTGAGCTCATGATGCTCTCTGTAGGGGGAAGACTGCCTTCCGTTCTGGTGTAGGTGGCGGCGTGAAAGTTTGACAAGAGTGCAATGATCCAGCAGTGTCGATTCGGTTGATCCAGGATTCGAGGTGGTAGCGGCCGCAAGAGGGTAGCAATGAGCAATCGGAGAACAAGCACGCTGAGCGGCAGCCGTTGGCTGGCCTGGGGATTATGCAGTGACATCTCCGAAACGAGTTAATCTGGGGTAGCAGTCGGGCCCCTGGTTGGAAATCTGACGACTGACCGCAAACCACTTGGCACGCTTGGCTGATATGAGAGAGGGAGGGGCGGACTCAGACTAGATGCCCTGAACAATGACGAATACAGGGGCGGGTGATGTGTATCATCGAAAGGTATGGGGCAAGGGGATCTAAGCGCCTGTATATCACCGTCGATAAACCATGGACCATGATCCCATAACTTGCGTGAGTTGAGATTCATTGTGAGTGGGAAATGGAAGTCTAGTGAGGCAAAATTCGGAAGCTGGAAAACAAAGGCGGATCGAATCGAGCCGTGTCACGGACGGGGCGAATGGGCGTAGCCGGGTTGCATGTTGTACGGCGTGGATAGCGTATTGCTGACATTCTGAATCTCTAAGGATGCATGCATCTTTTGAAGCAGAAATCGGGGGGCAACATTGGCCCCGGGGCTTGAAAAAGACGCCGTGACGGGCGTGCGGATTGCAATGTCAGCTTGACTAAGCACTGTTGGTACAACGCAGGCTGTAACGGAGATCAGTTGGACAAGTCAATGATAAAAACAAAGCATAAGAAATCAAGAAAGATTGAAACGCATGGATGAACTTGAGTGGACGCTATGCTCCTGTACATGATAATATATGAGAATGCCACATAACATGGAGAGAGTTGGCGAATTTTCCCAAGTGATAGTAGATCTGGGAAAGCGGGGCAATAGAAAACATTTTCGGGGCCCAATATTTCGATGTCCAAGGATTGATGATACATCACGATTCGCAAACAGCAGGCCAGCCCAAGCAATTAGAGTTCCCGTTTCACGATGGAGCCAGAAGTGCAAATATATTCTATAGGTCAACCTAGAAACTATCAGAGAGGAATGGAATTGGATAACCGCTTATCCGGGGAAGTTGTGATCAAGTCCGGGGTAGCTTGGGAAGATGGAGCGAAACTGAAAAAAAAAAAAAAAGTGGCTTGCCGATGGCCCGTTGCTACCTGGAGCAGAGGATATTCAGTCGAATTTTTACGCCCACAAAATTTCACCCCAAATATATTCTGTTGATACGATTATTGGTGTAGAATTTCTATCATCGGATGCCGACATCTTAGTTCTTGAACCTCCTCTACTGTACCTCACTAACATGTTAGGGTCCCCGGTTCTGCGGTCCCAGCGTTTTCCGGCGGAGCCGTGAAGTGCCTTCGGGCCTTGTAAACCCGAGCGTCTAGCATTACAGAAAAGCCTATACCGGCACGAATGGGTGGCTGGGCAGAATCAACTTCGTCAGTGACATGACGATCTCGTTGCGTCTTCAACCCTTCAACACGAATCCCATTCAACGGGCTTCGAGGATCAGTCATACTCGCCACTACGGTTGGAACCATGATCATGGAGCAACTTTGTGCACGAACAGATTTTGGATCATCAAGCAATTACAGGTGCAAAAGCCTCCGTATTGGAATACGGTCTCCGACTGTATGCTACGCTCAATGGGGTTACCAACAAAGCGGCCCGGCGTAATGTCGGTATTTCGCGGAGCTCCTCCTATACGAGCAATTACACAACCGCTTAAGGGTTGACGCGGAGCTCCCACATCCCACATCACAGCGACAGCCTTGACAATTAAACAAGCCGATATTCTGCGTCTGGATCGATTTTAACCAGTTCCCCAGGCCGTTCCTGACAGGTTCGCAGGGGCAAACATGGAGGTCTTCCATGGAAGGGAATCACCCTGTGCTGCATAGATGCCTTCAATGTAACGGCGTTCCGTATTTTACAACGGGCTGGGTATCCGTAATTGACGGATGCTTGACCTACGCTCCTCTACGATCACAGGCTGCATGCGGCATCCATCCGCCAGCCCATTTGCTCTTCGGCTCGTTTCTTTGCCCCGCGCATGCGAGGTGCACGGGACACAGGTTACATTGGGATCCATCGAGGCCGGTTGCTAGCTGGGCCGCTGCCGAATCTCAAATCACAGCTCGCGCTGCCACCTCCAGGTGAAGTCTGAGTGGAGTTAATAGCGTTGGACCTCTCTTTGACGTCCTTGTTTGCGCTACGGCTGCGGCTCGTGATGCTGTTGATTTTGCTGCGGCTGGAGATGGCGTTGCTGATGCTGCGTATCCCCGTTTCTCGCGCGCCGTCCGTGGCTGTCCCAGGATCAATGGAGGAGGAGGAGGGGAAGCAAGGGACCAGAGTGTATGGATGAGAGGGGGAGCCAGCTTCATATGTGCATTGAAGTCGGCCCGTCAAGCTCGACATGATGCTTTGACCTGCCTACCTGGCCCATTGCCAATCTATTTGGCTCATTCTGCACGCCCTCCGGCGCCCGGAAAGCCTGCTCACCGTATCCCTTTCGCGTCTCTGATGCGTCTGCCCGGCCACCCGTCGTATACTGCTTGCATGCCTCATTGTGGGTGAGCCGAGACTGCGTTTTCCTTGCTGACTTCCCCGCAAGAAGCGCTTTGACTTTCAGACACTCTACGCTACACTAGCTGAGAGTACCGTGATTCTTGCCCCTGGCATTTGAGTCGACAACAGCAGAGGACCAAGCCAGCAGACCCAGACGGCCTGCCAACGCCCGGCAACCGTGAATCCGACGTTGCGACGTGCCCCGAATCCGGATCAGTGCGGGCTGAGATGCTACCTCCCCCCAAGGTGGTAGCAGCACGGTGCTTGGTGGTAGCAGGCAAGGTGGTACGGAGGAGTTACCATCGATCATCTTCATCGCAACTCGTGGCATCCCAGCAATACGCACCCCCCGGCATCCCCACACTCCCACCACGCGAAGAAAAACACTTCTGACGCTAGCTGCTAGCGTATGGAGTGCCTTACCCCATCTTTGTCATTCTGAGATCCACATTGGCGCACCCGGTCCCAAGGTCACCAACCCCAGTTTTGCCTCTTGTGTTCCCTCTCCGATTTCTCTTCCCCAAAACACCATCCAACTTTTGGAGACGACGCCTGGAGTCCTAGACCCATCTCTGCGAGCCCCGGGAACTCCCCAGCAGACGATTCGTCAACCTCTTTCTCTCCCACACGTCCTCTCACCATCCGGTGCCCGTCTCGGCCCCTTCACTAACACGTTCCCTTCACCTACCACGTTCCCCCCCCCCCCTTCTTCCCTCTGCGCCTGGGGAATGCCATGAAATTCGTGTACCCGACACCTCGTGCCTCATAGCGACCGGCAGAGCCATCCCGATTGTGTGCGCGGAGAAAGTGAGGTCCAAGGCCGAGATTGGCTGTGTTCGTGCTTGCGGAGGAATTCGGACTTTTGACAAAACACGCCCGTTTCACTGTCACAGCTTTCCCCGCCTGCCCAGGGATCTTGAGTCGGAGAAGAAGTGGGCGCCACTTCTTGTAGACCGCAATGTCACCCAGCGACGATCCGACAGACCCTAATGCTCTCCCTTCGGTCGAGCTCAAGTTCTCGCCCGGCCCTGGCGACCATGATCTTCATCTTCCCCAGCCCGAGCTCGGCTTGAGCCACCATGACGACGCCCTGGGAAGCATCACAGCAGCCGCTGCCGCCGCTGCCCACACAATGGCAGACGCTGCGAACTTTGGGGACTTTCCCTTCTCTTATCCTAACCCGTTAGGCGACGAACCCCTCGGCAACCTGTCAAGGACTGCCTTCGATGAGCATCCCCCAGATCTGTTCGCAACTCCTCAGCCGCAGGCCATGTCGCCTATCCAAGACCGGCCACAGGACTCGGGCAATTCCATCATTGTCCAGACCTCTGCATTTGTCGCTCCTGCCGCTGATACCCAGGGTCAGAGTCGTCCCACTCCCGACGCGTCCGAACACGACACGCCAGACAGCAATGTGAACGGCGTTAACTTGTTGGAGGAGCCGTTGTCAGATGAGTTCGGGCTGGCCACGACCGCGCCAGCTGAGGGGACAGAAATGGGAGGGGCAAAGCCCAAACCCGACAAGCCAGACTCGGTCCCGGCGTGGAGTGAGCTGAAGACGAAGGCTGGCAAAGAGCGTAAGCGTTTGCCCCTGGCGTGTATTGCTTGTCGTCGTAAGAAGATTCGGTGCTCGGGCGAGAAGCCCGCCTGCAAACACTGCTTGCGATCTCGCATTCCTTGTGTCTACAAGGTCACCGCCCGGAAGGCCGCCCCGCGAACTGACTACATGGCCATGTTGGACAAGCGGTTGAAGCGCATGGAGGAGCGCATTATCAAGATAATCCCCAAGCCCGAGCAGGAAGTCGCCCTCGCGAACGTAACTCGCGCCGTCGTCAAGCCTGCTATTCCGGGTACCTTGCCCGGCAATGGAAAGCCCGCAAACAAGAAGAGAGGCGCCGATGAAGCCTTCGGGCCGGATTTGGATCACTGGGCTCGGGCGCCCTCGCGAAGCAAGCTCGACGGCCCGAATAAGCCATCGACCATCCTGATTCAGGAGGCCGAAGAGAACAAGTTGCTGCTGGAAGGCGGCGACGCACTGCCGTCTAAGGAGATTCAGGAGCACCTTGCTGAGGTGTTCTTCGAGAATATCTACGGCCAGGCGTATCACCTACTGCACAAGCCCAGCTTTATGAGGAAGCTCAAGTATGTCAGGATGTACCCTTTGCCAGAACAGGAGCTGACCATTTGGCAGAGCTGGCACGCTTCCCCCGGTTCTGATATTATCGGTCTGCGCAATTGCTGCGCGCTTCTCGAACCATCCTAAGTTAAACACATACCCGAACTTTCTGCGCGGCGAGGAATGGGCAGCCGCCGCCCGCGATATCCTGATGAGGCGATACGACTGGCCTAACATCACGATCCTGACATGCCTTCTGATCTTGGGTTTGCATGAGTTTGGCACATGCCACGGCGGGCGCAGCTGGGCGCTGGGTGGGCAAGCCATCCGTATGGCATTTGCGCTCCAGCTGCACAAGGACCTCGAGCACGACCCGATGCGCGGATCAGGCAAATCGCAGTTCAGCTTCATCGACCGCGAGATCCGGCGGCGCACTATGTGGGCGTGCTTCTTGATGGATCGCTTCAACTCGTCAGGCACCGACCGGCCATACTTCATCAGAGAGGAGACGCTCAAGATTCCGTTGCCCATCAAGGAGAAAAACTTTCAGTACGATATGCCCGGGCCGACCGAGACGCTTAACGGACAGGTCCTCGAGCCGCTCTCAGAAGACAACCCGAACGAAGCCCGGGAGAACATGGGGGTCGCTGCGTGGATGATCAAGGCTATCGCCCTCTGGGGTCGCATCATCGCCTACCTCAACCAGGGGGGCAAGGAGCTGGATCCTCATCCGATGTGGAGTCCCGAGTCTGAGTACGCCAAGTTGCTCAAGCAGACAGAAGAGTTCCAGAATGAGCTGCCCGACTGTCTCAAGTACACGCCGGAGAACCTGAAGATGCACGAATCGGAGAACATGGCGAACCAGTTCCTGTTCCTCCACATCTCGATTCAGCAAAACATCCTCTTCATGAACCGTTTCGCCGTCTCCTCTCCAGGCGGACACTCCCTGCAGGATGTGCCCAAGACTTTCGTGACGAAGGCCGGCGCCAAGGCCTTTGCGGCTGCGAACCGCATCTCCGAACTGCTTAAGGATGCCGAATCGCACTTCATCACGGCGCCCTTCACCGGGTACTGTGCCTTCTTGTCGAGTACGGTGCACATATTCGGCATCTTCTCGGGGAACCCTAGCATGGAGGCAACGTCGAAACGGAATCTGGCTACCAACGTGCGCTTCCTGTCAAAGATGAAGCGCTACTGGGGCATGTTCCACTGGATGTCTGAAAATCTTCGCGAACAGTACCGTACATGCGCCGACGCTGCCCGCCAAGGTAACAAGGCCAGCGAAAATGCCTCTTCTTCGCCCATCTTCCAGTACGGCGATTGGTTCGACCGTTACCCACACGGTGTCTCGCAATCCGACTTCCTCGACCCTGCCGCCTACAAGAAGAAAGAAAAGGGAGACGATGCCGTGCTGGAACAGAAGCCTGAGTTGCATACTGTCGAAGAGTTCTTTACCAATCTGTCACCTAAGACTGCCGAGGCCGCTGTCGCAAACGGCATTCGTCCAGGCCAGCCGAATGCCCCCCAGCTCAACAAGCGCAAGCAGTCCATTACGCGTAAGCCCAGCATCGCCTCTTCCCGCGGACCCGATCAGCCCGTCGGTGTCGACCCTCTCCAAGCTGACTTTTCTCGCCATCACTCTCTAGCGACAGCAGAGCAGCTCCATGCCGCAGCCGCAGCAGCCCGTCTGCACCAGCGTTCCTACTCGGTCAGTGCTGCCAGCGCCGCCGGTGGACCCCCGCCGCTACAGACGACAGGACCTCCAGGACCAGGCTTCAGTCCCCTCGCCGTCGGACCCGCCAACCCCGCCTCCTACCCTACCTCTGCGCTATCCCCCGTCTCGCCGGTTGCCTTCTCGCATCCTCATCCCCCCGCCGCAGCTGCTCCTCCGTTCCATCACCCACATCATCATCATCATCATCATCATCCCGCTCCAGCCGCGTTCTTCCCCAACGACCCGTTCGCCATTCCCCTCGCCGCCACCCCTCCCCACGGCATGACGCGACTCGACCGCCAACTCGTGTTTGGCGCGTACGGCGCAGCGCACCATCATCACGGCAGCGCAGCCGATCCCGCCGGGCTACGCTGGGATGGTGAAACAGGACCCAACGGGGCATCTGCTGGGGCCGCCAACGGAAGTCGGGACACTCGGCATGCGCATCACCACTCATTGCATGGCGGGCATGATCCTGCTGCGGCCGCACTGCATGCGGCAAATTTGTTTCCGGCGGCGGAGCCTAGTTCGGCGTGGTTCATGCCATTTAATATGGAGCCGCCAGAAATTGGGCCGGATGGGGGATTAGGGGCTGGGGCTGGAGCGGGGCTAGATGCGTTCGGGGGCGTGTTTGGGGCCGGGGCAATTCATTAGGGGGTATTAACTTCGGGATGGCGTATTAAGGGCTTGAATTTGGATACCTTTCTTTCTTTCTTTTTTTTTTTTTTTGAGATGACGAAGTTAACGCTTGAGAAGCGACAAATCGCTCGCCATTGGCTAGTTTCTTTTATTTGGGGCGGTTGGTTTACTTACGGGATTAGCCATCAGTACGGTTTAAATGAATGGAAGCATCAAGAAGGGAGATACAGGCGTTTTTATTCTATCTCATCTTGACTATATAAAAGCAGCTGGAGTTGGCAGGAGGATAAAAGGGGGGGGTTCGTTCTCGGAGATATATTATTCACACACAACACATTTATTACAAATTTTGAACTTATCTCACATCTTGCTGGAACAGGCGGGAGACGCTACAAAGCTTTGAGATCCCCGATGATGAGGGTCGCAAACCTGTTGACCTGATATACCCACTTCTCCATTTACCTACCTACCTTCCTAACACAAACCTCTTTTTTTTTGGGATTTGCGCTGCAACAATGACGGATGATGGATGGACTGGACGGAACCATGGTCGGGACGGCCACGGACTGGACTGGATTGGGTTGGCTCGGGTCAGGTTGGGTCACATTGGTGTGGATGGGTTTTGGCTTTGTTATCGGCGATCTAGCATGGGAGGGAGGGAGGGAGGAAGGAGATAACAGTTCGATCATATATACCTACTACCATCTATTTCCTCTCAAGAGAGTCTCGTTTGCGTGCTGGCTGCTCAAGTTCGGATGATACGCAGCATATTTTCGATAGGTGCGCCAGATAAATATTTAGCGAGCGAATTCATCACTTTGGAAGAGATACGACTTTACTCCCTCACTTGCTAGATGACATATGACTCACCTACACTATGATCAAACCCGTCAAAAGCTGAGGGTTCCGAAAAAAGTGGGAGAGCATATCAACTCACGAGTAGACAAAGAAACGAGGTTTTACACAACACTACTCGACAGAAAACAAGAGAGAACTAGCCAGAGTTGCTTTCGTACGATTTAATTCTTGTCGTTATCTCAAGGGAAAAAAAAATTACAAACAGTAGTTATATATTTATAGAAAAATCCTAAGAGTACCTATGGAGAGGTAAGATATAAATAAACGCACCAAGTTGATCATCATATCCAAAAATCCAATGATCACCGGTAGACTTAGGCAAATAGATACCATACCGTACTACATATTCACCCCAACCCCAACCCCGTGTTAAATGCTAATTGTATGTGAACAACCTGAAGATGCAGCAAGAGATGAAGCTCTGCGAGACCATGTTGACAGGAGAGCGACTCATGCCTGGTTGCTTCTTATCTTGCAATTCGTGACAGTGCGTAAACCTGAACGGAGTGTGTCCTTGTCCACGTCGTTTCGCGAGTTTCCTGCATTATTTCTGTGCATTGTCCTTATGTGTGGTGTTCATGATGCCGAGATCATTGACCTTCTTTCAATCCGTAAAGCTCCATTGATAGATGTCCAACCGTAGTTCTTCCATAGCGCATGTCGCACCATGATAATTTCAATGCTATATCCAAGGTTGCAGTTGCGTCCCATAACACACCCATTGATCCAGTCAACGGGCATCCTTTGGGGGAAAAAAAAAGGAAAAAAAAAAAAACACTAACTTTCAACCATGCAACTTGAGAGGAAGTCACCTAGGGGTCTTACCATCCATACCAAAACCTCTCCCACCCCACCCCGGTCCCCGACCCCACCGCGACAGGCGACGGGCCCGGCATATTCGCCGCCGCAGCCGCCGCAAAGCCAGAGCCAGTCCCGGAGGAACCAGTGCCGGTCCAGGGAGCGAGAATGTAGTGCCTAGCCACCCAGATTACTAACCCTCCCAGCACGCCAACACTCCCCAGCACTTCGAGGACAAGCATGCCTTTGTGTTTAAGGTCCGAGGCGAGGTGAAGCAAGCCAAGGGGGTCTTGCGGTTCGTTGGTGTAGCGATGTTTGTGCTGGCGTGAGCGATGCGACTGGGATTGAGACTGGGAGCTGGCATGCAATCGCAGCGCCAAGGCCTCCCGTTCCTTCTCCCTCTCTCTCCTGGACCTCCTCCTCCCTCTACTATTCCTACTACCCGCTTCCCTCAACGGAACAAGTTGCCCTAATTCTTCTGGACTCACAACTCCCTCGCTCACACACTCTCCCACGACCCCCTTCACCCACGCCGCCCTCTCCTCCCTTGCCATCATCGCATACCTCTCCCGTTCTCGCTGCAAACTCTTCTGTAACTCAGCCGCCCAGTTCGCCAGTCTGACCTGCGCGCGGCGTTCCTCGGCGCGGGCATGATCCGCCAGACGGGCTAGAGCATACGAAGTTGATGCAGCATCGCCTGTTAATGATTGGGCTATGCCCATTCCATTTCCAGGAGACAGGGAGAAGGGTGGAGGAAGGGGGGATAGACAGGCAGAGGACGAAAGAGAGAACTGGGCAGCCCTCCAGGACAAGAACTTTCTCGCCGCGACATGCCTCAAACGCGCGAGACCAGCTGCCGAGAACAGGTCTGACACGAGCAGCGACAGGTCGGAGGGGATCAGGGGTTGGACATAGTCCGGGGACATGAGAAGGGAGGCGTCCATGGTTTCGTGGTCGGCGGAAGGGGCGGAGGAGATGGCGTATATGCCGGTACCTCCGGGGCAGTTGAGGTCGGGATGGAAAGCGAAGAGCCGAAGCGACGATCCGTGGAGTTGGGAGGTGAGTTGAGATTTGAGGGATGTGATTTGAGAGGGAGTCAAGAGGTCGGATTGAGAGAGGAGGATGACCACGTTAGTGAGGGGGGTGAGTGTGCGAAGGTAGTGGATGTCGGGAGGTTGGAGGGCTGAAACCGTCAGCAGGGAGCTTGATAGGTTGGATCTAGCAGGAAGCTTACCTCCAGAGACAAGATAGAGCACAACATCGACCTGAACACCACCCTCACCACTGAGGAGGTTCAGCATATCCGTCTCGCTCAGCGAGTTGCCATATATCCTCCTCAAATGGCCCTCAACATACTCCACAACCGGCGTGATAGTATCCATAGCCTGTCACGTCAGCATCATCTTCATGATAAAAAATCACCTCTACAAACACTTACCGAAGATCCGCTCCCAAACCCAGGCGTATCAACAAAGCACACATTCCGATCCAGCACTGCATCCCCCAAGTTCTTCCTCCTCCTCAAGATGGGCAAATCCCCCATTTCTTCCGTCCACCACTCCGGATACGGCTTGGTACTGGCATAAATCTCCGTAATCCTTTCCGTACCCACACCGTCCTCTTTACTTCCCCTCCTCTGCTTCTCTTTCTTCCCCAAGAGGGTACTAGACGACCCCCGTGGAAACGCTGACGGCGTAATAGGATCCACATGCACGATATGCTCGCACGACTGAACAATCGCCTTGATTAACGACGTCTTCCCCACGCCGCTATCCCCCGCAATCAGCACCTTCACCCTGCCCAGGCGCTTGCCCTCGTCTGTGAACGGCCGCCGGCTGGGCATCTTGATGCTGGGCATGATTAGCTGCGGCGCACTGCCGCTGTCCATCAGGGACGAGCTGGCCCCCAAGTCGGCGACAGACTGCTGTTCTTGTTGCTCCTCCTGCTGTGGTTGGCTTGGGACTTCAATATGGTCCCCCATAGTGCTCAGCGCACAACTATCAAAATCGTCCTCCGACAAGCACAATGAGTTCCTACGCGACGAGCTCGCGCTGCTGCTGACTACCGACGCCGGGCGGCTGTGGCCCATTAAGATGGGAGTCAACGGCTGCGACGAGAGGAGGTCTGGTGTCTCGCTGGGGCGAGGGCAAGGGGAGACAGAAACGGAGCGAGAGGAAAGTTGGTCGAAATCGGATGGCAAGGTCAGGGGCAGAGGGTCTTTATTAGCGGATGAAGGGGAAAACCTGCTTGAGGGATAGTCCCGGTTGTTGCTGCTGCTGCTGCTGCTGCTGCTGCTGCTGCTGCTGCTGCTGCTGCTGCTGTTGTTGTTGTTGTTGTTGTTGTTGTTGTTGTTGTTGTTGTTGTTGTTGTTGTTGTTGTTGTTGTTGTTGTTGTTGTTGTTGTTGTTGTTGTTGTTGTTGTTGTTGTTGTTGTTGTTGTTGTTGTTGTCGACAGTTTGCGGGCGACCTCGAGTTGATGGCTTGGGGAGATCAAAGAGGCTTTCGCCGGATGGGACACGACGGGAGTGATGCAGATGATGATGTGGGTCCTTTTGGCGATGATGATGATGAAGAGGAGGAGGAGGAGGAGGAGGAGGAGGAGGAGGAGGAGGAGGAGGATGATGATGATGGGAATGAGGAGCAGCTGAATGTTGTTGATAGGAGCCAGAAGAAGAATGGATGGTCGATTCGTCGCCAAAGAAAAAGGTCATTTGCGGGGCAGGCGGCAGGCTGAAGGTAGAGGGACCGTCAGCACTGGAACGGGAGCGGGCGACATGGTCGCCGGGTGGTAGGGAACGCATTGTGACGTGATGCAAGTGGTGATGGCTGTTGTAGTGATGGTGTTGGCGGCGGAGTGGCTATGCGCACATCGATAAGCTCTTCGATAGCGGCTTGACGAGCTGGAATCAAGCAGAGAATCGATCGATCCAGCAATGGGAGGCTGTCGTGTATACTTTTTGTTGGTCGTTTGGACGGTGTGGACGCGCCAAGCAGACAAAGCACGAGCTTTGGCGGAAAGTCGAAGCTCAGGAGCTCGGTCGCAGCTCAGACTCGAAGCCTCTCACAAAGAGTCAAAGTCAAGTCAGCAGTTCTGCTTAGATGGAGACGAAGAGGAGCCGACGTGGTGACAACGTAATTCGCTAGGGCCCGCAGGGTTGGATAAGAGGGCGGAGAACAGGGAAAAAGACAAAAAGACAGGAAGAAGCCTGACAAGGAAGACAGGGAGAAGGCTAGGTAGACAAGAGGGGCTCTACACCACATCGATCGTGCCCGAGCTCACGCCGCACCAGAATGAGCTGACCCAAACGTCGTCACTTACCACTGCTGTTACAGTCGTTCTGCAAGGTCTGCGATGACAACGGTTGTTGTCGCACAAATGGTACGAATACCGTGTCTTGTCTGTAGCGCCGCGTCTCACAAAAAAAATCATGCAAAAATCGCAGAAAATCAGAATATATTCCTGTCTCTCTGCCGAGTTGCGGCTGGTTGAAGATATGTGTATTGAAGATAGTAGAAGGCGGTCTGCTATACAAACAGCGGCAGCGACAGCGACCAGAAAGTCGGCCGTTAACCCGCCAGTCTGCACTGCAACAAATTCGCAATTGATGCAAGTGCAAGAAGAGGGTGGAGCAAATGGATGGGACAACCCAAGCGGACGGACACTTGAGAGGCGGCGGCGGGGGATAGGATTTGGGGAACGCGAGTCTGCGAGAGCGAATGGCGGTGATGATGTTGGGGCTGCGGACTGGGCTGCTGCAGCGAGGGTGGACCCTCCGTCTTGGCCCCGCTCATGCCGCCCGCACGTTCCCCCGCCCCACCCACCCCCAAACATAGGGAGTGGGGCACGTGCGGGTCCGGTGAGCCACAGGCAGCCCCGCCCTAAACGGTGTGTCCACTGAGACAACAGCGCCGGGGCTGTCGCGCTACAATCTTCACTTGTCACATGCACCTGGATGCTGCAGGGTCTATGGCATTCTACTGGCTCTCACATCTGGGGCCATGGGACTTTTGGAGGAGAAGAGAAGAAAAAGCATTCTTCATGCAAATTACGCTTGTCATTTCTCGTTTGTATGCTATCTGACTTTCAACTCCAGCTCGTATCCTCATCTACCTCCATGAGTGCAGATGTGAAGTCCATAGAACTCAACTCAGGCGCAAGAGGAGTTGATAAGATGTGCGATACTTAGGCTCATCGAGCAAGGCTGGCGCGTAGAGCCAGGCCCATTACATGCAACGTATCAACGTATCATACTTGTAATGTACATCACCCGACATCATTATCATCAGCAACCCAGCTGTTTCCCCAACTCCTCAACTCCATCCGTAGATTGATGACCATGTGTTGTTTCCCGCCAGAGGCAAGATCAGACTCTGTAGAGAGTCGATGGGGAGGCAGAAAAGGCAATGAGTCCAGAAGTGGGCTGCTCAGTCCCCATACTCAATCCTCAACCAAGGGTTCCAAGCCCTACTCCCTCTCCTTCTCCCTCCCTTCAACAGCAATAACCACACCCCCTCTACCCTTCCTCCTCACAGCAGCCCTCTCCTCTTCATTCATCATCCCCTTCTCCTTCTCCCTCTCACGTTCCCTCTCCCTCTCTCTCTCCCTCTCTCTAGCCCTCTTGACCCCCGCCCCACCGGCAGCAGCAACCAACCCCGTCAGACTCGCCATGCGCCGTGTCTCACGCAGCAAGCGCTCGCGATCACGGTCTCTGTCGCGTTCGCGTTCACGCTCACGTTCACGGGTCTCGCGTATGTCGAGATTTGCGGTGTGGTTATTGTTAGTGGTATTCGAGACAACAGAGGAGCGACGGCTGATGTCGCTGGCTGGAGGGGCGGCAATTGCTGCGCCAGTGGCGGCTGAAGTACGCGAAGGCGGAAGAGGAGGGGGAGGAGGAGGAGGGAGGGGGGGGCGGGAAGTCGTTGGAGTTGTAGCTGTTGGAGCCGGTGTTATTGGCATTGTTGTTCGAGGTGATGTTGGAGTTTTTTGAGTTATTTTCGACAGATGTATCAGCAGCAGAAGAGCTGATGTCCTTGCCGCTGCGATGACGGTCGCGATCCCGCTCACCACGATCTCTGTCGCGCTCACGATCACGATCCCTCTCGCGATCCCTGTGCCTGTCACGCTCTCTATCCCTCTCACGGTCCCTATCCCTCTCGCGCTCACGATCACGCTCACGGTCGCGATCCCTGTGACGGTCACGATCCCTCTCACGCTCGCGCTCCCGCTCACGATCTCTTTCCTTCTCCCGATCGCGGCGATCCCGGCGCTCCCTCTCACGCTCCTTATCTTTCTCCCTGTCCCTGCGATCGCGATCACGCTCACGGTCCCTCTCACGCTCTCTATCCCGCTCGCGATCCCTGTCTCGATCGTGATCCCTCTCTCGGTCGCGATGCGAAGACCGATGGCTGCTAGACTTATGCCGATCGTCTTTCTCCCGGTCGCGGTCACGCTCACGATCGCGGTCCCGTTCACGATCCTTTTCTTTCTCACGGTCCCGATCCTTTTCTCGCTCACGACGGTCCTTACGACGGCTTGAGCGGCGAGAATCATCTTCCTGACCACCACTGGCAGCAGCAGGAGGAGGAAGAGGAGGAGGAGGAGGGAAAGACCCATCCCGAGATTCCTGACCTTGGACTTGGTAATCCTGCTCCTGGAGCATCTGCTGTTGCTGTTGATCCTGTTCTTGATTATAAGTGTCCTCTTCGTAAGTAGACTGCTTTCTGCGATGCGACGACCGATGGCCATGGCGGTCTGCAGCGCTAGTATTCTCCTCCTTCTCGTCAAGCGGCGGCGGTGAGTTAGACCGCTCCTGTGCCCTGCGACGGCTGCCGCGACGACGATGACGGTCGTAACTGCGGCTGCGACTGCGAGACTTGCTGCGACCACGGTCACGGTCACGGTCACGATCTTTCTCTCGATCACGCTCACGGCTAGCGCCCCGGCTGGCCGACGCGCCAACGCCAGCAGGAGACTTTGAGCGATCGCGGCCACGCTCCTTCTCGCGCTCTCTATGCCTCCGGCTGCTACTAGTATACTCACGATCAACATCACGATCCCGGTCCCGATCACGATCAACATCACGGTCCCGGTCCCGGTCCCTCTCCCGGTCTCGAGGGCTCCTGCTGCGATCGCGATCCCGATCGCGATGTTGATGAGAGTGCGAATGCGAATGGTGATACCGCTGCTGATGCTCGTACCCGCTTCGACCACCACTACCATGGTAGGACGGACTACGAGACCTGCCACGCTCACGCTCATACCTCTCACCACTGGTCGAAGGGGCACCAGACCCACCACTGGCGTTGCCGCTGCCGCCAGGGCCGTAGCCATAGCCACTGCCGCCGCCGGGGCCAGCGCCACCATGGCTGGACCCGGGGCCGCTGAAGCCCCCACCGCCGGACATCATATTATTGTTATTGTTGACAGGCTTATCGTCATCAAGCAAGCCACGAGCCTGCAGATGCTTGTAGCTTGTATTAGGCAAACCGCGGAGCATGGCCTTGGGGCCCTTGGGCGCATTGGCCGGCACGTCAGGGTTAGGCGGCGGCAGCCCGTCTCCTCCCATGCTAAAGTTGTTAGATCCACCCTGCTGACTGGCATCGCCCTCTTGCTGTCCGTCTTCACCCTCGCGGAGCTGACGCCCAAACTCGTCCACATTGTTGCTATTGTCCTGGCTGCCGTCACCCATATCGCCGCCAAAGCCCCCCTGGAACTGGGCGTTCATGTTGTACGAGCCGCCATAGCCGTTAAAGCCACCGTAACCTCCTAGGTAACCGCCGCGACCGCCGTACCCGCCATACCCGTACCCGCGGCCCCGGCCCCTACCGCGGAACCCAAATTGATAATTCCGGCGATAGTCATGGAACTGGTTCTGGCCATAATTACCTTGATTGAAGGGACCAACTGGACCTGTCTGGAAGCAACCAGCAGAGTTGTTAAACGTGCCAAAATCACCATTGCCCATGCCAGAAGCGCTTGGATGATTGAAATTATCTTGGCCGACATTCCATGATGCTTGTTGCTGCTGTCCGTTGTTCCAGTTATCGGCATCGCCTCCGTAGCCTCCCATGCCGCCCATATTCATGTTCATGCCGTTCATGCCCATGCCTTGAAAACCCCCGCTCATGTACATCTGCATCATCATCGGGTCCATGTTCATGCCTGGCATGCCTTGAAAGTGTTAGTAATTAACCAGGAATCCTGAAGTTGCTCAGGACACTCACCCATCATGGGAAAATTAAAACCATTCTGCATGGCCATCATCATCTGCATCTGGTCGAATCCGGCCGGGAAGAAGCCGTTCATGGGCCCGAACTGACCCTCACTAGGGCCTTCGGCGTTCTGGTCCTCGTCGCCGTTCTCATTGCCCTCGTTCTGGGCTTCGTCACCTTCGCCGCCCTCGGCCTCGTCGCCAGCTTTCTCGGCAGGGACGAGGGCAGTCGAGGACGCCTCTGGCTCCTCAGCACCGTCCTGAGGCGCCTGCTCCTGGAATATGTTAGAAAACATGGAAAGTCGCGGGGAAAAAAAAAATCCACTGCTGAATAAACCTACATCATCTACAGGCCTCTCATCCTGGGCTTCCTGGTCATGCATGCCCTCCGCACGCTCCTGACCATCCATAGCATTCTCAGCCGCAGGCTCAGCTGAATCCTGAGGCTGCTCCTCGACCTGAGCGGAGACCTCCTCCACAGAAGGCTTCTGCTGCTCCAGACTCATCGTCGGGGTAGCCGACACCGGACTAGGATCAACTGGGGTAGCGGGGGCAGCATCTTTAGGCCGGCTAGACTCGCGCTTCTTCTCCTCGGTACGCAGGAACACGCGGATAGTCGTGCGCAGGGGCTTGTACGGCTTGCAGTCGTCGATCGAGAGCGGCGAGTGTTCGCACACGGGGCACGACGAAGGTAAAGTTGAGTAGCAGCTCTCACAAATGGCCTGCTCGCAGCACGGCAGGCGGTATGCGTTGACGGCTAGCTTGCTGCAGATGGCGCAGCGCAGCTTCGCGGGGATGTCTTCCTGCGCGAGGGAGCTAGATTGGGTTTGCCTCGGTTAGCGGAGTGAATAACAACAATGGGGCTGTCGACTCGCAGGTCGGCCAATTCAGTACCTTATCAGCTCCAGCTGTGCGTCGGTCAGGGCAAGCGATGCCGCCATGGTGAAAGCGTGTGAAAGGGTACAATCGAAGTGGTCTGCATCAATGATCGCGCCAGATAAGACCGACTTAGAAAAGGCACACCGGAAGCATTTGGGTGCGGCCGACCACGCGGAGATTGCCAGATGCGCAACGAGCCGAAGATTGCTCGGAGCCGACAATAGCAAGGTCACAACCAAAGGGTCGTCGCGTCTTCTGGAGAAGGGAGCTCGGCTGGTGCGCCGGTTGGTCGGTAGGTCGATTGATGAGATAGGGCGAAAGTCGATGAGGCAGAAATGGCAGAAATGGGGGACCTTGTCGATCGCTGCGGGGTGAAACTGTGCTCGCTGACACGCAGCGACCCCCTTTTTTTAAGAGAAGGCAAAGGTGAAGAAAGTAGAAGAAGAAGGGTAAAATAAAATGGTGATTAGGTTGGTTGAAGGGAATTGCGGCGACAGGTCGAAGGAACTGGTGGCTTCCTGTCGCGCATCGGGCGTCACAATCTGCGCGTGCAAAATTTGGCATGACGGCGCCGCACGTGCACCTTGCTTACGTACCAGACTGGCACTGTATACTAAGTACCGCTTCGCACGGTGTGCCAAGGCCCTTATCGTTCGACAGCTGGGATGGAGCCCCCAGTATGGTTGCTGGAGATGAGAGGGAGAGAGACTGATCGTTTCATAAAGTCCTGAAGTCACATTACGGACTATTTCATAGAACACTGCAATTCAGAGTACATTCGCTAGAGTAGGAGGATGCCCAACGGAAAGAGGAAAGAAGCAGGAAAAGCCACAAAGCCCAGTCACTATGTACTCCCGCCACCAACCCACCCATAAACCAACCCAAAATGCCAACAACGCCCCCTCCTCCCTCTCAGCAAGCACAGGCATTCTCCTGACCACTTTCTCTCGCCGTGTTAAGGTTGACTCTCTGCTCCTCTGTCCGGGTAGCCGCATGAGACCCTGGCCCACGAGTCGTCTTAAGCGACGTCTCTGGAATAGCCAGTGCAATGGCTGTAAACACTTCATTCACATTATAGCCCGTTTTAGCACTGGTCTCGAAGAATAGTAGGCCCTCCTCCTCGGCATACGCTTTGGCCTCCTCGGTCGAGATCTTTCGGGCATCGCCCGACTCTTCCTCGCCTCCCGCAGCAGCGGCATCGTCCTCCCCCGCCTGGTCGCCGACGCCCGCGCCGCCAGCCCCGCCGTCGTTCGTCAGGTCGAGCTTGTTGCCAACAAGGGCGATCACGATGCCAGGCGAGGCCTGGCGCTGCAGCTCGGCGACCCAGTGCTTCGCCTTGATCAGCGAGCTCGGCTTTGTCAGGTCGTAGACCACCAGGGCGGCCTGCGCGTTACGGTAGTACATCGGAGCCAGAGAGGCGAACCGTTCCTGGCCTGCCGTATCCCAGATCTCGAACTTGATGGTCCGCGTGGGTAGGTTGCATTTCTGCGTCAGGAAGGCGGCTGTCAAAGGTCAGCGACGGCATGCTCAGACGGAACCGGAGTTCAACGAGGGATAACGGACCTCCTATCGTTGGCTCCTTGTTCTCCTGGAAGTCGTTGTTGACAAAGCGAAGGACGAGCGAGGACTGCATCAAAACTGATCAGCATACGTCGAGCCGAACAAGAGGGGAGAAAAAAATAACATGAGGTTACCGACCTTGCCGACGGCAGCCTCTCCGAGCAGCACCAGCTTCACGCTGCTGCTTGGCCTAGGAGCGTTCTGATCAGCCATGATGGCGGTGCTTTGATAGATAGTTGGTGGCGTATGGCCGGTTAGAAGAAAAGTAACAATAAGTCCGCAGCGGAGGGCGATGCGACGTGGGGTGTTGGTGCTGGAGATCGATTAAAAAGAGGGACGGGAGGTGCGGTTGCGCGGCGTGGGTTGTTGGGGACTGGAGAGATCGGGAGTGTGTGTGAAGCCTGGCCAGTGACGTGATACGGGGATCCTAGAGCCTGCAACAAGCTCGCTTCGCTCGGGACTGAAATGCAACGACGACGCAGCCCGCAGGAGGGCCGCCTTGCCAACGAGGTGCTGGAGCCACTGGAAGCGCTGGCCGGTGGGCAACCTAACGCACACTGTGCGACGTCCCGGCAAAGCACAAGCCACATCGCAGGTGGGAATTTGAGGACATACGCCAGCCAATCATCTGCTCCTTTGCGCTTGAACTTCAAGATCTCCACAGCGCCCCACTAAAAAGTTCGGAATCACCAATTCAAAGTTTCTGCAGTTCACCATCCTCGATCTTTACCCTCTGTTGTTGGGTTTCTCGCTGAAGGCATTCGACACCGAGAACCCAGACCACTGAGCAATGGCGCCACCAGCTGTTAAAGGCGCCAAGGGCGCCAACAGCGCCGTCAACGGCGATGCCGCCGACACCATTCCTTCTGTCCCCAAGAAGCCTCTGTTCGACGACGAGTCGAGCAGCGAGGAAGACCAGGAAGAGGGAGGCGTTCAGCTCAAGATCAACGAGGAATACGCCCGTCGGTTCGAGTACAACAAGAAGCGCGAGGAGCTCCAGAGGCTTCAGGAGAAGTACAAGGGCAAGAACATTCTGGCCGACGACGATGAGGAAGAAGAATCCTCCGAGTCCGAGACCGAGGACGATGACGCCGTCCTCATGACGGAAGAGCTGGATCGCGAGATTTCAGCCACGCTCCAGGCCATTCGCAATCGCGATCCCAAGATCTACGACAAGAATACCGTCTTTTACACGCCCTTCGATCCTGACAAGCTGCCGACCAAGAAGGAGGAGAAGCCCATGACCCTGCGCGACTACCACCGCGAGCGCTACCTGAGCGGCGATGTTGGCGCCGAAGACGATAAGGATGGCGAAGCAGCTGGCAAGAAGACATACGTGCAGGAACAGGAAGAGATCAAGAAGTCCATCATCTCCGAAATCAACCGCGTTGCCGCCGAGAACAATGACGATGAGGACTGGAGCGACGACGACGCCTTCATCAAGCCTGTCAAGAGGGAGGAGGCCGAAAAGAAGCCTACGGTCAAGCTCACCGAGGAGGATATTGCTAATGCTGATAAAAATCCCGAGGAATTCTTGGAAAAGTTTATGGCTTCCAAGGCTTGGCTACCTGAAGATAAGGAGCACAACTGGCAGGCGTTCGAGTCTGACGAAGGCGAGGGTGATGATATCGACCTTGCCGAGGAGTTCGAGCATGCCTACAACATGCGTTTTGAGGACCCAGAGAAGAGCAACGAATTCCTGCAGACCTACTCTAGACGGATGGCGGCGATGCGCTCGGCCAGGAAGGAGGAAATCTCGGGCCGCAAAAAGAAGCGTCAGGAAGAGAAGGAGAGAAAGGAGCGCGAGAAAAAGGAGCGCGAGGCCGAACGGGCTCGCCTGCGGAAGCTCAAGATTGAGGAGGCTTCGGAGAAGCTCGCCAAGATCAAGGAGGCTGCCGGCATCCGCGGTAAGGATCTCAAGGAGGAAGAGTGGCTCAAGATCTTGGAAGATGCTTGGGACGACGACAAGTGGGAGGAAGTCATGCAGAAGTACTTTGGTGACGAGTATTACAATGAGGCCGACGAGGAGCTTATGTCGAGCGACGAGGAGGAGGGCGAGGATGGCAAGAAGAAAAAGAAGAAGCCGAAGAAGCCCAAGTGGGACGACGACATCGACATTAAGGATATCGTCCCCGACTTTGAGGACAAGCCGCCAGTCACGCTCTCCGACGAAGAAAAGACCCAGGGCGAGGCCGCTGAGGCGGAACAAGACGAAGAGTCCGGCTCTGACTCGGAGGACGAAGGCCCGGCCAAAAAGAAGCGCAAGACAACCAAGGACATCAAGAAGGAGCGGATAGCCGCGAAAAAGCAAGCCAAGGCTGAACTTGCCAAGATCGAGCAGCTCGTCGACACCAAGATGGAGTTAGAGAACCCCCGCGCGCTCGAGAAGGCCGCTCTCAAGGACAAGAAACGCCTCGGCCTGGAAGACGGCATGCCCAAGTTCCGGTACCGCGAGGTCTCGCCAGAGTCGTTCGGTCTCACAGCCCGCGATATCCTCCTTGCTCCTTCCGACGCCGCGCTCAACCAGTTCGCCGGCCTCAAGAAACTTGCCACCTTCCGGGAGCCGGAGAAGAAGGCGAAGGACAAGAAACGGTTGGGCAAGAAGGCGCGCTTGCGCAAGTGGCGCCGCGAGGTGTTTGGCAAGGAGTACGAAAAGACAGGGCCGACATATGGGTTTGAAAAGCTGCTTGCCGAGAATGGTGAAGAGGCTGCCACGGGGGCCAATAGTTTCAAGCTGGGCAAACGGAGGGAGAAGGAGAAGTCAAAGGATAAAAAGGATAAGAAAGAGAGTGGACAGAGCGGTGAACCTGGCAGCGCGCATATTATTGATGGCGAGAGGAAGAAGAAGAGGAAGAGGAGCAAAAAGAATAAGAACAAGAGCGGTGAGGCAGCGGCTCAGTAAATGATCGAGTCAAGATGGGGGGATTAATTGTATCGTAGGCTGGCGTTTGGCTGTTTCTAGAAAGGATGTTGGAATGGGCTAAGTAGATAAATGGATGGCAGTATTTAGCAAGACATATATGACTACATATGGTTCACGGCCAAGGTGTAAAAAGCTCTCCGGTCAGCGCACCAACCCTAAGCGGTAAGATGACCAGCTGCGAAAACACCTCTAAGGGTTTTACTTCGAAATCGGCGATATGGAGAACGCCAGCCTCGTCGCTCGATCTCCCCGTCCCCGCCCCCCCCCCTTTCTCTCCCAACCGAAACCCCTCCCGCCCCTTGAGGGAAAGCGCGAATCCCTGCCACTTGACCATTTGCTGGTCAAAGTGGGAGGGGCTGGTTGTAAAAAGGAAGGTATTAGGGGTAGTATATATAGTTTGGAATGGGCGAAGAGGGGGGGAGTAAGCAAGGAGAGAGGGAAGGTACGGCCCAAAAAGAAAGGGAAGGAGAGAAGGAGAGGACCCTGGGGAGGGGCCAACCTAAGGTTTGTATCGGTGATTGTAATATTCTCAAGCTTCTCGCTACCTTTAGAAGATAAAGACCAGTAATCTTCTTTTATGTATTACTCGAGATTCTGTCATACAGATCATCTGATTTCATCTAGAATGACATTGTTTTAGCTTGACTCAAGTTTTTGTTGACCACTATATCAAGGTGTTCGTCCAGGAGTACTGTCTGCTGCCTTTCAAAACGGCGAAAGCACCCTAGATCAGCAGCTCACTGCACTTGTATTATCTTGGTTATTTTTGAGCATACATTTATCATGTTCATCGCAGTTTAACAATAACTGAGTTACAGCTAGACCACAGTTTTCATATCTCCTTGTTAAAGAGGTGAGAGCGAGATGCTTGAAGCGCACGGCCAACATTAAAGGGTTAGGGTTGTCATCTATCCTAGTCTTATCGATAAGCTCTCGACCGACCTCATAAACACCAGCGACCTTCCTCTCCCCCCAACCCATCCGTCCTCAACCCAACCCAACACCAACACCCGAAAAAATGACCTCAACAGTCGACAGAGACCTCCTCCAATGGGCGCGCGATGCAGCCTCCCGCGGCGAAGACCTCTTCGCGCTCCTCGGCACAGATGCAACCGCCACCGAATCCGACATCCGGCGCGCCTTTCGGCGCCGCGCGCTCACCGCGCACCCCGACAAGGCGGGCGCGAACTATGACCCGGCGCTCTACGAAAAGCTCGAGCGTGCGAGGGATACATTACTTAGTAAAGAAGCGCGGGATGTATACGAGGCAGAGATGAGGGCCGTGATGCAAAGGAAATTGGAGAGGGAAAGGATGGGGGAGAAGAGGAGACGATTGGTAGAAGACTTGGAACGGAGGGAGGAAGAGGCGCTGAAGAGGCAGAAGATGGGGGTACAGAGGCAGACAGAAATTGATCAGGAGAAGGCGGCGATGATTGCAAGGGGGAGGGCGAAGATGGAGGAGCTGAGAAGATTGAGAGAGGAGGCAGAGGTTAGGGAGCGGTTGGCGAGGGAGAAGGAGGAGAGGGAGAAAGGGTTGTCACGATCGGGGACGGAGACGCCGGTGCCTCTGGCGGTTGAGCAGGGTCGGACACAAGGTCAGAAAGAGCAGATGCACGATGCTTCGGCTTCGGCGCCGGCCTCAGCAGCTGACGGGGACGACTATGATGCGCGGATTGCCGAGCTTGAGAGACGCTTGCGCGAAAAGCAGGAGAAGAAGGCTGCTAAGAGGGCACAGCGTGAAGCGAAGAAGGTCGGAGAAGACAGTAGCGAGACGCCGAAAGAAGCTGCTCCAGAGCTCAAGGATACGACACAGCCTTCGCAACCGCCGCCAGCACCTTCACGACCTGATAGCCCTGCCGCTGCTGCTCCAACTGCGTCAGAGCCCGCGCAGGACAAAGAAACAACGACAACGACAACAACAACAACAACAACATCAACATCAACATCATCATCATCATCATCATCATCATCATCCAACCCTCCCAAGGCCAGTGAGCGGTTCGCGTCAACCATGGCTAGACTCAGGGCCGCGCAAGCCAAAAGGGAAGAAGAAAAAAGACGAAAGGCAGAAGAGGCAGCACGGGCTGCTGCAGGAGCCGCTTAAGGTTCACTTCTCGAGGTTCTTTTTCTTTGGATTTTAATGGCAATAGAGTGGAACAACCTGAATGATACCCAAAACCTTAAACCTCTATATAAAGCGCTTAGCTTCCTTCATAAAAAAACACAAATGTGGTATATTGTATATATTACATCTCTTCTTCGCTCTCAATCGCTTCCCTCTGGAAGCGAACCATATTCTGCTCGTTCTTCACCTCCCATTTCTCCATTAACTCCCTCCTCAACCACGCCGGCGGAACCGCCTTTATCCTCAACGGGCCCTCATCCCCTTCGATAGTAAACTCCCCCTTCACCTCTCTCACTTCCGGCACACCATCCTCGCCGGCGGGCGTCTCCCCTGGTATCGGCAAATCAGTCATAACATCCAGCCGGCACACCGCCAACCCCACATTCCCAATCCCCCTCAGCCACTTCCCAACCCCGCGCCCCTTCCCCGAAACGCGGACGATATTCGTTTCTGACGCAATTTCCCTCGCACTACTTAGTCCGGCGATCGGTCTGTCAGTATACAACCCGCCCAAATCGCCCCCAGTAGCTCTAATGTCAACAGCCTGTCCCTGACTCCCCTCGTACACCACGCACGGCAGCACACGCTTGCGCACCACACCCCGATGTTCCGTGCGCGTGACCAGCTCCTGGCCGACGTAACACCCTTTGCGGAAGTCGATGCCGCCCATGAGGTCAAGGTTGCTTTCGTGAGGGATGGCGGACATCTTGAGGAGTTCAGTTTGGCCCTCGGGCACGCCTTGGGTAATTCGGTGGAGGACGTAGTACTCTTGAGGTAGGACCTGCAGTTGACACCTTTCGGCGAAGTTTTGGATAGCATTGCCGTCTGGACCGCCAAAGTGCAGGATGCGCGAGCCCATGGCGGGTGTGCGACAGTCGGGCGTGACGAGGAGATCGTTAACAGATGCTTCCCCAAGACCATTCGGATCCCACGCATGCCAAACAGCCACCTCCTCCACATCCACTACCTTCACTTTTACCTTCGCGCGTACTCTATAGCGCTTGATATGATCCACCAACAACCCCGCCTGGTCCTTATCCACCTCGATCAAAAACGCCGCCCCTTCCACATCTGCGCTCGGCAACACCCTTTGCAAGTGCTTTGAGTCTGTAAGAGGGTAAATAAAAACATCATATAGCACCCTCCCCTGACCCGTTAACAACGCAGCATAATATCCCCGGTCGGTACGCACCATGCTCCCGCTCCCTGGCATGTACACGTTTGCCGTGACCATGCCTTGCAGGTACTTGGCTGCGTCGGGGCCGTAAACCACAACCAGCTGACGGGAGAGGAGATGGGAGATGCCACTGGGTGCGTATGAGGAGGGTATACTGGGGTTAATGGGCCCGAAGGTAAGAGAGGTGTAATGTCGAGGAAAACCCCCCTGGTGGATCGGTGGAGGTGATGGTAAAGCATTGGAATGTTGTGGGAGTGGTTTCCTCGCGACCGCGACGGCGACAGCGGTCCGGGGCCGGGCGCAAGATCGGGTGCGTAGCAAAACCCCGGCCGCCGGGGAGGTAAGCACGCGCTGGAGCCGCCATGTGGCCTGCATTTTTGTTTGGCTTCGGGTCGTGGGGGGGAGGAGCAGGTGGAAGACGGGTTGACGAGTTGACGGTAACGGTTAAGGATAGAGCAGGGCTATGCCCGCCCGCTGGCAGTCCTCAAGATTGGCTCCCAGCTGTTACGCCTGGAGTTTTGTTGGTAGGCGCGGCTTCCACTAGCGTTGCGCAGCCGCAGCTGAATCGCAGCTTCAAGGTTCAATTGGAGAGCTTTCAACCGACTGGTGACGTCGTGCCTCCTGTCTGGACGACGGTCTCGGCAGCGCCATTTTTCAGGGCGTCGGACCTCGGGATTTGTCAGTACCGAACCGATCACGACTTTGATTGGACAGCCCTGTGAACGGAGTCGGTGGTTCTCCCTCCCCCACAACCCCACTTCTCTGATCGGATCTAAAAACCAGCGATCTTGGAGTCGGAAGCGGCGTTCGATCGGATTTCCATTATCACAGCCAACAGGCCACCGGCGGCTCTTGCACAATGGTTTCCACAGGAATCTTTTGTCCAGATCAACTTCGCCTCCCGAGATGCTCACCCCTACTACGTCAGGTCTGCTGACTTACGTGGAGAGCAGCACTGAGGCCCAAACAGGTTTTGATGCATCTCAACTTTGTCATCCCGATCGCGCACCCCCTCGAACACTCCGCCCGGAACGGACCGGGTTCTAACTATCAAAGCCAAGAAACGGTGTCGACGCCGGCGTTTGAGATTGGACTTGTCGCCGTTCAAAGCTTTAAAAAAAGGGCCTTTTTCAAGATTAGCCATTCACGTGAATTTTTGAAGTTGACAGCAAGTTCTGGCCCGGTCGAAGACACCCACCAATGCGCACACCCCTCAACGTGAAAGTGGGCCTTGGGTACTGCTCGCGATGGAATGGGCACCACGACAACGACAGCTCCATCGTGATGGCTGGTTGTTGTCGTCCCGCCCTCGGAATACGTCGGCTTGCCGAGCAGTCCCAGAGATGTCAGAAAATGAGGAAACTTATCTGGCCGACCCAGCGGCATAGCAATCCCTTCAGGGCTTAGAATCCAAGCTTCTGAGGTGACAAATTCTGGATCAATCTTGAGAACGTGATTTACCTGCAATCAAACTTTGACATCTGCAACTCACGGGGGCAGGCAAGGCGGATGTCGTCTGCGCTCCTCTCAGCTGTTGTGTTGTAATATCTAAGCAAGGAGGTGTGCTTCCATAATCAAACGTCTCTCGACTTGCGACTTGTCAAAGCCCCAGACACACACTATTTCTTAAGCCTCAGCCGGTCTGCCCAACCTTGAACTAAAGAACCCAATCATCGGGCACCTCCTGCTTGCATCCAGCGCAAGGCCAACCACTCTTTCAGCGCCAAGACCGCAGAGATGTGCCGATGCAAACACCTGCCGACAAGGTCTCCGGCGCATCTTGTATGTGATGATGGGCCACGCAAGTGCCACATCGGGCTCTCTCTCTTAAGCCGTATGCACGGACAACTGTACAGTGTGTGCAGGAGTTGGGCTCTATTGAGACGCAGTAATGTCCAGAATTGAGAACGACGTACTAACTAGGGCATCCACATGACTCATCTGTCCTGTACCAGGTACAAGTGACTGCTCCAGACTGAGGCTCATGATGTCGCGTGGATGTAGAGAGGTCTGGCAATCGGAGGTGATGTGCATTTATCAATACCTCATTGAAGGACACACAAAAGCCCCTTAAGTATTTGAGATCAAATCCTGCGGCTGACGTGATGTCCCTGTTCTTCCCACGGCCCCCAATCAGGCCGGTCAACCTTTCAGGACTCAGTGGATAGATCCGTCACTTGATTGTCAGAAAGCCAAAGCGTTGGTGAGATGCTAAAACACAACCGTTACGTGTGTAAGGGGTAACTGGAATATTGACAGCCTGAATGCGCCGCCCACACAGGCCGTCAGGACAGGTTGCCAGGCAATCACACATATTTGTCCCCGTGGGGGTGGAGACTGAATATCGAGGTTTCATATCTAGATTGTGTTTCAACTGATTCATGTAAGCCACACGCCACATACCTGATGTTGGGGGCTGGTCCGGCTTCCGGGCAGGCAGCAAGTTTAAACGCGCAGCCAGCTCATGCTTCTGATGTGTTGTTGCTGGCCAAAGGTGGGTTTGTTCTACCTTGATGCTAACTGCTAAGAGAGACAATGCAAGCCAAAGCTGGAATCAGATGTTCCTCGAGCGGATGTTTCATTTTTCTTGATTGCAGTTGCTAAAACACTCAGGCATGTACCTAAACCAAACCCAAACTTTGGCTTGATGAACAAACAAGTTTTTAGCAATCCATCTGTTCGTCTCGATTCCAAACCTCTCAGATCGACAAATTCCCTCCATCACAGGTACGTCCCTTGGTAACCCCCACCCCACACAAAGTTCGCCACACAAACCCGAACCCTCTCCCACTCATTGTTGTGGTCTATCTCGGCAAAGCAACAGGGGGTACGTACCTAGCCCTCGGCCTCGGCGTTGATGTGCGACCCGCGGGAGACGCGCCCTCCCGCGAACGCATGTCCTCTGCCGGTCTCCACAGGGAGTGAGGACAGACAAGAGAAGAGTTCGCGACGGGTGACCGACCCGCTGATCAGAAAGGAGGGTCATCCCGAGTATTTGCAGGCGTCACAAACCCAACGGCGGGGTTGAAATGGAGAATATTTTGGTGAAGGGGTGAAGTTGAAAGGAGAAAAAGGGATCCGCTCTAAGCACACGTGGTCATGAACGGAGGGGTTGATTAGTAAAAGAAAGATGGAGGGGGGCCTGCTGGATGGAGCTTTTTTGATAGAGGGATGGGATGAAAGAAGAAATTTGACTCGAGGAATACCGGCTATCATCTCTCGGAGACATTGAGGATAGTGTGTAAGCGGGAGGGCATATGCTGCAGCACGACGACAGCGACGCAGGCGTAAGGTGTGTGCCAGTGTTCGTGTGAGAGCATCATCCGCAAGCTTGTCTTCCCCTCGGAGAAGGGCTACATGCTCCGTCAACACTTGACAGCGCCAACAACAAGATTGAGGCTGAGGTCACATCCAATTTTCGTCAATCCATCGTTGCCTACGCTACCATTCAGCTACGCAAGCTGTGCTGTGGTACTGCTTGCGCTCCCAAGAACACAGCTACCGACACAAGCCCGAGATGGGAGAAAAAACTCTCCTTGTCTCATCTGGACAAAGCCAAACTCCCCCCAAAAGTGCAACATTGTCAGCTTGAGTAAGTTTATAAAAGTCGAGAACAAGAAAAATATCCCCAAAAAGCAGACTTTTGTGATGCCCGAAAAGTTGAAGTTTAGCTTGGTTGTCATTTTCAGCTTGTGCCTCGTGCCTGGTAGTTCCGTTCCCCCGCGCCTGCGCGGCCCAACAACCACTTAAAGCATCGAACCGTAAAATTGAACCCGAAGCAGATTTTATGAGCAAGAAACTTTTTCAGCTGCCATCTTCAAAATACTGTGACTCTGTGCGCAATCCCCCCGTGGAAACCAGAGCGCCACATCCAAAACTACACCGCAAGACATGACAGACGGCACGAAAATGGACTCTTCCACATAGTCATTGGGCATGGAGGTTGGACCTCTCGCAGTTGCAGGAAGCAAAAAGGAAAAAAAAAAAGTTTTGATTTTGTGGAGTCTCAGTGTTTGCTGCAGCATCCTGCAGCTTCTGCATGATCCCAAGCAGAACATTAATCCCTGTGGCTCTAGAAAAAAAAAAAAAGACTTCCCCAGACCGTTCATTTCCAAATGCTCCGCTTCTGCGTGTGTGCCCGCGTCCGCGATTGCGGTGTGTCTCAAGCCAATAACAAACCAAAACCGATTCCACCCGCAAAGTCCCGTCCTGTCCTTATCACAAAAAGTTTTTTGGCAATCGTCGCTCTGCACACTGCACGCCAGAGGTGTGGATATATCAGTAGCCGGTGAGCAAGCGAGCAGGTGTGTGTGAATCATCCGCTGGCTCGGGTCGGAATCCGAGCAGCTCCACAGGGATGATCAGTCAACGTAGCCAAGACTTTTTCAGTGGTCGGCCCCGCATCCGCGAGTTATCGCGAGCTTTATCAGCAGTGTTCGCCGATTGTTATCATGACTTGGAAGGCCGATAGCGGTGATAAGGATGGAGAGATGACGATAGTGATGATGTCAACGTCGATCGCGTTTGTTGGCAACGGAGACATATGCACACACAAGATACACAGCGGAGGACGATAACGATAATATGAGATATTTTCTGCTTCATGTTGCCGCTACCTAGCGGACCGCCCTCTACCCACTTAGTACAAATGAGCAAGCAAGTTCATGAGAAGTGTTTAAAAGATAATATTGCAATATCCCAATCTTATCAATCCATCTATGCATGTATATAATATCCCCTGAGGGTCCCCATTTATATATCCCATCCAAAACTCAGCATCATATCCCATGTTCTCCTCTCAATTATAGGATGAGCGGTATAGAAGTAATGATATATATATATATATATATATATATATATATATGTGTGTGTGTGTGTGTGTGTGTGTGTGTATAAATGATAGTGTATCATGAGGAAGAGGGAAAGGACGTCGATGATAATGATGAATGAGAAACACAAACGCCGAGAAGCCCACGAAACCAAAATTTGTTTTGTTTTTGCCCTTCCCGTTGGTATCATCCCATGACAGAACGCCCGCTCAATGCAGAAAAAAACCGACAGCAAGACAAAACGATTATAGTATCATCAATGAAGAGAACAAGAAGACCAGCTTCTACCATCATCCCTGTATATCAGCGTCCTAATAGACTGATATCGCCGACACAAGACCGCCTGGCCTTGCCCTCGTTGGGATGTAGTAGACAGGCGGTGCCGCCTTCTCTTCATCAGGCACCGCATCTGGTTCTTCTGCGTCTTCGGTTGTTGTGTCGTGCTTCTCAGCAGCGTCCTCGAACGTGGCAATGACCGTCGTTGGCGGCGACGGCGGCATGGCCTCGTCCTCAGTGGAGTCGTCCGACGAGTCATCCAAGAGCTCGGGCGGCGTGGATGATGATGGCAACACCGACCGCGACGGGCTGCGGCGGAGCGCGAGTCCGGCAATATCTTCCTCTTCTTCATCCTCGTCGTACTCGTCGTACTCGTCGCTGTCGGAGCTCATATCATAATCGTCGCTTGTTGATGTTGGATAAGCAAGGTGATGTGTGCTGCTGTGCGAGGGCACGCGGCACAGGGGCACGGCGTCGGCCATCTCGATGTCTTCCTCGTCGTAATCGTCCTCGTCGTAACTGATCTCCGAGTCGTCGGAGGCTGAGTCGGAATCCGACTCTGCATCCTCAGCACACCAGTCGTGCTCGGGCTCCTCAATGATGGTATCGGCCCATTGGACGTGCCTTTCTTCGCTCGATGTGCTGTCGTCACTGCTGTTGTATGAGCTCGCACCCCGAACAGACTCGTTGAACCACGACTCCTGCTGGCGCTCGGCATCGGCCAGCTCCAGCATCAGCGAGTCAAGTAGGTTGGCGTGGCCGACCAGCAGGCGCAGGTTGTGGTTGGGGCGAGCCGCCTCGGACGAGAGCTTCGCCCGGGCCTTGTGGGCCAGGAAGTATGTTTGCGCGATGGACATTTTGTTGCGTCTATAGAAGGAATTTGTGCGTGGCCTGGCGAAGAAGGGTGACGATGGTGTTTGTGGTGAAGATGGTGCCGGCGAGGAGCCCAGGGGCCTGGCGTGTGGTGCGTATCTTGGTGATGATGCTGGTGGAATGGGAGATGACATGATGATACTGTGCGAGGCAGGCTCCCCTGATATTTCAATGTGTGTGCTTGGGCGATTTTTCGTTCGCTCTTTTTTCTGCTGTGACTCAAAGGGCGACCAGGGCCGAGCCGATTGCGGAATTGTGGGTCCTGGTAGGTTGGAGGAGTGTAGATATAAGGCTGAGGGGTGTGGATAACGACAAAGGCTTCGAGCCAGGGGGGCTTGTCGAGGTGGGACGTCGAGTGCTTCGAAGGCTTCACGATGGACGATTGTTTGCACAATGGACTTGCTATGATCACTGCAAAAGAATTCGCTGGCAATGGAGGTCGGTTGAGACAGAAAGACAAAGAAGAACAAGAAGAAGTGTGGCCTGGGGCAGGGCGGGCGGACAAGACCTTTTGTAATCCGTAATCTCTTCGCCAGGCGTCCTTGGCCCTTGGCCCGCGGTGGATGGTGTTCGGGTTCTCTCACCCACCTGGGCAAGATTTTAGGCGGAGCATGGGGTCCCACGGGCACCCATGGGGGGCGTGTGGGGAGTGCACATCCTCCCGCAGCGCGCTGAGCCCGCAGCAGCTGACAAAACCGAGCCCGATCTCCAGCAGGTCCACCACCGGCCGCCCTTTTTCTCGCTCATGTCTGTTCCAATTTTCATTTACCACAGGAAGAGCGAGGACAGCAAGAAGAGGGGTGCAATGATGCATTGCTAGGGATCCTGACATTGCTGTGCATGCCGTGGTCAAGACTCAAGAGACGGCCCGGCGCCTGCGGCGGTGAAGCACTTGGGAGTGTGCGATGCCCTGTGCGAGGCCGACACTCGCGAGGCCGTCCTCTCTTTCACAACTGTGCCCCGTCCTCGCCTCTTTTGGGGTCTGCTTCCGCCGCTCCTGAATAAGGACACAAAGCGATGGATGCTGTTTGAGTGACTCTCTGATGCCCGTTTCAACCAACGGAGATCAGCAGCGCCTCTGTCCCGCAATGTTAGCGATCAGCGCGGCTCCAGAGCGTCCCCAGTGACCCATAATGATCGCCCTGGACTCACCAGTGTCGCAGAGCCAAAAAAAAAAAAGTCGCCGGAACTTGAATTCTTGTTCCGCCGACTGCCGGTGCCTACTTTGTCCCGATCGATCGCTACGTACCCCTCCCTCGGGGCATCCACCTCCCCGCAATCCGCAATCTTTGATTGTACCCGGATCCGCCGCTATCTCCGTCCTTGTTGTCAAGTCACAGCAGCGTTTACGTCATGGAAGGGCGTCTTCACTTGCGTTGCAGCCAACGCCAGCCTGTCCCACTGTCACGTCCTTTTCACCTCGTCGTTACCAGCAGCTTCCGGTAGGTTCTGTCGTGATCGGTCCCAGGTACACATGCCGCTTGTGTGCCGTCTGAGCAACATGATTGGTGATGATGGTTGGGGATGTGCTGGCTGTAAGCGATACATTCGTTGCTCGCTGTCCAATGTGCAGGGCCCTACAAGCCGACGATCTGAATTCTAATGCCCCGAAAGGAATGGAAGCCTGAGGACAGAATGCCCCAGGAAATCTTCCTGCGGCAGGACGCAATTTGTTGTCGCAATGCATGGCTCGAATCCGCAGCTGTGCTGGGCAATCCCAAACACTTTGCTTCGCGAGTGCGAAACATGGTCATCGGCTCAAGTTACGAAGCAATGCGTGCACACACCTACACATACGCAAGACTGCTATGCTGTCAGGGCGAACATACGAAGTGGCCAAGCAACGAACAACTCCTCCGCAAAATAGCTCCGAGTTCTTCCAGCCATCCTCACAACATGAACCCCCAGCTCATTTGCTAAGCCATGCCCTTCGTCTCAGCATGGACCCTACGCGACTGCTACCTACCCCTCCATAGGTGTGTACCGTGTATGCATAGCACCTCGCCCGGCCCGCCAGCCAGCAAAACCCGCACCGCCCCCTTACTGATGGAATCAGCATGGACAACACGATGTATACGAGCATCAGGCATCGGTTTTTTCACTCGTGTCGTCTCCCAGCGGTGTTGATGTGGAAGCTGCATACCAGAATAGGGCCGTCAACATTCAAAAAGCGGTTGCGATCCGTTGGTTCAAGCGTCGGTCATACTCTCTGGATGCTGTATGCACGGTCTGGCAATGTGGCTTTCTTCTTCTCCTCCCCCCCCCCCCCGCGGGGAATCTGGTTTTTCTCGGCATCTTCTTCTCGACGCGATGAGGAAAAAAAAAAATTCTACCACAGAGAAGTGTAGGGTAGGGTATAAAACAAGGGGGTGGCATCGACTCCCCCTCGTGATTGGCGAGCCCGTCCCTCCCCCATCCTATAGGGCTGACAAAAGGGTGTCTCACACCCAGAGCGGCGGGAACTTTGGCGGATGACAGTGTTTGAGTAACCAAGCCACCAGCAGGATGGTGTCTCTCGGCATTTTTGGTTCCCATTCTCGCGGGAAAAGGAGGGTTGGTCGACTTGGACTGCCCGCTCTCCTGCCCCAATGAAGAATTAAAGTCCCGCGGTGTTTTCACACGCCTGTTTCTGAATGAGGCATTCGGTGATGCCCCTTGGCTTGCTTGGCTCTCGGGGAGACTTGCACGAACAGAGGAGCAGAGGCTCAACCACTGGGCCTATTTCGTCGCCGATTGTTTTTGAAGGGCATGGACAGGTGGCTTGGCTTTTGTGTTGTTTCCGCCAGAGGAGGGCTGCCTGGTAGACGTCGGTATTCTGACGCAGCACTGCAGGTGATGTCATGCTGCTCGTCATGTACTTTGCTGGCTGACAAGTCTTGACACCACACACATCACACTTGCGCTGTGGATATGTGTGTTATTGAGGTTACATTGCAAACTGAGACTGAGACACACCAATCGCAGCGGGAACTGCGGTTCGCTTTTGGTTTTCCAGGCAGCAAAATAACGCTGCCTTAGTCAGATACGTAAACCACCACCAAACCAAGGCACAAACCACAATGATGTGATCTGATCCAGCTGCCTGAGGACGGCAGGCATTTAGGGTGAGCCTCGGTATAGTTTGGATCATCACAACAGACTCTAGACAATAGCGCGAGAACCCCTCTTTAGAAGTTGAGTCTAGAGTCAAGTGCCGACGATCTCTTCAGCACCCCACAGTCCCCGCTAGCAACCGCAGAGAACCTTTCTGGCTGAGCCGAGTAGGTATGACGCACAGTCTTGCATCGCGGACGTAGGTACGACTCTTTCGCATCACAGCCAATGGCAACCTTCCCCCCTGCAGTATGGCTGAAATGAGTGAATTGTCGAGGAGTGTGTGGTGTGTGAAGATTACGCATGGCGCATTACCCTTGCGGCCCGGGACATGTGGCCATCAGCAGAGTGCAATATGAATCCCGATCTAGTGGATGATTTCGATGATCGGTCCCCCCGTTGTGCCTGAGTGAGTGATCGAGTAAATTCACGGCCCTGACTCGCTATCAATGGGCGGTATCCTCGCCGTAATGGATAGCTAGTATCTCCCTGGTGGATTCTGATGATGGCCCTCCCAATCGTCACTACCTATCTCGCATGGCAATAGCAACTGCAAGCTGACGGGTAGGTACCTACCTACATAGGTATGTCGTAATGAGTCGCGGCCAGACGAGTGATTTTGCCCCAGCGACGTTCGTTCTTATGCGGGAGTTAGGCGAAGAGTAATTCCCAACCCTGACTCGCGCCCACTAGGCTGTGTCCCGGCCATAGTGGATAAGCTAGGTAGTGTTCTAGCTATTCTAATGACAGCCGTCCCAAGCGCCACTAGGTATCTGTCTCGAGTCGTCCTCTTTGCCATTTTTTTTGTCGTTTCTACCACAATCTCCTCCCAGAACAGGAGGACTCCGGCTTCTAGACACGGCGGCCATCTATCTCATCAATTCTCCCGGACTCGTGGAGCAGGTATATCCGGGCTCCGGCCTGGCCGACATCCGCCTCCCCCGGGTCCACCCAACCCTTCTTATGATTGTTTATCAACCCTTCTTACAACCCGGGAGACCCCGTCAAGTTTTGATTCTCGGAATCGCAATTGGAACCTCTCGGATGGACCCTCCCGAGAGAGGTGGAGTCACCCTCGGTCTCAGCATGCGTCAACGATGTGGGAGGGGAGCTCGGAGACCTTGACGGAGCTCCCATAACACCGCGGGAGGTCTAGATCGGGATGGGACGGAGGGCTTCGGGACGGCTGCCGGGGTGGACACGGCTTCGGAATTTGTGTCTGATCGGGCGGTTCGGGAGGGAATGATAGTGGGGAGTCGGGACATCAAAAGCGATGAGGGGAGTTAAGATCCTCGAGTGACTGGCGTATATTTTACTGATGACCCTGATAGAGGGAAGTCGGGCTAATCCCAGTTAATAATGAGCCAACCTTGGATTGAGTGAGTCAACAACTCGACTCATCTCTCCGGTTGTCTATTGACTCAGTTTGGCTCAAGTCGTATTGTTTGGGTGAACCCATATGACATGAGCTTGAAAACCGAGAAGTTTGAACGATGCTATTTTGTCATACCTGGTGGAGATCTCACGACACCGAAGTAATGAGCGACATGCGTGAGCACCTACACCTCAATCCAAAACACGTCAAAGAATGTGAGACTCAGACACCAAAAGCAAAATACATTCCGCTGCCTACATTCTGCTGCCAGTTTACACGCAAGATGATACTCAAGCCAATACAGACAATCCGAAACCAGAAAGATACCCAAACTAACACTACCAAATGACAGCCATGTTTCCATCCCTCCATCCCTCCATCCCTCCATCGATGCACAGTCCCATGCAGCACATCATTCAGTCCAGTTGTTCAAGCCTATAGCGCTCACGACCATCAAACAAGCCCAGAATGGCAACAGTAGTACCCAAGAGAAATGTAGAGAAGGATGTACACCTCACCACGCAGCTAGGAACCTAGGCGAACAGGTGAATTGCCATTTCACAAGACATCAACACAACACGCTCACTTCTTCGAATCTCATCCCCCTATACATCTGTTCAGTCCAGCCAAAGACCATCCATCCATTCATTTCACCTAACAACCAGCAAACATCAAAAGACATTCCAATTGAACAAGGGCCCCCAAAACATGCTTCAATACAAAAAACAAAAAAAAAAAACACATCTAGTTATGAGTAGATCAATAAATAAAAAAAAAACTTGTAAATAATGCTTTAAGGCTTGTTATTCCACTCCCTCTCGACACACGTCTCCCCGACCTGCAATGACTTCTTTACCTTTCCCAAGACCCCCCTCAATGTCTTTGGCGGCGCTGGTGGTGGCAAAACGGCCTTCGCCTCGTTCGTTGTTGTTGCTGTTGATGAGTTTTGCTGCCTCCTGGATGGTAATGGTAATGGCCTTTTGCTGCTGCTGCGAAGAGACCTTTCCTCTAGATGCCGGTCTGAACTGACCGGCCCATGCCCTTGCTCTGTTTTGCTGCTGTGTTGTAGTAACCTCGACGCCCGTCTCCCTCTCTCTTCTTTTATCACCTCCTTTGTTACACGCACCTCCATCCCCCTTTTATCCCCTTTGCCTTCGTCCTCCTTCTCCGTCTCCTCCCCTTCCTCCTGCACCTCCCCATTCCGCTTCTCCACAACTCTAACTACTTCTTCCATCATCCCAACCAACTCACCCTTCTCCACAGCACCAACCACCCTCCCCATCTCCATCACTAACTCCTCCACAGCCGCCAACCGACCCATCTCCTCATCTGTATCACACAGCGGCCATGTTCGCCGCCTCAGCCCACACATTGTGCTCGGCTGAGAAGGCAGCCAAGGTTTGAGCCGGGCCGAGACCCGCCGCCAGGTGCTTGTGAGTTTGCCAGCTAAAGAGCCTGAGAAGCGTAGGCCGGTCTGTTTTTGCTCTTGCTCATGTTGGGCCTTCTGTTCCTGGTGCTGTTGCTGTAGCTGCTGTAGCTGCCTGTGTAAATAATTGATGATGATGTCTTTTCGTATGTCTGGGATACCTCGGAGCTGCGGGCTAGGGCCAGCTGATGGAGGAGTGATAACGGTTGATGGAGGAGCAGAGCAGGCGCTAAATGGGGATGTTTGAGAGCCACCTGCGGACTGGATGGAAGATGGCGAAGATGATGATGGTGAGGGGGATCTCCAGGATGGGTGTAAGTATATCTTTGGCAACGACGGCAGGACGGATGGCGGGGGGACCTGGGGTCTTTTGGCCAGCACCGGTAAAGGCTCCTAGTCCTTTGCCGGCTGCTCCTCTTCCCAGCCCCAGACTTGGGCCAGGAACCGGGCCATGTTAACCCGTTTACCCCTGATTTCCTTCATCCATGGATGCTCAAGCATGCGCCATGGTGTCGCACGGCGGGCAGGGTCCTTCTCGAGACTGCAATGTGTGAGCCAAGTACATAAATTAAGGGTTTTTTTTTTTTTTCCTTTCTTGGGGGAGGGGGAGGGGGGTGGGGGGGGGGCGAGGTTGGGTAAAGGTACCGAATACTTACCAGCACTCGATGAAGTACTTGAAGTTATCACTCCATGTGATATCAGGCTCATCCTTCAATTTCGGAGGCGGCTGCTTCACGATATAGGTGAGCAAATCAATCAGACCCGCACGAGGTTGCATCTCGGTGCCGTCCGCAGGGAAAGGGAAACGGTGTTGGGCCACTTCGAGCAAGGTAACGCCGGTCGACCAGACGTCGGAGGTGATGGTATAGGACTGGCCGGTGATACGCTCAGGAGCCATGTAATAGCTTGTGCCGATGAACGTATTGGCATCGCCCTTGGTACCGAACTCGCCTGAGACGCCAAAGTCGCACAGCTTGACTTCGCCAGCGCGAGTGAGCAGGACGTTGCTGGGCTTGATGTCGCGGTGAATGATTTTCTTGGAGTGCAGGTAGGTCAGACCGCGAAGCATGGCCTCACCGATCTTACCCAAGACCTTCTCACCGGTGCGGCCGCCGAGTCTCTTGACCTCCTTGTAGATGCTGTCGAGGGAACCGCCCTCGCAGAACTCCATGGCGATGGAGATGGTGGCGGTAGCGGGGTCGACGAAGGCGCCGTAATAGCGGCAGATATGTTGTGATGCGCACTCCTTGTTGAAGCCCAGTTCTCGGACGATCTGGCGTTTGACGCTGGGATCGGGGTTGGTTGTGATGACCTGAGCCGTCAACAAACGATCTTCGAAAGCGATACACCAATAAGAACAACCCACCTTAAGAGCAAAAATGGTCTCGCCACCCTTGAGCTTACACTTGGTCACCGAACCGCCGGCACCCTCGCCCAGGCGGCCGAGCTCGATAATACGCTTCTCCAAGGCAACAATCCTCCAACCCTCATCGTCGAGATCCTCCACGTCCAGAATTCTGGCCTTTTCTATACTTAATTGGCTAAAGCTCTCCAGGCCGTGAAGGCTGGCATCCCGGTCGATGTCAACACCCTCACTAGCATTTGAGTAGAGCGAGCCGACAGCCGAGACGGGATCGCTTGGTTGCCTTGTTGAGCCGAGACCGAACTGGCTTGCAAAGGACATGACACTGAACTGGGAGCCTGCACTTGTAGGATTGCTGGCACGGCCGTCGAGGGGCCCGAAGCTGCCACTTCTGCTATGAGCGGTGCTGCTTTCGCTGCCACTAACGCTTTGTTGACTCAAGGACCGGACGGGCTGCTCTTGTGGTGTAACGGTGCTCCCCATAGGGGTTGCGAGGTGAAGGGTCGGCAGGGGTGGCTTCGGCGGAGGGGCATTGGTGCCCCTCGCGGGGATTGAGAGCCCCAGGCGAGGAGGACGGTTGCCAGCACGTCCGCTCAGAGGCGGCGGCCGGATAATGGGAGCTGGGGGAATTGTGGATGGTGCTGGCGCTGGTTGCGCCTGGGGCTGTTGTGGGATGGCCGACATGGCGGGCACTGACGATGGAGGAGCTGGTTGTGAGGGGTAGTGTGGAGAATAGTCGAAGGGCTGGTTATACTGCTAGGCAGGCCGTGCCCAGGCCGAAGTTAGCAGAGCACAGCGTCAGGATGAAGAGTAGATAATACGAGAGATGATCGGAGTAATGTATGTAGAACAAAGAGCGGAAGAGACGGGGGAATGTCGGCGGAAGCACAGAAAAAAAAGAAGCGCGGGCCGTGTGTCTCTGTCTGGGACACACAAGCAGGACTCCAGGACTCTGAACCCAGGACTCCAGCGCCGCCGAGACCCACTAGTGCCTGACGGTCTGGACCCTGGACGACCACGCTGACAAAGGCTCGCTCTCTCTGTCTCGCTCTCTCACTCTATCTCCCGTCCTGAGCTCACCAAAGAGCAAGATGGCGTCGAGTTGGTTCCAGTTTTAGTGCTTTGTGCTGGGGAAGGGAGAGTGTGTTGGTGTCAGGTTGGGAGAAGGCGTTCTTGAAGCAACGCCGGGGGCGGCAAAGGGGGAAAGCTTGACAAGGGGGATGCGGAGGGGTCAGCGGGTAACCAGTAGCCAGTGGAGGAGGGCACGAGAGCGATCAGCAAGCGGCGAGGTGCCTGTGAACTGATGACGGGAACAGGGGCCAGGGCAAGGATGCGAGAGAGGGCGACGCCCGGTCAGCGCGCTGAGTGGCCTGCTTGGGGTCCTGCTTGGCTGCTGCTTGGCTGCTACTGCAGGCGGCGGGCGGCGGGCCGAATTGAAATGGGATGCCCAGCGCCGGCACACGCGCAAGCGCACGCAGCCAAAAGTTTCCGTTTAAAACAAACGCAGAAAGGAGCAATCAGAATGCTGGCAGACGGATGGACAAGATGGACAAAAGATAAACGAACGGAGGGCGTCATACCACGTTGCCAGCACTACCAACCGCCCCGGTAGCGCTGTCGACCTCGTGATGCTGCTGGTGCTGTGGATGTTGCGGGTGTTGTGCCTGTGGGATTGCGATTTGTCTGCCGTCGGGATAGTCGACTCCCGGTCGATGTGGCGTGGCCATTGCCGTGTCGGTGTCTTGGGTCTAGATGGTCGGTGAGCTTGAGCTTGTTGATGGGGTGAGGTTGTTGGACAGAAGGATCGAAACCGTAGCGGCAAGTTTGGTGAGATTTTTTTTTTTTTTTTCCCCAACTGCCTAGAGCTGTCACGGACTGCTGGGCGTAATCTGTACGTAGCTCGAACTTGGGATCGGACGAGATCGTGATCTGGACTGGGCTGTGGGCTGCAATTTTGAATGGAGGTCGGATCAGGCTGGAGTGCGAATACAGCAACGTTGGCCTGGACTGTGAGCTCTGCGCTGGATGGAAGAGCTTCGATCGGATGGAGACTGGACGGGGCTGCTTGACTGGATGGAACGGCCTGGGCTGGAGCCCTGCGTGCGTGCGTTAGGGTCCTCAAGGGGTTGGTCCAGTGCTCGTCTCAAGTGGGTGGATTGCTCATCTGTGGCCAGCACAAACCAACAGCAACAGCAACCTCAGGTTTCTTGCTGCTCGGACACAGCCCAGCGAAAGTGGGCTGCCGGGATTCTAGCGCTGGCGCCCACTCCCTGCCTCTCCTTCTTACCTGACATGCCGCCGAGCCTGCCTTACTCTTGCAAAAAGCTAAAACCTGGGCAAACATTAAGCGCTTTACTCTGAATTCTGATTGGTCTGCTAGTCCAGGTGGATCTGGGATGGAGCAATGGTGGGGCTCGGGTGCTCAACCCAGATCCCATCCACCCACCATTATCCGCCGCCAAGTCGCCAAGCCTGCGTGAGAGCCCCACCTTCGCGCAAGACAAGCTCACTCCAACCAAAATTTTTGAAGTTTTCTGAACAATTTGAGAGTCGAACCTCGACATTCGCAACCCTTGCTGTTCATTCCACGACGAAATTCCGGCTGACGTCGGCTATCAGTGTTGGTTCCAGATATTTGGGTGCGTCCTCGTATTGCGCCAATCGCCACAACCGCGCGGCTTATCGACGCAAACTGATGCCCTCCATGCCATCCGCCGCCCGTCCAACACCACTCTCTCGGGCCCGCGAGGCACCCACAAAGAAGAAGCAAAGAAAGGCCCAGGAAGTGTCCGACGGTGAATTCGATCAGACCAACAGCCAGGAGAGCGAAGACAGCGATGATCACGGAGGCGTTGCCCTCGACTCCGAGCTTGACTCAGATGCTGGGAGCGCAGCTTATGACGACGAGCAGTCAGAATCACAGTCACAATCACAATCACAATCACGGTCACCATCACAAGCAAGATCAGATTCAGATTTAGACTCAGATTCAGACTCCCTAGACAACGACGGCCCCAGGAAACGGCGCCGCACATCGGAGTCTCCGGCGCCGCTAGACTTGCTTGACGACGATGACGATTACGAAGATGTGAAGCAGCCGGCTGCGCAGCCAGTCAAGCTGCCCATCTCTGTGCCGTCTCGCATCAAACGCAACAACGCCCAGCCGGCGAAACCGGCCGAACCCCCCAAGGCAGCCGAACCCGAGCCCGAGTCGTCTGGCGGGTTAACGACCCGTGTTGACCCCAACACAACGTTCGAGTCACTCGGCGTGGCCCCCTGGCTCGTGCAATCACTAGCAAACATGGCCATTAGACGGCCAACACCCATCCAAAGGGAGAGCATTCCAATGCTGCTCAAGGGCCGGGACTGCATCGGTGGGAGTAGGACCGGTTCGGGCAAGACTGTAGCCTTCTCCGTGCCAATTCTGCAAAAATGGGCCGAGAACCCGTCGGCCATCTTTGCTCTGATCCTGACCCCGACTCGGTATGTCAAGCTCAGCTGTGTTTTTTGTTGCTCCTGAATGTTAGATGCTAACCAGCGTAGCGAATTGGCCCTGCAAATATTTGAGCAAATCAAGGCCATCTCCTCCCCATACTCGCTGAAAGCCATCTTGGTCACGGGCGGCACCGACATGCGCCCCCAGGCCATTGCCCTGGCTTCGCGCCCACACATTGTCATTGCTACGCCCGGCCGTCTGGCCGACCACATCCGGACGTCTGGTGAAGATACAGTCTGCGGTCTGCGCCGGGTACGCTTCGTGGTGCTCGACGAAGCCGACCGGCTACTCGCCGCCAACGGCCCAGGCAGCATGCTCCCCGATGTCGAAGAATGCCTCTCAGCACTCCCGCCCCCGGCCGAGCGGCAAACCCTCCTCTTCACAGCCACCATCACCCCCGAAGTGATGGCCCTGAAGAGCATGCCCCGTGCTCCGGGCCGACCCCCCGTCTTTGTCTGCGAAGTCGACACCGAAAACCTCGCCATCCCCCCAACCCTGCGACAAATGCACCTCCAAGTGCCTGTCACCCACCGCGAGCACTACCTTCACGTTTTCCTTTTGACCCCGCAAAACGTCGACAAATCCGTCATCATCTTCTGCAACCGCACATCGACGGCCGACTTTTTGCACCATCTCCTGCGCCTGCTCGGCCATCGCGTGACCGCTCTGCACTCGCGTTTGCCCCAGCGCCAGCGTATCGACAACCTAGGCCGGTTCCGTGCGCAGGCGGCGCGCATTTTGGTCGCCACGGACGTCGCGTCCCGTGGTTTGGATATTCCTGAAGTGAAGCTGGTCATCAACTACGACATCCCGCGGGATCCAGACGACTACATCCACCGCGTCGGTCGCACGGCGCGTGCGGGACGGAAGGGTGACGCGGTGACGTTTGTCGGGCAGAGGGACGTAGAGCTAGTGCTGGCGATTGAGAAGCGGGTTGGCAGGCAGATGGAGGCGTGGTCGGAGGAGGGGGTTAACCTGGAGACGAGGGTCATTCGGGATGCGCTTAAGCTGGTAGGTGAGAAGAAGAGAGAGGCGTTGTTGGAGGTTGAAGAAGGGAGGGAGGTGGGCGGGAAGAGGAAGCGGACGAAGCTCAAGCTTAATAGAACGTAGTATCGAGGCGGCTGGATACCCCCTCTCTCTTAATGGCAGCCATACAAAGCCCGTTATCCCTATCATCCTTCCTACCGTGTTGTGTTACTCCCCAACCCTAGTATCCTCACCGCATTCCCCCCCAACACTAGCCTCTCCTCTTCACTCCCCTCCCCAAACGTCTTCCTCACGGCCTCCCGATTCAACCGTACGCTCTCCCATTCCATCCCCTCTCTATACTTCTCATCAACGGGCGGAAAGAAAGGGTGATCCGTCCCAAACATAACCCTCTCCACCCCTCCCACCGCCTCAACCGCCGCTTTCAGCCCCACTTCAGAGTACACCACCGCATCGAGGTAGACTTGCTCGCGCAACACCTGCCATAACGTCCTCCTTTCCTGATTATCGAACTTCTTGGTTAAGAGTTCGTCATGCACCACACAACTCTCCACCCTCCCCGCTAGGAAGGGGACGACGCCCCCAGCGTGGGCGATAATCACCCTCAGCCCTGGGACTGTGTCGAAAACGCCTGCTAAGTACATCCTCACTAGGGCGATGGATGTTTCCACGGGGAAACCGATTGCCAGTGGCAAGACGTGGCCGTACTTGGACTGGGTGTTTTGGCCTAGCACTGAGTCGGGGAGGCCATAGTGAGGGTGTAAGAAGATCGGGAGTTGTGCAGCTGCGAGGGCGTGGAAGATGGGAAGCATGGCAGGGTCGTCGAGGCCGGAGTGGGATGGGCCGAGGCCGGAGGTGGAGAGGATTATCCCTCTGCAATGGGCGTATTGAGATAGCTTTGGGATTAAAGAGAGAATTGCTTCGAGTGGAGCTGTCGTAGGGAGCGCAGCGAGGAAGAACAACGGGTCTGGCCCCTCTCGGTTTTGTTGTGAAGCTGCTGCCTTGGAGCACATCTCCTCCATCTCCCTGTTCACCTCCTCCGCTACCTTGCCGGCCTCTTCCCCGTCCTCTAAGAAATCAAGCCACGGATTAGCGAGCGATACCACCGACGTAGTTATCCCATGCTGCCGCATAAACGCGAGCTTTGCTTCCGGATCGGTATAGTGCTTGGTCAGAGGGCGCCCGGGCAGGGGTTCGCCCGAAGTATTGGCTGCTGGGGAAGAGAGGGCTCGCTCAAGAGAAGGGAGTTCGGACTCAAGCAGGAGGAGACGTGGTTCTTCGGGCGCGGAGGGGAAGGTTCGTACCATGGGTAGGGTGGTGCGGGAGCGGAGGAGGGAGATGTAGGTAGGGGGGTACATGTGGGTGTGGATGTCGACAATGTAAGGCTGGAACATTGTGATAGTTATGATTGTCGTTGATTGGGGTTCAGGAATTGGTGTTTGTTGGCAGTCCCGAGAGTTGTGGAACCTGGATTGGGGGAGTAGGAGTTGATGTTGATTTTCAAGCTACATGTAGTTACTACCTCTGTAAGGGTTCGGCAAGGATTGAGGGGTCGTTGGGTCGATATCAGGCTGTGCTACCAAACAAGTGTTTGTCCGTGCTCCCATGTCCTATCAATCCTGCAAATGCTTCTTTATCGTTGTTTCCCTGTGTGATAGGTCCAACAAATCCTTCCCCCTCTTCCATCCCTATCAAAGAAGTCCTTAACGTCCAGAAGCATGTGTCTGGTTCCTCCCCCCCCCCCCAAAGCCCCACTCAGCCGAGTGCCCGTTGCTAAGCATTGCCAAGCCGGCTTTTTCCCCGAAGCCCCACTTCCCGCGTACCCCGCACTGTTCTCGAACCAGTTGGGCAAGAAGAGCGATAAGATAAGGAGCCAAGTGCCAAGGTACCAAGTTGTCTACCAACATCGAAACAAGAAGGACCAGTGGGGAATCTTGGGTGATTGAACTTGTAAGGTGTCACTTTTTTCTGCTCGTAGTATTTTGCATATCTTGGTTAGAAAGATTCTGTAGATGCATGGCTCAGGGGTTGTTGTAGTACAGACGCGGGCGTCTGGTTGAGTTACCTCAAACGGAATTGACAGCGAACCTCAGATATCACTAAAGGCAAGAAAAGGGGAACGTGGCGTACCAGAACGCAGATGTTTCTGTCTTGCCAATGTTGCTATTATGACTCTAAGCATGAGTTTATGCCTTCAATGGTTATTATACTGATAGCACTCCAGCATGCCTAACCTAGCTCAATAGCCCTCTATGCTATCATACGATCCTCACCCTCATCAGCTCGCTCTTCGATGCCGATTCCCACATGTCCATTGGAACATGCTTGGCCATGCTTTCATCCATGTATGACAAAGTCATCAATTCCACTCTCGCCATAGCCTCGTGATTATGTTTTTTATTCGACGTGAGCACAAGCGCATAGTGATCGTTCTTTGAAAAAAAAAAATCCCTTCCATTAAGTGAAACCCTAGGGGCCAGAAAAAGCTTCTCATCTTCCAGAATCGATTCCAGTTGATCAAGACGTATTCGATGGACAGGTTAGATAAGATGATGTACGGGATGCTGACGGTCGGCGTTTGCTAGGAGACAGCCCCAGATGCTGCCGATTATGTCGGTCATCATGAGAGTTTTCGCATTCAGAACGCCCAGACCGAGCTTCATCACACGCGAGACCTTCTCGTCGCTGGAGAGACGGGTCAGGCCGCGGACGAGCATCTCGTCTGAGGCTCATAGAGAGACAAAGAACCTGTTACATACTTGCCAGCTTTCCGATATCTTCCTCTTCGTGGATAACTAAGCTACTTACGCGAAGAGGAAACCCTTCCAATCCGTCATCCTCGCACCTCTAGTTTGCCGATAAATGTAAGACCTCAAAACCCACAGCTGCTTCAAGCAATACCACGACGACGCATTTGCCTGCGTCTTCTTAAACTTCTCCAAATCCTTACTTGAGCCACATCCCATATTCACCATCCAAGTATCCGATTTCCTCATAAACTCCGCCATGACATCCCCGACCGTCCGAATCGATTTCCCCTCGTCCTTACTACTACCATGACCCAGCGCCACCGTCATCATTACCCATGCCTTAACCAAATTCATCCTTCTTACAACCCGGCACAACACAGGACTAAGCAGCAACCGACACCTCTCCTTCACCAGCAGAGCATAACGTTCTCTGATCCCTCTCTCTACCCCTAACACCCTCCATTCCTCAGTTCCGTCCTTTAGCCGGGACAAATCATCCCCAGACGGCAGCAAACAAGAGAAAATATTGTTCCCCGGCTGAAGGCACATCTGCTGATATGCTTGTTACGCACCGCAGTTCTTGTATGATGCGAGGGAGCATGTGGCGGAGAAGACCCAGCCTTGACGACCCGGTGGGATCGAGTTGGTCGGGGACGGAGGAGGGTAGTACCGTACTGGACGAGGAGGAGATCTCCTTGGCAGGATTGGAAGTCGGATGAATAGGCTTCCAAGCAAGCGTGGAGTGGGTGTTTGATTAGGTGGTTGAAGAAGGCGGCGTGGTGCATTGCTTTTGAGGTGGAAGACCTCGGTGGATGTGGCTGCAAAGGAGTGCAGGACTTGGGTGCGGCTTGGATGGGGTCATGAAGGCTTCGTTTGCGAAGTAGATATCGTATTCGTTAGCGGAGAGGAAAGTGGAGTTGGTCGAATTGTAGCTGATGGTAATGATGGCAAGTTGTTTTCTTACATTGAGAGATTCTGAAGGCTTGAAAACGAAAAAGATACACCGATCGAAGTCCGTCATCTCGCCAGACCAGCTTTCAACACCATCCTACATAGTTACAAGCCCTTTACAGAGAACGTTTGTAACATATCTCCAGCTCAAACACGCTTACAACAAATGCGACGGCACCGAAACCACCGCCAACAGCTCACAACCATTATCTCCTCCTCTCAACAACCCCACCCCCAGACACGTTCCTAATAATATAAGTCCCCACATTCACCTACCTTCCCTGCTCATGCGCTATATCAATACCGTCACTCGTCGGCGCAGCCAAAATCTGCATGCAATAGTTACTCCCCGCGAGAAGGATACTATCCAGGGTATCGATAAGTGCATGCGGAGCCGTGCTGGTGCATTTCACGGATGAGCAGCAGGCTCCCTCGGCTGGGATGCCCAGCCCTACGCTGGTTGGTATGCTAGAGGTTGGGGAGTGATGTGTAGTTCAGATTGTGAAGGTTGAGATGATGAGGAAGACGTGGAAGGAGGCGAAGAAGAAGGAGAGGGAGGATATGTGGTGCATCTCGCAGAGTTTCTTTCTTGCATTCCTCGAGGTATACAGGGAATGGATCCATATCTGAGACGGTGATGGAAATCGTCCAGGGAGCCGACGGTCTTGTCCACGGGAACAGATGGAACAATTCTGCATCTTACAAAGATATTTGCCAGCCGTGGCTGGTCTTCTATCGGCCGTCCTTGTCGCTATTGTATTTGGCGGTGTTATGCTAGTCTTGTTGCTAGTCTGTGAAATCCAGATATTGGACTCGGAGATTATCCCATTTTCCGGTAGCTGTAACGCAGTGATTGCGGCAGCCTGTCATCCGATCCAGCACGATGATATGGAGTACTCAAAGTTATTTAGATGGGGGAAGACATGACTCTACAAAGGAGGGGTAGCGCATCCCTCTTTCACGACCGGATAGGTTACGAAGCCTGTTTCTGGGCAGAGTTACATGTAGCCGGTAAAATTAAAGTCGGATCTCACAGAAAGAAGTCATTGGTTTCGTAACTCGTTGCCTACGATACCAACGTCATGGAGATGATAAACACGCTTCACATTTTCCAGGCAACTCCCGTCAGAGAACCCCCGAAGCCCAAGTTGCCGCCAAGCACCTCACTCCCTCCATCATTACCGTTACACCGCAGAATCTTTTCTTATCGACAACCTTATCTTATCGTTTACACGACGCCCCTGCACCTCCCCTCACAGGAAACTGCAAAAGCAGAGGAAACGGAGGGCAGAGGCAACCCCGTTAGGATAAGATGTTGCAGCCAGTGGTTTTGTCTCACCTATCAAGCAGACGATAGCCAATGCTTTTGTCTCCCATGATGCAACAGGAGCAACGGTAGCCGGGGACATGATTCGAGGATCAGGAAGCTGCTGCAGTTTGGGAAGCAGAGGGGTAAGACAGTTGAGGGGTTGATGAACATATGAATCCTCGGTGCCCGTCTGGATGGCATAGGACTGAGTTAACTCTTTCACTTTTCTTCCTTTACTCAGTCAGAGAGCCTTTTGTCGTGAGATACCAGTGTAATACGCCAGTCATTTAATGCCTTTAGGGAATTTCCAAGTCACCCCCTGATCTCGCCCATCATGGAGAAAGCAGCTGTTCAAGGAGACGGCCTCCTCATCCCAGTATACTCCCCCCAACCTCCTTTCCCCCTCCTGATCTGTTCTAACATTATCCCAGCTCATCGACTTTTCCAAATTCCTCAACGGTTCTTCCTCCCAAAAACTCTCCACTGCCCAAGCCATCCTCCGCGGTTTCCAAACCGCCGGCTTCATCTACCTCTCCAACATCCCCATTCCCCCTTCAGTTGTGTCCCAAGTCTTCTCCTACTCCGCCACTTTCTTCAAACTTCCCATGTCCGAAAAGCTCAATATCGCCTGGACGACCCCCGAAGCCAACCGCGGCTATTCAGCCCCCGGCCGCGAAAAAGTCACCATCCTCACCGACGAAGCCGCCGTCGACGCCCTGCGCAAATCCGTTCCCGACATGAAGGAGTCCATCGAGATCGGCCGCGAAGACGAGCCAGAGCACCCGAACCGCTGGCCCGTCGAGACGAAAGAAAATAACCTAGTCGGCTTTCGCGAGCTGATGCTATCGTTCTTCGACCAATGCGCTTCCCTCCACAAGCAAATAATGCGTGCCATCGCCGTGGGCATCGGCATCGAAGAGGAGTACTTTGACTCTTTCGTCTGCGACAACGATAACACCCTCCGCCTGCTGCATTACCCATCCGTACCGAAAAAGGTATTCGACGAGAACCCGAGCCAGGTCCGCGCGGGAGAGCACACCGACTACGGGAGTGTTACGTTGTTGTTTCAGGACCAGCGCGGCGGATTGCAGGTTAAGAGCCCGAACGGACAGTTCGTCGATGCGGCGCCGATCGAAGGGACGTGTGTGGTGAATGCGGGGGATTTGTTGGCTAGATGGAGTAACGACACGATCAAGAGTACATTGCATAGGGTGGTAAGGCCTCCAGGGGGCTTGCTGAAGGGAGAGGATGGGGAGGAGTGGTTTCCGGCGAGGCATAGCGTTGCGTAAGTGACTCTGAGAGAGAGAGAGAAGAAGTTAAGGGGGGGCATAGCTGACTGAGTTAACAGGTACTTCTGCAACCCTAACTTTAAGGACTTTATCGAGGCAATTCCAGGCACGTACAAGACTGAGGAGGACAAGAAATACCCGGGTATCAACAGCGGAGAGTATCTCGTGCAGAGGCTGAGGGCAACGTATTGATCAAGGCAGGGGAAAGAGGCTGCTTTGGAGAGGTACAGCAAACCAAGAGTCTCATCCCATATATCTCTATATATATTAGGAAAAAAGATTCTGTTTAAGGTGTTGTTACAAAACATATGATTGTGAAGTTAGTGTGATAATATTGAGCCCCAAGGATAGTTGACACTTGCCTGTGAGCGAACTCGACGTAAACAGACTGAAAGGAGGAGTGGCAGCCAATCCTCAACAGCAAAGCACACTCCACCAACCAAACACCTGTCATAACTAAGTCCCATTTAGGAGGAAGACACTAGATCCATGTGATTGGTCTATGGCCATCAAGGTAGCCGTGTATCTTCCTTCTGTCGCTAAAAAGTTTACTGCCTACTGAAAGCAAAACCAGAGCTCCCTGTGCCTAGACAAGATTACATAAAAACCGACACCACATACCATGCCATGCCATGCCATGCCATTTTCCCATCCATAAACCATTGATGCAATCAGAGAGAAGAGACAATGAAAAACAAACAGCAGAAGAGAGGAGGGAAGGAAAGGGGGTATCATCCATCACTATCCATTAAAGAAAGCAATGCCGCCCAACCTTGTCCTTTGTCCTTGTTCTCACCTGTTGGTTTTATTTCATTTCGCGCACAAGTTTTTGTTATCCTCACCCAGACACCATTATCATGCATATCATGCCATGTATACGTGACCAGATGTACTCCTTACCAGCTGGCTGAACCAGGCTGGTTGTGTATGTATATGTGTGTGGTGGATTGATTGACTGAGTCAATCCATTCCTTCTTCTCCGAAGATCGCTCTGCAGCCATCTGGGATGTGGGGTGACCGATGTGTCCCACTCAGTGAAGAGCAGGATAATCCCCGGATATTTGCTCTCAGTAAAGTCGGGTTGTTGTTGTAGGATGGTGGTGTCGCCGGCTGTGTTGCTCAGATGACTGAAAGAAAGGCTTGCGGGATACAAAGGTTAAGGAGCAGATGGTGAAGAAGAGAGCACGGAGTAGGAAGTGTGTTAACCACCACACCACAGATTGAAGAAGACGGTGCTATGTCATGAACAATTAAGAGCGACTCAGAGCGAAGCCGCTGATGAGCCGCACCTGAAAGAAATGAGTGAGATGAGAAATAAACAGCCGCAGCTCAATGTCAACGGGAGCCAGTTCTCATATAATGCCTAAGAAATGGCCGAAATAGTGACAGCAATGCAACCGAATGCCACTCTGCTCAAGCAAGTTGACGCCAGATGCTAATAGATCACTTGGCATGTAAGAGACCGCAAGAGACTGCTGATTAGGCTTTCAATGCAGAGGGCAAGTCAGTGAAGTGGCTGCGGACGAAGAAAGTCGGAAGATCAAAATGGTCAACAAAACATAAAACAAGCGCGTAACTGATCTCATGCCTTGCCTTGCAAGGCCAGCTGACCCAAAGCACGTTGTGGTCTGACCGGACACCACAACACGATTAAGCAATGCAACCAGACAATAAAGTCAGGTCCTCTTAGAGGTTAGGACGCTCGTCAGCGCCATCAACACCAGTACCCATCAGCTCGCGGAGAACGACCGTGGCATAGTTGCTCTGCCTGAGCTGAAACTTGAGGATGACAGCAATCTTGCGCGCATTGGGGTCGACCGAAGCCTCGTCAATGTCGTGGAGTGCCATGCCGATCGGGTTGTCGTCGGTGACGGTAACGAACTCAGGCATCGGGATGCCGTTGATGACCTTTTCCTTGGTGAGGTCGATCTCGTCGTTATTCTCATGAGCAGCAGGCTCCTTTCCCTTGGCGTCGTCGGTTTTGGACCCGTCGGTCGTGGGGGTTAACACGCTGGGCAACTTGCCGCCGTACCAATTCATGACGTCCGACATGACCGGCTTAGTGGTCTCGATGTAAGGGTTGCCCAGGAGCTTGGCAGGAGCATTGGGCTCGTTGGCATTGTCAGAGGCTGGGACAATACCGTAGAAGGGAACTTTTCCGGTGCTGGCGTAGTAGCTGTCAGAGACGCCGCGAAGACCAGAAGAAGGGACAGCGTCCTTCGGGAGGGTGACCATGGGAATCGGGCCGTCAGCAATGATGCGAGGAGGAGTCGGCTCCGTCTCCTTGATCTCGGGAGGAGAAGGCTGCTTCTCAGCCTCAGGTATGATCTCCTTCTCTTTGCCTTTATCCTGCTCAGGAGTCCAGAGAGGAGCGCCACCAGCGCCGGGGATCTTCAGATAACGAGGATCGTTCTCGAGTTCAGGCGACAGTATGTCCTCCGAGCTCGACTTAGAAGACTTTGTCGGCGTGGCAAGGTTAGTAGCAAGAATAGAAGGCTTAGGAGGGGTGGCGGGCCTGGGAATCGAAGGACCCTCAGTGCTGGCCTCGGCGCCGTTGGAAACTTCGTGCTTGATGGACTCGTGACGCGAAAGCTTAATCCGTTTAGCACTGCCATCAACACTAGTTTGAACGTAGGTCTCGTTGATGGTAAGTGTCTTCTCGTTTCCAGAAGAATCAGGGTCCTCGTCAGCCTTGCGGCGACGCGCAGCGGCAGCCACGGTCTCATCGTAGGCGCTGGGGTTCTGGGAGAAGTCACGCCGGCGGCTAATGGCTGTCTTGTCAGCAGCAGACAAGTTGGCCGAAGCCTGAGCCTTCTTCTTCTTCTGTGCCATGAGAGTCTTCTTGTGTATAGCGAAGTCGAGATCGGTGGGATAGAGTTGCTCGGTGTCCTCATTGTAGGCCTTCACGGCATATTGAGGATCCTTGATGAAGCGGCCGATCAGATGACGGTAGTTACCGCTCAGACTGAACTCGCGTTGGCGACGGCGCATCTCGTAAGGGTTGAGGCCGCCGTTCTCGGGACGGCCCATGAACTCGACATAATACTCCCCGATGTCATTACGAGGATAGAGAACATCGTAACCAGGCGTAGGCAAGACAATGTCAAAGATGGTGTACTTGCCACTTGCAATGTCGGTAAGAGTAAGAGCACGGGCCTGGGTGTAGGGACCATTCGCTTCTTGGTCTTCGTAGGGATTGTAATCTTCGTCGTCCTCCGACTGACGAAGCGCGGGGAGAGAATCCTTGATGATGACAAGATCTCCCTCAATAACCCGTTCACCATACTTGGACCAGCGATAAGAAGCGACATGATTCCAGACGTAGGACTGATAAGCGTGGATGTACATCATCCGCAAACCGCGGGTGATACTCAGGACAGCTCCATTAAAGTCCTTGGGAGCCTTGCCCAGGTGGCGAATGATGGCACACTCAGAGCTGTACCGCTTGGGAAGGAACTCGAGAGCCTTGTCTGCGTTCTTGGTCAGCTTCCAAGTGGTGATGCCGCGAGCACGGTTCAGCTCGTCGCGGTTGTTCTGGGCCTCGCGACCCTCGCGAGTGTCCTTGTTTGCCGTAATCGGCGGAGGAGTGTTAGGGCTGTTCAGAACCTCAGTGATGAGGTGCTCATCGACATGCAAGATGTCTTCGATGAAACCCTCGAGGTCGCCCTTGAGGATCTTCATGCCCAGGTAATGGGTACCGATGGTGTGGGTACCGAAACGCTGGAGGCCGTAGTAGTTGATGTAACCATGGCGTTTTAGGTAGGCGAGGCCACACTCGACAGCCTGCTGAATCATCTTCATGCGCTGAATGAGGGTGAAGTCCATGCCATAAGCAGCAACGGGATGGCAATTCTTGAGAACAATGACAAACTCGTTGCCGCCATGCTGGCCAAGCTGAAGAGGCTCCTTGCAGTACTCGAAATCGCCAACCTTGACATTTGGGACGCGCGAGTTGAGCCAGATCAAGTTCTTAATCTTCTGACGGTAGACGCTGATGCGCTGAACCGTAGCGGCACGGCGATCCTTGGTGCCCGCGAAGCCAAAATTGGAGGCCTTGACCTTGAGGAGGCGGGCAATCGTATTGACCGCATCCATGGTGTCCTTGTTCTCTTTGTAGAGTGTGAAATGCAGGTAGTCACCCTGGCCAGCCTGGCGATCGCGGGCCTGGTCGCGACGGGAATTGTCGCGGCGAAAACCCATGCTAACAGCACGTTTGCTCGTTGCCCATTTAGACGGAACGGCTGTGATAACGCCCATTGGGTTAGCAGCCGTCTCAATGCGAGAAGAAAAGATGCGACGGATTTCCTACAAGTGGGTTAGCAGGACGCATTCAGTGCCTCAAGGTAGCGAAATATGCACATACCTGATGAATAGTAGCGCGCTTGGCACGATCAGATATGGGATCAAGCTGAACCAGACGCTCCGTTGGAGTCATGGTGCTCTGAGATTGAATCTTCTCATCCAGCTGGATGAGTTGTTCAGCGAGTTGTTGGCCAACCAGAGCAATCAAAATGTTGCGATCCTCAGGGGAAATCGGATCAACAGTAGGCTTATCGTCAGCTTGAGCCTTTGCCTGGCTGACAGAAGTGACGTGGGCCGTGTCATTCTGATCGGCGCAGTCAGCATACTGGTCCTAGCGATGATTCTTAAGACGAGTGACCTACCTGAGAGGGAGCGGCATCGGTCTCCTCGAAGTCCCAGAGATGAAGGACATGGCCATCGCGCCGAATTTCGAAAACCAAGAAGTCGGTATAGCTGAAAGCACTGTTAGACTGATGCATCCAGGCTAATCAAACAAGCTTCAAGAGCCTACCGCTTGCGAATATCGCCATTCCAGGCGAAATTGTCGGGACTTGAGCGCTGGGTGATACCGAGAGATTTCTCAGCCTCCATACGCACGACGGGTACATGAGTGCCTTGACGCTGAGCCATTGTGATCGGTGAGAGGAAGTCCGGCTGTTGCGAGCGAAATGAGATCGCAGGTCGGTGGTTGGCAAGGACCTGTCAGGTCAATCGGCTGGGCAATTGACAACTGGCGCCGACTGATCTGGATCTCAGAAAGTTGATGGGTACAAGATTGCTGTCTCAGAGAAGGGTCAGAGAGAAAAGTTCACGATTATATCAGGTTGTGGTGAAGTAAACAGAAAGTAAACGAAGGACGAAAGGTGAAAAAGAAGTTACTCTGCGGGTGCGGGGATTGTTGTGGGCAAAACCCTCGCGCACACACGCTAAGTAATCATTGGGCTCCAAAATCTGGGGAAATGCGTAACCCTCGCGTTCGGAGCCTCGACTTGGGGAGCAGGAAGAAATAATGAGGTCTCAGCACCAAAACAGGCAACTTCATGCAGCGTGGATTGCGCAACGGACGAGAGTGAGTAAACGAGGAGTACGATTGAAAATAGAGAATAAGAATTAGCTGGTGACAAGAACTTACCTCTATGCCCCGCGTTTGCTCAGAACAGCAGAAAAAACCAATGTCGGAGGGCAGACGATGGCAAGAGTGTGTTGATGGGTTTGTAAGTGGTTTAAGCCTCAGAAAAAGTAGAAAACCTTGTGGACCCTTGTAATGCGCGTGGGCCCCTGGCAGAATCGCGGGGTTGGTGGGGACTGCGGGGCGCTCCCCCTCACCGCCTGCTTGGTATGTACCGTGGCCAAGACACATGATGTCATTGGCTAGTCGTGGCGGCCAGCATCATGAGGACTCATTCTGATTCAACTTACTAGTGTGAGCAGTTGGCACCTGAGGAGGAGAGAACCATAGCATGTTAATGATGCTGTTTGATGGGATCTAAAAAACTGACATGAATTCTCGAGTCACAGAAGTCTGGCATGACACTGGAGGGACAGAAGACTAGTGTCCCTTGATTCGTAGCCAGAGCTTTGGGAGCTTGATCTGGGCTAGGGTCTACGCTGGCAACAATTCTTGATCTCCATGTCTCTCATGTCGTAGGTATTTATGATTTCGAGAATAAGCTCAAGAATCTTAAATATGTCTCAAAGATGTCACTTTGGGTTCAATGGCACAATCATGAACCAAGCCCTTGTCGTAAACCTGTGGGGAAGGGCATTGAGACCTGTGCATCGACCATTCACAGATGTGTTAGCCCAATCAGTGGATCAGCATTTGCATGCAAAGTGAAGAATAAAAAAAATCAGAATAGTAGTGTGCAAAGTCTACCAACTTCTTACGTCTGTGTGTTCACTTAATGGTCAACCAATATATTTCCTGCCTGCTCTCAAAATCCAAATCAGTAGTGTGATCTGAGATCTTACGAATCTACCCCGACTTACCTAGCCAATGTGTCTAGACAAGACTAGGACTAAGCAAAGGTTCAGGCAAAGCTGAGACGAGAGGGTGCTTAAGAGGATTCATGTTTTTTTTTTTTGAAAAAGGGAGGAGAAGGAAAGGTATAGGAATGCCCTGTCAATCCAGGGATAAGTGGTTAAAAAAGAAAACGAGTTCAGGTATGCCTGAATGACTACTGATTACTGCATGTCACGTTTTGATGTAACATATTCCATGATTTCATCCCTCCTATTTTAACAACATGCAAAGCTTCAGAAGAAGCCGGGTAGGGACCGTAGGGTGCCCCAAAGTAGTTCATAGCCAATTTCAGTAAAACAGCAGGGCCACATTTCTTGACCCCTTTTAAAGCTTCATCACACGATGCACGTCAGCGATCCAGAATCAGCAGAGGCATACCCAACAGAGCCCCCGACGGTAGGATGGTGAAGCAGCAAAGGACGGCGGGCCGTCAAAGTGACGGGCCGGCTAATTGCCAAAACCGTCGCACCGTTGATACACCCTCAGGCACCGTGGTGGGATGATCTGATCCGGAAACGGGTACCAGCTACAGAAGGCGGTAAAATATGGCATAACGAGAGGGGCCGTGGTTGATCGACGGACTACACACGCCTGAAACGTGGCACTTATCCGAAGGACATGCAGAGGGTGTGCAGCAATGCCATGGTAGCTGGATAGCTAGTGGGTATAAACCTGTAGCGGAGGACTGCGCTGGTCGTCCAGTACGAATTACTACCGTATGGATTCAGCTTCCAGAAAAAAATTACGGCAATTTCCTGTGATCCCGGTCACGGAGAACTGTTGGTTGCGTTGACAGTTGTCGTGCAGAAGAAAAGCCACGCTGAGCTCTGGCTGGGCGCAGAGCTGCTCTGGGATTGGGTGTCGAGGACAAAAAGGGGCAGCACCAAGAGCTTATCGATATCGGGGTCAAGTGCCGAGCTCGCAGCTGTCAGTCCACAGTAGTGGCACAGTTGGCCCTGGCTAGCGCGATGGCTATCGACACAGTGCAACATGGGTGGAGCGGGGGTGGACACACTGGGCAGGCCCTGGAGATGCGCGCGAGGATTCCATTCAAAACGCCGCTGGACAATGTGCAGCTGCCGTCACCACTCTGTGAAGTCAACAAGACCACATTCGCGTCCACCAGAGTCCGGTACCTGACTGAGTGCCAACCGCCGTCTCTGTCTCTATCTGACGCTTGCCGTCTGTCCCGATCGTCATCGACGAGACTTACCAGAGCGCCGTCCGCATCGAGACCGCCCAGGAGCTTCCGCACCCGTAGCCTTTCTCGAAGCCGATGGCGACAGCAGCTCGACCAGTGCCTGACCGACGCTAGAGTGCACATCTACACCGACATCCCCGCGCCCGCGCTCCTGAAACAGAGCAAGCCGCCGAAGGACACGGAGACAAACACGATGTCGTACCACGAGCAGCAGCACTGGATCACTGTCCAGCAGAAGACCTTCACCAAATGGGTCAACACCAAGCTCGAAGTCCGTGGCAAGGAGGTCAAGGACCTGGTCCGCGATTTATGCGATGGCGTACGTGGTGCCCTTCATTCGTGCTCGTTGTCGTCCCATCCATCCCTGGCTAACGCTCTCGCCCCCTTCCCCGGTAAAGGTCCTTCTCATTCACCTCCTCGAGTGCCTCTCGGGAGAATCCCTAGGCCGCTATGCCGCCAAGCCCAAACTGCGCGTGCAGTGCTTCGAGAATGCCAACCTCGCCCTTAACTTCATCAAGTCTCGCGGTATCCAGATGACCAATATTGGCGCTGAGGATGTCGTCGATGGCAACCGCAAGATCATTCTGGGTCTCATCTGGACTCTCATTCTGCGTTTCACCATCAGTGACATTAATGAGGAGGGCATGACAGCCAAAGAAGGTCTTCTGCTATGGTGTCAGCGAAAGACCGCCTGTTATGACGAGGTCGATGTACGTGACTTCAGCACCAGCTGGAATGACGGTCTGGCCTTCTGCGCCCTGCTCGATATTCACCGCCCAGACTTGATCGACTATGACGCCCTCGACAAGTCCGATCACCGCGGTAACATGCAGCTTGCCTTCGACCTCGCCCACAAGGAAATTGGCATCCCAAAGCTGCTCGATGTTGAGGATGTTTGCGACGTTGCCAAGCCTGATGAGCGCTCGCTCATGACGTACATTGCCTACTGGTTCCACGCCTTCTCCAAGATGGAGCAGGTTGAGAACGCCGGCCGCCGCGTCGAAAAGTTCGTTAACAATATGCGCGGTGCTTGGGACATGCAGCATGCCTATGAGCGCCGTATGGCTGCCCTGCTTAAAGCCATTCGCGAGCAGATTCAGGCCTGGCGCGAGGCCAAGTTCGAGGGAACTTATGCCGATGCTAAGGCCCAGCTCTTTGAGTTCGGCGCCTACAAGAAGGGCAAGAAGCGTGAATGGGTTGCCGAGAAGAGCGAGCTGGCCACATTGTTGGGCAACATCAAGACCAAGCTTGGTACATACAGGCTCAAGCCGTACGAGCCACCAGCTGAACTAAGGCTGGAGGTGCTCGACCGGGAATGGAGCAACCTCACCAAGGCCGAAATGGCCAGGGGCCAACTTATCAACGAAACTATCAGGGAGTACGTGAGACCAGATCCGGAATTGAAATGATATACTGACCTTTGTAGCATCAAAAACGCCCTGCGTAAGTCTTTCGCCGATAAGGCCAATGATTTCGCTCTTGCTCTCAACACAATACAGTTGGCCATCTCGGGTCTCGAGGGTGATATTGAGGACCAGCTGCACCACGTGCGCAAACTCGCTGAGAACATTCCACCACTGGATGCCTACCTCGAAACCATCGCAGCCGTCGACGCCAAGTGCCAAGAAGCCAACATCGAAGAAAACGACTTCACGACCTACACGTACGATGAGCTCTGTTACGAGCTCTCCCTCGTCAAATCCTCCGTGCAAAAGAAGCTCTCCTTCCTCGAGAACCAGATGGTCGCGCGCAACATGACCAACCTAACCCCCATCCAGCTCGAAGAGTTCGAGTCTGTCTTCCGGCACTTCGACCGCGACGACACAAACACCCTGTCCGAAATCGAATTTAGCGCAGCCCTCGCCTCCCTCGGCTTGGTCTTTACGGAGGAAGAAACCCATGACTACTTCATCCAGACCTCCAACGGCAAGGACCGCGTCACCTTCGAGCAGTTCATCCGCTTCATGGTGGACGTAACCGAGGACCAAAATACAGCCGAGCAAGTTTTCCAGAGCTTCCGCGAGGTCGCTGACGGCAAGCCGTATGTCACCGAGATGGACCTACGCCACTCGCTCGTGCCGGACGATGTCATCGAGAAGCTTGTCGAGATCATGCCGCCTCACAAGGGCCCGGATATGAAGGACGACCGTGGGATGCCGCAATACGATTACATTGCTTTTATGGAGAGCATGATGGGCGGAGAGGTCGACTTGAGCGGGTATCGCGATGATAGTAAGCGGAATAGCGTGGCGAGTGGGAGGGTGAGTCCGACGAAGAGGCTGTCGACGGGGTCGGCCAAACTTAATGGGTTACATTGATCAAATTGAAGGGGGATTGGGGTTGTTGTTGGATTGGACTGGGAAAAAAGGGTTGTTTGCGCTCGGTTGGCTGAACGGATGGTTGGTTGGATGAAGACTGGTTGGTAGATTGGTGGCTTCCGCTCTGCGAGCGAGATACCCGCGGCGGCATCCTGGCATACTTTTTAAAAACTTCTACCTATTCTCTTTTTTTTTTTTCACTCTACCTTCTTCTTGGGATTCCTTACTGGGCCATTCATTCTTCATATATCACTGTCTAATAGGTCGTGCTTAGTTAGCATAGCGTGGCTGGTTTGGGTCTCTTCCTTTTTCTTGGACCCTCCTTCTTGCAATGTAATTATGTGATTGCTAGAATGTAGACAGACAGGCTAGACGCCCCTGCCCCAGCAAAGGGGAGTGGGTGTTGAGGGAACGCGGGGGATGTCCACCACCTACTGACATGACTGATGGACGTAGTTAAATGAAGGAACAGATGATTGAGACACACACGTCCCAGATGCATAGAGGAGGGGAGCAGATGGTGAAGCCGACGATAAGTCGTTTAGAGACGTGGTATGCTCTCCTGGATGGATCAATGCCCGCAGGAGCACTATCTATTCCCATTGTCCCCGACCTATTAACCCTGTACCGAGTCTACGCTTCAACCCAACCTAGCCAAAATAAGTCCACGTCACGATAAAAACTCATCAGCAATATGCATCACTTAAGAACCCAAACGGCCAGCCCTCCAAACTTTAACCCTGACAGTCATCGCACCAGCCAATCTACGTGACCACAAGCCAGACATGACCAAAGACAAAAACAAAGCGAGCTCCCGAGATGAAGGGGAGAAGTTGATAGCCGCCAGGAATGGAGACTTAAGAGGGTAATGACTGAGTGTAAGAGTTTTCATTCTTTTATGTCTAGCTCTGATCCTGGAGTCCTGGCTGTGTAAAGACACCCATCTCGCCCAGTGCTTTCGCCAAACGCTGGTAATCCCTCAACAACTCGGCCACGTCACGCAGTCGAAGATCGGAGGGATCATTCAGCGTAAGAAAACGTCGAATTGGAGGGGATATTTGCGCGCTTGGAATCGATATATGGTTAACAACAGGGGCGTTACATGTGACGTTGCTCTCGGAGTCTGAGCTTTCGTTGGCAGTGCCGGTGACAGCAGCAGTGAGGGAGGTTCCAGCATCAGGAGGAACAGATAGAGGTAATGGTTGTGGTTCTGGTGAGTCAAGTGGAATTATAGGAGGCAAATCAGGAAACGGCTGCGCAGACAGGGATATTAGCCAGTCGAGGGAAAGGGACAAAAAAAAAGAAAAATAGGGATTAGGTTAAAACTTACCATAGTCGGACCCCCACTATCAACACTCACGGACCTCTCAGCCCTACTGCCAACAGCCAGACTACCGTTCCCGCTCGATGCAGCCGCTTCTTTCGGCTCCCTTGCCAGTGGAGCAGATAGCGCGGCAGGCGAAGCAGCAGGCGCTGGGCTGGCCCTACCAGTGAACCCCCTGACCAACCCAGCAGCAGCTGATATCCTCCCAATGGGGTTTAGTGTGCTGCCCAGATTACGAACAGAGTCGATCACGGTGCTGCTGGTGTTGCTGGTGTTGCTGGGGGCAGGTGAAGGGGCTGCTGGCGGGGAGGTTACAGTCGAGGCAGCCGTTGAGGGACTGGTCGCCGTGGCTGTAGATGAAGCACCAGTAGCAGTCACGCTCGACGTCCCCTCTGCCATCCCAACAGCTCCAGAGCCATCAGTAGTCCCTCGTTGGCTTTCCACACTCCTCTCCCTCGACCCCGGCTCCGACGGAGTCATCCTCCTCGCTGTCCCCGAAATCAGTCCCAATAAGTTCGACCCTCCAGCCTGTCCTTGTTGTGCTTGCTGTTCCTCCTTTACAATCGGCGGCAGTGGAGTCCCCAACAACCTCCTCGCATCATCTAGCGTCCTGGGGATCGGAATAGTCGGCATCGATCCCCCACCGGCACTCCCAGACCCAGCAGCCCCCTGAGAAGCAAAAGCCTCCCCTCCGGTGCCACGAAGTTTCCCCACGAGGAACTTATATCCACCCCCCAAGGACATCCCAATCGTTTTTAACCCTTGATCGGCCGTCGACCAGACAGCGTCACTAGCTGCATTGAGCGCCTGCGCAGGGAGGTCAGATAAACGACGGGCGGAGCGGAAGTGTTGGAATTGTGAGTGTAGGCCTGTAGCTGGAGGGGGTTGTTGAGGGAGCTGTTGTTGTTGTTCCAATGCAGCGGTTAGGCTCGCCTCCGCGACGGAGTGTAGGTCTGTTGCTTTCGTGGGGGTTGAGAACGCTGGGGGAAAGGTTTCACCTCTCAGCTGCGTTTGTGATATACCCGGTTTGTTCAGCGGTCCTGTGGGAGTTTCATCCTCCCTGAGAGTTGACAGGTCAACAGTCTCGAGGAAGCTAATCGCCGCTTCGAGGTTTGTGAGGCAATACGCCGCTTCTCCAACAAGCTTCTGCTCCCAGCGAAAACGCCTCACAAACGCCGCGTCGCTGACCACATGCAATTGCTCAGGCGGCATTGTAACCAGCGCGTAGATCAGCATAGGCATTAACTCATCCGCCGATGAAGACGGATGGAAATGCGCCAGCGTGTCCAATATCCTCTTATGTGCCCTCTTCAAATGCTCCAGCTTCCCCAGGGGATACCTCGCCTGGGTCATGAGCACCAACTCCTTCCTCGCTCCCTCAAGCCACTCCCTCACTTCGGCAGCCCTATCCTTCCCCTCTCCCCATTCTTCTCCACTGCCAGGTGATGGGGGGTCAATCTGAACACCCAAATCCCCTAACCCAATTCCCACCACGGCCAAGGCTGCCGTTTTCGACCTGAGTTTCGCATCCTGCGCCTCGTCTTGAGTACTCCGATGGCGATAAATCTTGGCATAAATCCCCTCACACAGCCTCCTCTCGACAGCCTCCTCCAAGTGAGCCTTTTGTTGTTCACGCGCTCGGCGCAAGCGTTTTTGCTCCGCGAGCTCCTCTTGAGTGAGGAGCGGCTGTTCTGGGGGCTCCTGTTTGCTAGCGGAGCGGTCTCGTCCAACGCTAAAGGGGAGGAGCGAAGGACGTGGGGTTGAACTAGATTGAGGGGGAGGGGGTTGAGACGAGTCGCGCTTTTGCAGGGTCGCAAGGCTGTCGAGATGTGTTTGGATGTGTGAGGAAGCAGTCGCATAGAAGTCTTGGAACATGCGGGACAAATTATCAATATTAGGTGGATGCGGATGGATAGGGGCAGAGAGGGAGTCAATAAAGCGGTCAATGAGGGTGATCAGCTCGATGGGGAGGTCGTCTAGGTCTACAGAAACGCGGGGAGCGTCTTCGACGGGGTCTTTGTCGGGCCGGCTTTCAAAGGTGTCTAGGCCTTCGGGGCTGCCGTCGGTCTTCTCGATGGCAGAATGTAGGGAGCTTTTGCTGTCCATTATACCGGTTGTTTTGCTGCGGGTTCGGGAGGGTGGTGACGAGGAGCGCTCGACGCGGAACGATTGGACTGATCGCAGCAGGCTGGGACGCCCGCTGGAGGGCGTTGGCATCGCGGAGCGAGGGAAGAGGCTGGAGAGCATGTCAGTGGCTAGGGATAAAATAGATTGGTGGTATCAAAAGGTGTATGGTAAACGACACAGCGAACAGTTCGAGAACAGGGCAGAGGGACAATAAGGGTGATTTGCGGGACCATGACCCCATTTGCCATCGTACCTTAGGGTGTTGCTCGGCCGCACGTCGGGCGCATGAAGCACACGCCAGCGCCAGGTTCAGTCGTCACAGAACCAGACGATCTTGAAACAGCGGGGCAGGCCGGGGCCGGGAGGAGAGGAACAGCCACTTGGGCCGGTCAAGGACAACGAGGTGGACAACGAGGGGTAGACAATGCGGCCAGCTCAGGCAGGTCAGACAGGACCCGTTAGATCGTAAGACAACAATGTCCGAAGTTGACCCCCGGGGCGTCTGGATCGATTGGCTCACCAAGTTTCTGGCTGGATTATTGTTTATCTTCGAGATTTCAGACAACAGCGAGCCATGCGATGAAAGCTCAGGTGTTGATGCTGCCACGATGACTGCCGTAGTGCACAGTGTCCTTTCGCGACGCGCGGCGGCCCAACTGCGGGCATCTTGCTAATCGCACTGTGTAGGAGCACTAGCTCCACAACTCCACCAGCCACCCCTCGGGGTTCTTCCATCCCAACCAAAAACCATCTCATCTTTTTTTTTTTTTTGGAGCGGGGGGGGGTCTCGACTGAATGTTGTGAACATTGAGCTTTTGTTGCATCTCCGTTGGTCCATCTTCCATGATCACAGGAAAGTTACCTAGCTTCCTTGGAGAAGCCCCTTTGGACTGATCCGCATAGTCCCTAAGCCGAGAGACTGTGGTCTAATCTGCATGACGTCACATTAGGATGCGTTTCATCCTTGCTTTCCTTGGAAGCCTTGATGGAATGCGAGATCAACAACAGCTGCTGATTGAGACCATGAGATCTCCAAAAACACCGAGCTATTTCAATCCCACACGGGTATCAATATAAGACTGTAGTTATGATCCAACACAATATCTACAAAATCTCTCTTTAATTTTCCCCATAAAGCATCTCCAAAAACTCGTCCATCTCCTTTCTTACCTCATCACTCACATCCTTCCACTCAACCTCTTCTCCTTTCTCATCCTCATCCTTAAAAGTGTTCTTCCTCTGTGCCTCACTCACATGTCTCCTCCAAGTCGTGATGTCAAACCTGTGCCCCGCCCACACGCCCCTGCGCAGGTGCAAAGGCAACCGTTTCGTAGGCAGTCCCCCACCAGGCCAGGTTGTCCAGCAAATGCGCGAGAGAACGGCATGCCCAAGACTCCATGGATAAGTGTCTAACCTGTCTATCCTTGCTGTTCCGCTCTCAGCTTTCGTTTCAATTTCTGTTGGGGTATCTGTATCTTTATCTGTCTCGGTCACTCTGACTGGTTCACTGGATTCAGTCTCTGCTTGAGTGCATGAACCCAGATCTGTATCAGTGCCTGAATTAGGTTCGTCGGGCTCAGTCTCGGACTCAGTCTCTACTTGGGTATCTGAGTCTGTGTCCGAGGGCGTTGCTGTATGCTGAAAGCCGAGCTCGAGCTCAGACTCAGATTCAGCCCGATCTAGGTCCACTTGCTGTTCAATCGCGAGCGCTTCAGCGCGGACAAACTCCTTCGTCGTCCAGTTCCTCAACATCCACTTCTCCCCGGGTGCAAAGTACGTCTTGTCATCGACGACAAGGTACTTCTGCGCCAGACGAAACGCCGGATCTTTATCGTGGTGCTCCCCATCCCTCTCCTTTCTCCCCCTCCTGGCCACACTCGCAATTGCAAACAAACTCTCCCTCCTCAAATCAACCACTTTCTCCTTCTGAAAGTCCTCCTCCTCCTTGAAATGAAACATCATAAACTTCGGAAACCGCACACGTCTGTGGCTCGGGTGGATGATGATCTTGCGCGCACGCAGGGAATCAATCTCTTGCTTTGTGAAGCATTCTGGAGGGAAGTCCTCGACCTCAACGAACTCTCCCGCACAGATGATCGGCTGATCGCGCGCCCAGAGCCCCAGGGCACGGTTGGCGAAGTGCGTGTGGATTGGGGCCCAGCAGATGGTCCAGAAGTAGCGGCAGGTGAGAGCTAGGGAGAGGATGTCTTCGATGCTGGGGGTGAGGAGGGAGACGATGAGGAGGTGGAGTTCAGTAGGGAGGTGGGAGAGGTTCGTTTTGGAGGGGGTATTGGAGGATGACGCTGTTGGGTGTTGGTCCTCCAGAGTTGATCCAGGGATGTACACTGGGGGGATCTCAGGAATGGTTAGGAGCCTGATGAGAAGGTTAGGAGTTCGGTTGAATAGGATCTCAGGAAGTTTTCCGACTTCGTCATCCCGGGTCAGGCTTGCCATTCTCTTCACCCGGGGAGCGACAAGGTAGAAGTTTTCCCCGGTATTTCGTACCGTCGGTTTGGTTGTCATTGTGGCTCTCCAATATCGATGAGGTTAAATCCCCCGGGGAAAGGGGAGAGAAGCGAACCACGCTGGCTCCATCTTTTCAACTGCCTGTAGCGGGCCGCACCGCGTTTTGTAGTAGCATGTGGAGCATGGAGATGAGCATCCTCGTCGTCTAACGAGCCGGCGCCACCTTCCTGTTGGTTTGCCTTGTTTTGCTATTCTGCCCTGACCCAGATGCTCTCGATGCCCACTCCGGACGCCACTCAAGTTGCGAACGTCCAATCAAGGACTCTATCTTCGTGTGTGGTCCCGAGACCCGGCAGGTTGGACAGCATCCGGAAAGTATTCCCTCCCCCGACCCTGGCCCGGGACCAAGCCCGAATCGTCGGGCCCAGTTGCTTTTTCCATCTCTTGGCAGATCTAAGTTCCGTTTTGGACTAAACGCTTGAGAGAATTTCATCTCTTCTTTTTTTGTTGAGTGGTAGTTCAGCGCAGCAATGAACCTGGAAACTCTTTGTGAATGAAAACTTTTTTTTTCAAGAGGTTGGTCTGCTGTGGACTGTGTAAGATGAAGAGTTAGGCAGAGACGCGACCTTTGGCTCGCGATCCCCCTCATTGGGTGCCGCGAGCATTGCACTTGAAATCTATCTGTTGATATCACTCGTGTCTACCACCATTGCACGGGTTGAGGAAGACAGAAATACTCCACAATAGATTTGTTTTGGAGCCGTTGGTGGGATGGACGGAACACCCCGTGATGAAGTTATTTGGACGATACTCCGTGTCCATCATGCCGCGCACTTGGCTGCCTACAAGATCCATGAGACGGACTTTAAATCAATGATCAAGAGCCAAAAATCTTGTCATCTTTGTCTAAAATTTCGTAAGCCCTCTTATTGCGTTGTGCGAGTAAAGTCCTGCAAGATTGTCTTTCCACCAGTCAGCAGAAGTGCCAAAGCCAGCTACAACTTGAAGGTAGGTTCTGAGCTCATATATTTAAGAGGACTGGCTAGCAGTTAAAAAAACTTGAGGTCTCATCGCGGGCCGATGTCTGAGCAACACATGTAGAGCTGCCCAAAGCTCGAGCTCATTTCGTCGACGAATCTCGGACTTTGATGGTACCAGCTTGAGAATCACTGAAAAAAATCCCGGGATCAGGCACGTATCTACCCATCATTGGAGAATTCAAAATGCAAAACGATATTAAAACTTACGCAGAAGTATTCAAGGCTGGTCTGCCCCGGCGGTGAGAGGCTGCAGAGATGACGAAGAAGAATAGAGGTGTTGTCAATCCGCAGTCAAGACACGACATCCCGACAGAAGGGCGGAACAGGGGATCTCCGATCAATGTGACGTCTAGCCGACCCACTATTCCGGGGTTGCGTTGTTAAGGTGCCGCTCGCTGTGGGTAACTGACCCGCTTTTCTGCATGTAGCGGGACCCGCAGGGTCCGCTTGCCTTATCGACACAGCTGATAAGAGATAAGAGCTCGATAAGCCGGCACTTCATTGGACACAATAATGGCCTGCGGAGTCCCATCAGCAAGCAGGGCGCAGGCCAGCCAAGCCAAGGACCTGCAGCGTCATCTGGACGGCGCCCTGACCATTGGACCATCCGGTGACCGGTGACCGGCCGTACAGTGAGCCACCCGCCTGGCAGGCTGGCACACTTGTCGCACACCCGGAATGCGCAAGCCACTCGGCTCTTCCGCCTTCTTTACCTCTCACCTCGTCGAGATAGGCACCTGAACCTGTCGACAGCAACACCTTTCCCTCTTGTTTCACTTACCACATCCTTATCCTCTGTGTCTCCGAGGCACGAACTTTGAATTGACGACGACGACAACGCCTGGCATGGTCGCGACGAGCAGCGAGGGCGGTGCGACGACGACGTGTGCCTCTGCCCGTCGAGTCACCGCCCACCGCCTCTGGACTTCGGTCCTCGCCCTTTCGGCTCCCTTTCTGCCCGCGGCAGCGGTGGCAGCTGGCAATAGCAATGGTAGAGCAGATGCCCAAGCTGTCCTGCCCATCGATGCGCCAGCCATCCCGCCGTTGATGCCAGAGCCCCCCGCTCCCGCCGAGCACGTCTTTGTAAGTGGCACATTCCACACGCGACAGTCATGCTCATGCAATGACGACCTAAACTAACGGTGCACCTCGGCAGACTCTCCGTCACATCTTCCACCACGGCACTTACAAACATCCAGGGCTCCACCGCAAGCTTGATATCCCAAAGTCCTATGCCCAAACACTATGGCTGAAAGCGGAAGATGGCTATGACGCCATGCCGATCGGGCCGCTTCGCGCCCGTAGCAACAGCGTACAGATTCAGCGCTTGGCGGACCGGAGACCCAGCGTGGTCGACCCCATGGTGGCCGAGGCCCGCCAACGGGGCTATGTGTCAGTGATGTCGCCGTCGGCATGGCGTCTTGATACCGTCCCTGGCCCGAACGTCACCGACAAGGAGACCATCTTGAGCCTGGCGTACATGTCGGCCGATGCCTACGTTCAGACTCCGAATGAGGCCGATTGGGAGGATGTCGGAAGCGGCTTCAACCGCAGTGTAGACTTCGGCTGGCAGAGTGACGGTCTGCGCGGCCATGTCTTTGCCGATGAAACAAATTCGACTATTGTCATTGGTCTCAAGGGCACATCACTTGCCGTCTTTGATGGCGACGGCACCAGTACTAATGACAAGGTGAACGACAACCTCTTTTTCAGCTGCTGCTGTGCCCAGCAGGGTCCCTGGACTTGGCGGCAAGTGTGTGACTGCGCCACGGGCACTTACACATGCAACAACACGTGCGTTCGCGAAGCGCTGAGGCAAGAGAACCGCTACTACCAGGCAGCGCGTGAGCTGTACTCGAATGTGACTGAGCTATACCCAAACTCCAACGTCTGGATTACTGGTCACTCACTTGGCGGCGCGGTCAGCTCGTTTCTGGGTCTCACATATGGTGTGCCGGTCGTGACCTTCCAGGCGGTGCCTGAGGCGCTCCCGGCCAGCCGTCTGGGTCTCCCGGTTCCTCCCGGTGCTGACCCCAACCATCCTCAGATGCGCAACTACACTGGCGCATTCCACTTCGGGCATACAGCCGACCCAGTGTACATGGGCACCTGCAACGGGGCAACCGCGTCATGCTCGTTCGGCGGTTATGCCATGGAGACAACCTGCCATACCGGCATGGAGTGCGTGTACGATACTGTCGGCGACAAGGGCTGGCGTGTGGGCATTGGCACGCACAAGATCCGGGCGGTGATCCAGGATGTGATTATGAAGTACGACACGGTGCCCGAGTGCAAGCCCACGCCCGAGTGCAGGGACTGCGGCAGCTGGAAGATGTATGAGAGCAACGGCACCGAGACGACGACTCGCTCCAGCTCCACGAGCATGGCCACGAAGACGCGGACTCGCACGGAGACGTGCAAAACGCCGGGTTGGTGGGGTTGTCTGGATGAGACGACTACGACGGGGGAGGTAACCAAGCCGCCTACTACTACTACTACTACGACGACGACGACGACGACGACGACGACGACGACGACGACTTGTCATACTCCGTAAGTTGTCAAAATTCTATAACGATAAAAGTATATATAAACTGACAATAACCAGGGGCTGGTTTGGCTGCAAAGACAAGACCACGACCGAAACGACCACCAGCACGACCTGTCTGACACCTGGTCGCTTCTGGGGCTGCTACGACGAGACGACGACAACTGCCGCCTCGACCATCACGACCACACGCCCGCTCGATTCAACCATTACCCCTCCCCCAGCCGTGCCCACGACCACATCTACACCGACCACGACCGAGGAGCCCCCAGCATCCTCGACGTGTGTTGAGCGCACGTGGTATGGCGTCTGTAAGGAGTGGGAAGAGGTCGACCCGACCCCAACAAAGGTGCCCGAGCCGTCGCAGACTTGCGTTGAGCGTACGTGGTGGGGCTGGTGCCGTGAGTGGGAAGGTGGCGATGAGATGGTGAGGAAGGAGGATATGTAATATCTTGGGCTGTATTTTTGTTTATTTGTCTAAGATTAGGATCGACGTTGCGTTTCATGATTGGATTGAGGAATGGTATGGCCGGCGGCGCTTGGAGTTTTTTGGGATGATCTTTAGAAGACGCATGATGGCGGTGTCTTTCAGAATTGGGATTGCTTGCATACACTACATTACAGATACAAGACGTGGACGCACTCATGATGACAGAGGTGGAGTTGGGGATCGATTGGGGATGCAAGTACATACTACGGATGTACCGTATGCACTGGGGATGAGCAACTGTCGTACTTAATAGCAGTGATCTTGATACTCGAATCAATCGAAGGAATGGCAGGAACATGCGTACTCGGAGAATCTTCTCGGAGTACACAATTACATAGTCTAGCCAGTAGCTGTTAGCTTGGCAATATCATGATATAGAGCATCATTACCCAGCTTGTGGTGAATCATGCCTTGGTAACAGCTCGCAACACGAGCCGGTCACATGCACCAGTGAGAATAAGACAAGACAGAGACAGGACAACTTCCTGACCTGTTATCATCACCCTCCCTGTCGTCCAGTCAGGAGTCAGAACATTCATCCGCTCATTATTAGCCAAGCTTTTCCTCTGCCTGGCCCTGCGCCCCACCCCCGCTTTTGGCGGGGAATGTCCCAGGGGCTGGGCTGAATGCCCTGCACCTGATCGGGGATGAGCAGCAAGCAGTCTCGTTCCTAGCTCCCCGCTTCATGCTTCTGCAACCCATATCAAACACCGAATTGGCCGGCGACGGTGAACGTCTTGCCCAGCCTCTTTGCTATGGCTGTTATCAACACGCTCTTACTTACATTCAGACTCATTGTAGCTGTCTGTGTGGGTGGAGGTGTGTACAGCAAGGTTGCGGCGACGTTGCACCAGCGCAAAGAACGGGACTAAAAGGGTGGATCTTATGAAGCCAGTGGTTCGTCAGATCTTAGTGTGCGGGCTTCACCCGAGCTTAGAGGTAAGGCTGAAGAGTGAGCTAGCGGTGTGGCTTTACAACAGATATACCCGCCAGGCCTCTCACCGTTCGAGTTGAGGTCAAGAACTGCGGATTATTCATTGATCTTGTCTTTCGACTCCCTCAAGTTTTCAACGGAGCCTCACACTTGCCCCCCTCATCAACCCGTCGTAACCTTGTCATCCTGTCACCAGTGGACATACTCGCCCTCGAACCTTTTTAAGTTTTTACACAAGGTCAACCGTGGCGCAACAATGGCTGAGCCATCAGAGCAAACAACCTCACAATCTATATCAACGGCACCAGCTCCCGTGGTGAGCCTCGAGACCGAACTCACGTGCTCAGTAAGCCCCCTCCTCACTCAATCCCTCCCCTTGAGACTAAACAGAAAGCTAACCTATTTATCTCAAGATCTGTACCGACCTCCTTCACAATCCCCTAACCCTCCTCGACTGCCTGCACACATTCTGCGGCGCCTGCCTTAAAGAATGGTTCCGTTTTCAAGCTGACCGCATCGAATCCCTTCCCGGCCCCCCCCTCCCCCGGGAACCCCGGTCTACACATGCCCCTCCTGCAGGGAAGCAGTACGCGACACCCGGCACGATGCTAGGGTGCAGACGTTATTGGATATGTTTTTGGGCCTGTACCCTGAGAAGGGAAAGAGCGAAGAGGAGAAAAAGGGAGATGGATAGGAGGTATACGAGGGGGGAGAGGGTGATGAGGAGACTAAAATTTGAGGATCGGAGTGAGGAGGAGGCGAGGAGAGATGAAGAGGAGAGGAGGTTGATTGACGAGGTGAGGGCGGTTAGTCTGAGGGAGGCGACGGAGAGGGCTTTGCAGGGGTCGTCTTCTTCCCCTTCTGGGAGAAGGGAGAGGCCGAGGGATACAAGGGCGGAGAATGCGGCTGCTGCGGCCACAGGTGAGCAGCAAAGGAGGCAGATTGAGCATCAGGCTTCGTTGAGGAGCCTGATTTCTTTGGAGGGAGGGGAGATGACGCCGTCGGATATTGAGAGGGAGATTGAGGAGTTTGCAAGGCAGATCCAGGAGGAGGGGCTGTTGGATGGGATTGATTTGGATAATATCGATTTGTCGACGAATGATGAGTTGAGCCGAAAGATTACCGAGGCGTATAGGAGGCGGCAGCGAGAGAAGGCAAGAAGGCAAAGGGAGCAGAGGGCGAGGAGTACGTCGCGGGCCCCGACGATGGGCTCCGAGAGGGAAAGGGGGAGGGAGAGAGATCCTGATAGGGACAGGGAAGGGGAGAGAGACCAAGATCGGGAGAGGGAGAGGAATAGGGAGCGGGACAGGTCAACCGCACCCCCTCGATCAGCATCCCGGAATCGGGACCCATCCGCTCGCCCAACAAGCAGACACTCCATGGCAGGTCACACATCATCCCACTCTCGTGCCCCGAGCGTGACCAGCGTCGATGATAGAGCACGCTACCCTCCGTCGGCATCAGCATCAGCCAGTGCACTACTCGAAGTTCCCGATCCGACGACCGTCCGCAGGAGAAGGGCATCAAGTGCCGGTCGAAGCGCGACCATTCCTCCTGTGCAACTAGAAGGGAGGGTACCAGAGCGCGCTAGGAGTGAAACCGGCACGAGGGATTCGTCATCAACAAGAGGTAGTGACGGTCGTAGTTCAGGATCACCAACCACAACTACAGCTCCTGCTTCATCCGGCAGTAGGACCTCCTCATTCAGCTCTCGAACCGGTGCTATCCCTGGCGACAGGCTAAGCGTCCCCGGTCCCTTGCCCTCCCGAGATCCCTCCCCCGAAACCCGTCATCGCCATCGCCAAAGTGAAAGCGCCAGCTCTATCCCCCAAAGCCACTCCCGTCACGGCTCGACCGCCTCAGGTTCCGTAACCCCAACCCTAACCCCTTCACCTCATCTCCAGCCCCTCTCATTCTTCTTCCGCCGCCAATCCCAAACCCAACCCCTGCCTCAGCCTCAGCAACGTCGAACTTCCCTCCCTTTGTCCCAGAGAGAGCCTCCGACCAGTCTGCCCTGTTCAACTTGCTCCCGCCCATCCATCCAAAACGAGCTGCATTACTACTGTCCGAAATGCAATCCCCCAGACGGAGGTGAATGGTCCATCTGTCTCGACTGCTGGCGCCGTGGCAAGGGATGTCAGCACTGGTTTGGGTTCGGTACAGCCGCTCTTGCGAGATGGGAGAGGCAGAAGGCGAAAACGGGACTGGAGATTCCCCCTCCGCATAGGTTGGTTGGGAGGAGGTGGCTACGAATATCCGGTTCAGGGACCGGGAATGGCAGTGGGAGCGTGAGGTTGCAAATAGGCCTTTTCTGCTCCCGCTGCTCAGCCTGGGCGAACTCATGTTTCTGGCGCTGTGAGACTTGCAATGACGGGGAGTGGGGGTTTTGCGGGACGTGCGTGGGACGGGGAGAGGTATGCTCGCATCCATTGACGGCCGTTTCATACGCGCTTGGCCAGGTTCAGACTCCCACGTCGCCTACCTCCCCAAAAAGCCCCGTCAGCGGCGGCGGTTCTGTTGCTGAGATCTTCCCCACACTCCATATCCCCTTACAGCGCATCGCGTCAGCGACCCCCTGTATAAAATGCTCTTCTCCTATCCCCCTTGCAGAGCGACACTTCCACTGCCCGTCTTGCCGCGTTTTCTCAACAACCTCCCCTATAACAACAGCCTCCTCTGAAGGATCTATCACATCTATCACTCCCTATGGATCCTATTCCTACAACCTCTGCACACCCTGCTACCACTCCCTGATCAGCAGCGGCACAATCTCTCGAGAGAATGGCCCATCTGGCTGGAGGCGGTGCCCCAGCGGGCATAGAATGGTTGTTGTGGGGTTTAGCCAGACAGACAGTGCCTCGTGGGAGCGAGTTATTATGCGGGAACTGGTTGGCGGGAGGAGGCTGAGGGTCGAACCTCTTAAGCTACCCGTTTCGGGATCAAGTGAGCAAGAAACAGGGAGCAGACAGGTTGTAGTAAATGGGGTGCAGCTTTGCACCTGGGTCGATCCGTCTGGGACAAAGAGGCATGTTAGACGGTTGATGACGGTTGATGTATCTGCATCAAGTGCGTCGTACAATATACCAAGGGGTGCGATTGATGGACTGGTTGAGACGGCGTTCCCTCCTGAGGGGGGAGTGGGAATGCGGGTGGTTGCAGGATGGGCGTGGATACCTGCTGCTGGGGTGCAGGATGAGCTGATGTTCCCTCGGGGTGCAGATATCACGGAAGTGGAGGATGTGAATGGGGAGTGGTTCCATGGATGGTATATGGGTCATCAGGGGCTGTTTCCGGCGCCGTACGTTAGGGTTGTTGGGGAGAAGTCGTAATGGGATGGAAGAATGTCTGGGAAGTGCTGTTAATGTTCGGGATGAAAGGTACATACAAGGCTAGATACTGTGACAGGATGGAGCATAATGCTGAATATCCCGCTCTATTGAAACACTTCATTACTCATGACAGCCGTAACACTCGATCTAAATATACATTAAGAGTGTGTCCACTCAGGCTTCTTCTTCTCCGCGAAGGCCTTCATACCAATCTTCTGGTCATTCGTACCAAACAGCGAGTGGAACACGCGCCTCTCATACTCAACACCATCGCGCAGTGCCAGATCCTGGCTCTTGTTAACCGCCTCCTTGGCCGCCTGTACAGCGACCTTGGAGTACCCAGCGATCGTTTCAGCCGTGCTAAGAGCACCTTCTAGCAGCGCCTCATAGTCCGGGAACACCTTCGCAGCAACACCCCACCGCTCAGCATCCTCACCCGAGAAGCTGCGGCCCGTAAGAATCAGATCCATCGCGCGCGCCTTGCCCACAGCCCGAGTCAGCCGCTGGGTGCCGCCCGCACCGGGAATCACGCCCAGCTTTATCTCGGGCTGACCGAAGTTTGCGTTCGCCGTGCAGTACAGAATGTCAGCCATTAGCGCCAGCTCGCAACCGCCACCCAGGGCGTGGCCTGCGACGGCCGCAATTAGCGGCTTCTTGAGGGCAGTCGTCAGGTCGGACCAGGACTCGATGAAGGACTTGGTATATGCCTCGCTGAAGGTCAAGGGGGCCATCTCCTTGATGTCGGCGCCGGCGGCGAAGGCGCGCTCAGAGCCCGTCAGGACGACGGCCGCCACGGTCGGGGATGCTTGGAAGGCGCGCAGCGCGGTATTCAGCTCGTCGATCAAAGGAGAGCAGAGGGCGTTCAGGGCCTTGGGGCGGTTGAGCTTGACTTTGGGGGGTTAGCAGAAGAAGCAAAGAAGGATGCTGAAGCTGAAAACAGAACGCACCTAGGCCAACGCCCGGCCGGGGCTCTGACACCTCAATGAACTCGTAGCTGCGGCAGGCTGACGTCGAGAAGCTGCGGGCGACGCGGGGCAGGGCACTCGGCTGGAAGCGAGAGGCCACCCGGACGCTGCCGAAGAGACGGGCCGACATTGTGAAGGTTGTGGTTTGGAACAATGGCGCCGTCGAGTTGGGCTAAGTAGGTAGTCGAGCTGGCTGGCTAGTCAAGCTGCTGAGCCAAGTTGCCGGTGCGAAGTATGTGAATGGGAGAGGAATGAGAAGCTGTAGCTGAGAGCGAGCAACGGCGGCACTCCACTGCTTATCATATCGGCTGCTGGTTATCCTCGGTTTAAGAGTGCCCCTGTCAGCTGCGACTCGGGCTTGTGCTAGCTGCCATTGAGGTTGTCATCCTTCCTGCACTCAGCTAGCTTATTGGTTTTTGTTGACGATATTTCGAGGAATTGGGGGATTTTTCAGGAAAATGCTTATGATTCAGCTTATCGTTCAAAATAGCGCCTCAAGGACACCAAAACAATGTCTCTTTACGCTGTGGGCAGCTCCTTGTAAGAAGCTTTCGGCTCACGACGTCACGCCAAGATCCGGACAGCAGGAGACTAGATATGAAACATCTCGCCTCACAAGAGCCCCGCGGCCAGCCCCATGCCAAGCCTGGAACAGCTTAGCACCGCCACGCCAAGAAATTTACAAAATCCCACCCCCTGAAGTGTGGCTGTGCCATTCATCCAGGACCCCAGCGTTCTTGACAGTTGACACTGGGCGCCAACAACCGCGCCGCACCTTGAATCCTGGACGGTTTCATCCATCCAGCACAGATTGAATCGCCCCTTGATCGCGACGCGCAACGTGCCAGTCGTACTTAGGTCCTCCGTCGCTGTTGTCGATTCGCCCACTCTCATCGCTCTCGCCGATCGCTCTTGTCAATAATAAGCAGGCTTCAGCCGGTTACCCAACTCATCCGCAAACCGATCGCTGCAAACTATCGCCAACATGGACGCCGTCGACGAGCCGACGACTCCGTTTGGGGTCTTCACCACACACACTAACAAGTTACAGAGGGTGTGTATAACCAGGCGCACACTATTTTGATGTCGAAAGAAGGTTATGTACAAGATTAACCGACTGCCGCAGCAATACCAAGCCCTCCTCGACCGTAGCACGCCGTACGTGCTCTACCGCTGGCTCGGCACAGCTGCTTTCCTCATCATCTTCTTCCTGCGCGTGTTCATCGCGCAAGGCTGGTACATCGGTGCGTCCCCGGGACCATGCCTCTTAGACAGCGGAGCATCGCGCTAACATCCCACGGCAGTCGCCTACGCCCTGGGCATTTACCTCTTGAACCTGTTCCTCGCCTTCCTGCAGCCCAAGTTCGACCCGTCAAACGACGCACTCGACAATGACATGGAAGATGGCACTATTGGCACGCTCCCGACCAAGCAGGATGAGGAGTTCCGCCCCTTCATCCGCCGCCTTCCCGAGTTCAAGTTCTGGCACGCTGCCACCCGCGCCATCGCCATTTCCTTCGCCTGCAGCTGGTTTGAGATCTTCAATATCCCTGTTTTCTGGCCTGTCTTGGTTATGTATTGGTTTATGCTGTTCATCCTGACCAGTAGGTTCCCTCATTTTTTGTTTTTGTCTCCTCCGCAAGGTTACTGATCCCTTTCAAGTGAGGAAGCAAATCCAGCACATGATCAAGTACCGCTATGTGCCCTTCACCATCGGCAAGGCGCGCTACGGCAGGTCGTGAGAGCATATTCTTTCCTTCAACCTTAAATGAGAGGTGAATGCATGATGGGACTGGCAGCCAAGCAGCAACGTATTTGCAATAGAAGGGTGGGATGGTGCTTTTCTTCAATGTATTGATGACACAAACACAACCTGGTTTCTACATAATGGATGGTGATCAGATGGGGTTGGCCCGGGGGAATCAGAAAGACTGATGCTTGGGACAATGCTCTACGCTATATGCGTACGGAGTACCGGACCTAATTTGACCCTACACCCCTTGTAATTGCCGGGCTGCCGTGAGGTAGACCTACGACAGCCGCGGCCTAATCTTTGCCTTTCTGGCTGGCGCCTACTAGGGCTAGAGCAATGGCAGGATATGGTTATAGGCATTTACGATATCTTCTGCACTCTTTGTTTTACTGATAACGTGATGCTGGTCGGGCAAAAGCGATTCTGACATTCTGCGAAACTGTTGATAGATTTTTCAGCTGAGAGCATGAAAAAGAGCGCATGAAGTTGGAACACTAAAAAACCGAACACTATTCATCAATCGCTTGAAGGCCCAAACTTAGGGGTAATGGACCACTCTTTCAAGGTCGAGACCTGGAGTCCCAGGTATTGGTAACATATTGGCAAGTCATAAAGCCTATCCTTAGATATCCAAAGCTCAAAGCTTCAAGTTTGGAACCACACGAACCACCCCGCGCATACTCACCTCCTATCAGAGCTTAGCTGCTGCCTAGACACCTCGTCAGAGAAACCTCTTGCGATTTGAGTGAGTCGTGCGAAGACCTACCAAATGAGGGACAATGTTCGTTCCAACTTCATTAAAGTATTACTGCGCCTTCAATCCAGAGGAACTAATGTCAACCTCCTGGCCACATCCCGCCCTTTACCTGATATTGTGGAAGCCTTTAACGGACATTCCTGCCTTGAGATCGTAGCCCAAAAGGATGACGTCGAGCAATACCTGCGTAATCGCATGTTCAGTATGTGCGTGGTCTCAAACTACCCGGACCTCCAATATGAGATCATCAGCTGCATCGTCAGTGTCGCAGATGGCATGTAAGTTACAGTGTTCTATGGCCCATGGGTTGTTGATTCTACTGAGAATATGCTGATTTTACATAATCAGGTTCCTACTCGCCCACCTTTTTTTTCGAGTCCTTGAAGGATAAAGTTAGCGTAAAGCGCATCTGCGAAGCACTGAACAAGCTTCGAAACAACTCTCGGGAAAAGGAGCCAAAGCGTGCCCTATTACGCCAGGCATATGACGACGCAATGGAGCGAATCGATGGGCAACCGGCAGATCACAAGGAGCTTGTCAACCATGTGCTATCCTGGATCATATGCGCCAAACGTCCTCTGAAAACGATAGAGGTTCAGTATGCATGGGCTGTCAAGGATTGTGAGAACGAGCTTGATGAAGCCGCAATTCCTGATGCCGAAAGCATGCTTTCGACATGTTTCGGGCTCGTTACCATCGACAAAGAAAGCGAGATTACTCGACTTAGCCACTATACAGTTCAGGAATATTTCCAGGAAACTTTGGCCCAGTGGTTTCCGAACGCCCACCTCAATATCGGAAAGACCTGCATATCATACCTCTTGTTTGAGGACTTTTCAGGTGGACCTGTCAAGACATATGAGGAGGCACGTGAATGACTTGAGAAACCTCTGTTCACCTACGCTGTTGACTACTGGGGACATCATATATCTGCGTGTTCATCCTGCATTCCTCAACTGCTTGACATATTGACAAATCCAGAATGGGTTCGCATGGTGGTACAACTCCGCGCCAGATTTCCAAGATCAGAAACAATCCTTGGCTACTTGATTATCAAAGCCCAAGTTCTGAGTATTTGCAGCCATCCCAGAATGCATTTCATGTGCTTGGGGTCTATGGGTTCAGCAACTTGATCAACGTACTCCTTGCGCGTGACCGGGATATTAATCCAGACCGACAAGACGATTATCGCAGAACGCCACTGAGTTACGCTGCAGAGAGTGGCCATACGGAGGTTATTAAAGCTCTGTTATCTGATGGCCGAGTTGATCCAGACCGACAAGACAACGAAGGTCTAACGCCGCTGAGTTATGCTGCATCGAATGGCTATACGGAGCTTGTTAAAGCTTTGTCATCTGATGGCCGAGTTGATCTGGACCGACAAGACAACGAAGGTCGAACGGCGCTGAGTTACGCTGCACAGCATGGCCATACGGAGGTTGTTAAAGCTCTGTTGTCTGATTGCCGAGTTGACCCAAACCGACAAGACGCATTCGGTCGAACGCCGCTGAGCCAGGCTGCAGAGAGTGACCCCACGGAGGCTGTTAAAAGTCTGTTATCTAATGACCGAGTTGATCCAGACCAACAATACATCAGAGGCAGAACCCCTCTGACTTACGCTGCAGTGATAGCCTTACTAAGCCTGTTGAAACTCTGTTATCAGATGTCCGAGTGGATTCAGAACAGCAAGACGACGAAGACAGAATGCTACTAAGTTATTCTAAATGGTCTGGTGATGGCCGAGTCATGTCAGTGGGACATCAGGACTAGTAATAGACTGGGGACATTCCTTTGAATATTGCTGAGTTAGCTGGTCGATAAACGCGCTCCTTGCTCTCTTGTATCTGAATAGCATTCTTTTTATCATGTCTTCCTAAGTCAAGACCGCCTTGCTCTTCTTTACAGTTTCTAAGATGCTGCAAGAGTAGATAGTATGTAAATTATCTGTATGAAAGGAAGATCTTACCAACACATTGCATTCGTTTTTATGAAAAGTTTGTAAACTAATCGTGTGAAGCTACAAACTACCTCATGCGTCACTTGCTAGTTGGAAGTATGTTGCACGCTCTTCCTTAACTAAGTTGGGTCTGAGTGAAATGTAAATGGAGAGCAAATTCTCAGCGAGCTAGTGTGAGAGTTCCACGACCTCCTGAGATGTGGGGCAATCGACAGCCGCTCAGAAGAACAAAAAGATTGTCATCGCCGATGAAGACACAACCCCTATGTCGACGACCCATCCCATGACATCAATCAAGTATACAGTATGAAGACCTCGAAGTATAAATACATGTAAGTAGAACCCATGAACATTACTTGGTCGAAGTGATCTTCTCAGCTCTTCAGAGCATAACTGAATTTCTCAATCCCTTCAGCAACTTGTAACCCCAAGGATACCACACCGACCTTAAGGCTGGCGGCATCCACTCGAGTTGATTAAAGGAGGATGGCACTCGAAACTAAGTAGAGAGAATGTATAGATAGACCAAACAAACTGTGGCGCGGCCGTTAGACGGTACCTAGATGCTTTTTGTGCAATTGCTCAGGAATAATGGATCTATGAGACTAAGGGCAAATGATCTGTCTATGCGACAAGCTCGCCTCGAGTGAATGGGCTGCTTCTCATTATTTAACGAGGGGAAATTAGGCACACCGTGTCAATTACGTGAGGGTGGCTGCGTCAGCCTTCTAAGGCTGAGCGTGGGCAAAGTGGCTGAGGTGAACTCAACATCGCGAGGCTTGGATGCAATCCGTGAATGACTGGTAAAGAGTTATTGACTGGACCACGGGCGGTAGATATGAATGGTCAATTTGGTGGTTCTGTCAGCAAAAGCTTGCATCAAAGCTTGCGGTGTGCTCGAGTGAGACGCATGAGAGAGATTGGCAAGGACGTAGGTGGATTGTGCTCCTAACTCGGTCAGTAGATCTTGGAACTGAGTGTGTTGTGTTGTAACAGAGGCAAAGCCGAGCTGTTGTATCGGTAACCATCCTCAGGAAACAGAGCCTTAGAGAAATCCCTCAAGGCCTAGTCTCAAAGTGACATAACACGATGTTGATAAGATTAGGCTGGCTCTGCGTGCCCACGCTAGGTCCAGCGGTCCTCTATGGATTACAGCCTTGTGTTCGGTGGTAACTGACGGCTCTATTCATATGCATGCTTGAAGCGCGTGCACTTGGTGGTGGACATTCGATTTCAAGGAAGTTGGCATCTGTAATGACCATTTCTAGGAGCACTGTGGACGATTTTTCTAAAATCCAGTCGATAGTGCGTAGGATATGATGTGCAACAGTTGCAACGACCGTAACATAGTAGTGATCTGGTTTTGGGAAGATAAGGAAACATCTTAAACGTATTCGGTAAGCATTAGCTTCACACTTTTGCCCTATGTGCCTAACAACTAGGAATTTTGAGGATTGGTATATTCTCTATGCATCTCCGGCTATCCAGACTACTTCCCACCCCTTCCATTTGACGTCCTTATCAACTGTGTCAGCATCAAACTTCGAGAACTCTTGCACAGTAGCCAACATTTAGTCTAGTATTTATATCCAGTTATCCAGTTGTTTCAAGCTCCTTCTAATTGACCGTTTAGTTCTTGCACAGTTGCTTCAACTCTATAGTCTTGGAGAGTGGCGTCAAACACACACCAGGTGTCGTTAACGGTATGTAGACTCTATTTGACAGCGTTTTAGGTAATTTCAAGAGGGGCTGGTAAGCATGGGATACAAGCTTAAGTCCTCAATCGAGAAAATGAGAGTACCCCGGGAGCTTCGGATGTTGGTCGGCGTTGGGACTGTGGGAAGTTCAATAGGTACCTACCGACTGGATAACATCGACTCTAAGGAAGGCGTAAAGGGCCAAAAATTTTTTGTTGCTTCGTGGGAATGACATGTATCAATCGCCATTTTTGATACTAGCCCTCCAAGTCTTATCGAGAACTCGGAGGATGGACGGGAAGTTCAATTAAACTTCCGCTTGTTGGTTCTGGAGGGGGCACCGGTCACACCTACGAGAGTTTATGTCATGGCGAAAATTGCCCAGGTCTCGGCGAAGATAGTCCAGGTCGTTTTTGTGAGAGACCAGTTAGGAGTGAAGAGAGTCCCGTTTGTGTGGAAGATGGGTCAGTTCGCCGTGAGAAGACGTAAACCAGAAGCAGCTCATCTTCCTATATAGCGTTGCCTCGCTCTTTAGCGGAAATTGGATATTTGTCTTACATGTTCAAGGTTAGCATCGCTGGTTGTATTGCCGCTGGTATTTTAGATAGATGGCCCTTGATACTCTCAAGCCTCCTATGACCGTGAATCGGGTAAGATTTTTTTTTTTCCCCTAGGTGCTTTAGTCTACGTCAGAGTCCTAACTGATGCTTGATTTGTAGTTATGCGGGAACTTCAAGAGTTTCTAATCTGTTGCGGGCAAGCTCCAACCTAAGGTCGTTTAGAGACTTGTTGCTGACCTGAACTTGCCACAAACTTGTCTAACCGCGACCAGATCTCTCTTCCCGAGCAATGACATCGGTTCTTCGAAGAATTAACAAGTGTGTTCAAGAATCCTGAAACAGAGGTTAAACGGACGTACGTATGTTGCACATTGTATAATATGGGCAACAAGACTTGAACTTGCATGGTCTTTACCACCATTCCGGCCTAAACGGAACCTGTCTACCAATTCCAGCACACCCATTTATAAAATTCCTGAGAAAAAGACTTGAACTTACAACCAAAGCAGCTTCAATGAGCAGGTGGACTTCAAAGTGAAGAGAAAGATTTTGGTTATTTTGGTAAGTAGAGCAGGGCTCCCCGCGTTCGATGGTGGCAGAGTTGGGAGTAAATTGTTATAGGATACCTCCTTTTGAGCCCTGGAGATTGTGGATATGAGAGGTTTTTGTTTTGACTCACACCTTCCGTGTCGTGTATACTTGCTGGCCAAGGAAGAGATTGATTGCAATGTAATTGAGCCATTTCCTTGGCCAATGCCGGTGAGGTGTGCCGCCTTCTTTCATGCTGTGTGTTGGAATGAGAGATAGCGACACACTATGCACTTCAGGCATCTTGCAAATGATAGGAGGGAAAGCCTGACATGCCATTTGGTCACATAAATGGTGACAAGACTTTTGAGGCAATTTAAAAGGTGTCAGCCGGTAAAACTGCCCTGTTCTGTCATCAACAATCTCGTGTAGCATTGGGCAGTGTGGAAGAAGGAAAAGACAAAGAGGAGGGTTGTTCTCTGCAACTCTATCAGCCAAAGTCGGGGCAGTTCTCTTATTACGATAGAGGTAGCATAACCGAGCATTTGTATCGCCATCCTTTTGCAGGAAATAGGTGCTTACTTTAAAGGTCAAAAGTCTTAGAAAGATGATGAGATGTTGATAATATTAGCGCCACCGATCTCGAAAACCAGCTCAACTTGATAAAATGCTTCAGAAGAAGTACCAGTGTGAACCTCCCGGGTACAATCAATGCCAGTGAAGAAAACCCTGCCATAGAACTCGCCCCCGACCCGTCCATCCAGTTATGCCACCAAACGACGCCATCCTCCATTAAAGGTACTTGCATTATAATACAGGAACAACATCTGCCTTCCCATTTAGAAATCCGCCTACAATTCAGTGTTTCTCCCATGGCATCATACTTCGTACCAGTTCTTTCCCGGCAATACTGCCCCTCTTCTCCTCTCCTTTCTTCCTCCTCTTATATCTTCAAGATGAGATTATTTGCTCTTCTGCTGCTTAACCAACTTCCCCTCCTCGTCGCTCTCCTCATCCGAAGAGAACTTATCACCATCCTCACCTACCGCAAAAATCGTCTCCCCATCCAACGACTCGCGCGACTGTCTCTGCTGCCCCTGTGTCCGAGTCTGAGCCTGCTGACTCGACTGCGCGACCACACTAGCCCCGCCCGTCGCCGCACCCACAGCAGCAGCACCATTCCCATTCGGCTTACTGCCCACCCTAGCCTCCTCATCATCACTATCATCCGGATGCCCGACATCTAGATTGCCAATCTCAAACGTGCCGTCATCATCCTGGGCAATCTCGTCGCTCATGGCAAACCGCCTGTTGTTGGCCGTCGGCCGCCAGACGTAGGCAATGAACGCTACGTCGGCAAAGTACACCAGGTTGAGCCAGCCGTCCAGGACGAACCACCTCGTCTTCCAGTGGTAAGGAACGTAATCTGGGTCGGTGGCTGACGCGAAGGTGATGGAGTTGAAGAAGAAGAAGCCGAAGATTACCAGGATTGAGACGAGGATGCACCACCACAGCTTGCGGTACATGGCTTCTTTGACGTGCTGCTTGCGCTCGCGCAGGTCCTTGAGCGTCATGTTGAGCGAGTTGAGGGTCCAGACGTAGAAGGTGGTGAGGGTTGCTGCGAGAGGGAGGACGATAAGTAGGACGAATGGGCCGGCGTCGTCTGGATTGACCAGCAGCGAGGTCATGGCATAGATGACGCCGAAGACAAAGTGCGCGATGGCCAGCCAACGGACATAAATCATAGTGCGGCCTAGAGTCGGTTTGACGACACCGTAGCCCATACAGACGATGAGGAGCAGGAAGAACGAGAAGGAGTTGCGCGCGGCGTTGAGGATGGCAACGACCACCAAGAGGACCTTAGCACCGAGGTTGGAACCGTGGCGATTGAGATAGTCTGTGATGTCAGCAGAAGCAAGGCCGAGTTAAGGCAGGGTGCACGTACCATAGAAGCCCCAGGTCATTAGCATCTCGATTACAAGGAAGATAAGAATAGCCGTGATGTAGTTTTGAACAGCCAGGATGTCCGTACGGTGCTGATAGTAGAGAAACAGCCAAAACCTGCGCTCGTCAGCCCTTATCCCTACATTTTTCACAGTTCCAAATTGCACGTACGCCAAAACCAGAGCATAAGCAATCGTGATTCCTCCGTAGAAAGGCAGCTTCGGGATCTGTGTCGCGGGCAGCTCGCCGTAGGCATTGCGGAATTCGATAATTGCCTCATACTTGTCGGCGCTAAACGGCTCCGTCACGACACAGAAATAGCCAGTCTTAGTGATGGGATACTTAATCGGCTTAGCATCCTTGAGATGAATCGCCTTGGTGAGGATAAGATTCTGCGAGTGCTGCGCAGCATCCGGCTCGAGGATAAACCGCCCGATATCCGTCTTGTTGCAGTATCCCTGATCGACGAACTGCTGCTCGCAGATTCCAATCTTATGGGAGGAGCCCTCAGGCTGAATGCCGATGTACTCCTCGTCGATCCAGTCGAAGATCAGCAGACTGACGATCGGGTCCTTAACGCTGCTGTCTTTGCCAACGTCGGTGAACTTGACGAGGATGAACGGGTCAACCGGGCCTCCCCAAGCCTTTTTGCTGTACATGCCCGCGCAGCGCTGCTTGTTGTCTTCGGTTTGGTCCTGAGACGTGGTGGTTAGCTGCGATAGTAAAAGGGGGGGGGGAGGGAGGGGCTCAGACGAGGGGCAGCATACCAGCTTCACCTCAAGCGCGGACGCTGTCCAGATGGACAGCGCCAACAAGAGTAGGGCGTATGCCCAGCGTCGCATGGTGTTTGTGTTCGCTGCGGTGAGAGTAGGCTTAGGTATCGCTCAAGTATTCTCGAGGAATAGGGTGGTAAAGGCTGTCGGCTCAAGATGGTCGGGCCACTCGGAGATGGTTGCGCTTTGCCCAAAAGCAAACAAAGTGGTCAGAAGAAAGTATCAGAATCCAGGACCGGCCCCAGCATTGATCGGCAGCGTCCAACTTCGCCAGTAGATGGCGCGGCCTAAGAAAATAATAGCCTCAAGGTCAAAGGTCGAACGAGTTCAACCCACGGTGTCTGGTCTTCGTGTCATCACCCCGGGCAAAGGCCAGGCCCAGCCGTTGAAACGGTTCCCTCTCAAAACCAGGGACCCTGCTTGCGTCAGGAGGACGCGGCCAGGTCCACAGTCCAATGTTCCCGGTCCCACCATTTGTCTTGGCAAGGGGACAGTCAACCAGACAACGGTACAGTGTCCTAACTTTCGCACTGTCTTCCTAGGCTGTAGTCGCGCTAGCCGCGCACAAGCGCGCCGTAGTCTATGATTGGTCGGCCTCACTACAGCTCTGATAAGATAGTAGATAAAACAACCACAGCCTCCGAGCAGGTATCATCACAAGCTCAATCGCCCCTACACCCCCAGTCATCACCATGGGCAAAGGAACAGACAAGCTCTACATCACCCATTCTGAGTGGTCATCCGGCGATGCATATAGCGCCAGTGTCGGTGCCAACGCCGGCGAACGTGCGCGGCGCGCAGCAGGCGGTGCGGCGCTTGCCAGCTTCTCGCGGCTCCCTTTCAACTACTGCGCCGCGTCTCTGCAGCCCTTCAAGAATCCCGTATGCACCGCCGACGGGACAATTTTCGACGTCGAAGTCATTGGTGCATGGCTCGCGAAGCACAATACAAACCCAGTCAACGGCAAGCCGCTGGCAGCGAAGGAGCTGATCAAACTCAACTTCGCGCGCAGCCCAGACAACCCCGACACCTACTGCGACCCGGTGACGTTCAAGCCGTTCACGAACAACACGCACATTGTCGCGATCCGCCACGGAACGTACGCGAATGTCTTTGCGTGGGAGACTATCGAGCGGATGAACATCAAGGCCAAGATGTGGCGCGACCTGGTTGACGACGCGGAGTTTGGACGCAAGGACATTATCACCCTGCAGGACCCTCAAAACGCTGCTGCGCGCGACCTTTCCCAATTCAAACACCTCCAGGAAGGAGGTGAGGGTGCTCTGCCGACCAAGGAGCTCGAAGCGCAGCGCGCAGAGGGCAACATTAATATCGATGCACTGGGCCGGCTAGGCGACAAGGTTCTGCGCGCGAAGGAAGCCGTCGCGCGGGCGCGGCAGGCCCGAGAAGCGACCGGCGACGTGAACCACGTTACCAAGGCATTGACAGCCTCATCCAAATCCTCCTCCGCAACACCAACCCCTCGCATCGGAACTCCCTCCCAAGCAACCTCCACAAAACCCAAACCTCCCCCTAACGCTGCGCGTTATACAACTGGCCGGGCCGCCGCCTCACTAACCTCGACCTCCCTAACCCCCTCAACCTCCTCCCATGAACTCGCCCTTCTCACCGACGAAGAATATATGCTCAAGCCCAAGCGCGTCAAACACAAAGGCTACGTCCGTATCGACACAACCTGCGGCCCCTTAACCATCGAACTACACACCGAGACCGCGCCCCAAGCAGTCTGGAACTTCATCCGCCTCTCGCAACGCGGCTATTACCGGGGCGTACTCTTCCACCGCAACATCGCCAACTTCATGATCCAGGGCGGCGACCCGACGGGCACCGGCAAGGGTGGACAGTCTATTTGGGGAAAAAACTTCCCCGACGAGGTGGACGGGCCGAACTCGCTGCACGACGGGCGCGGCGTGGTGAGCATGGCGAATAAGGGGAAGGATACGAACGGATCGCAGTTCTTCATTACCTACCGGGCCGCGAAACATCTGGATCGAAAACACACCGTGTTTGGGAGGGTCGTGCTAGAGGATGAGCACGGCAAGCGGACAGCGAGTGCAGACACACTAGACACCATGGAGAAGTGGCCGACGGACGGAAGGACGAATCGGCCAATCAAGGAGATTGTGATGCGGGATGTAGTCGTGCTGATTGATCCGTTTGAGGAGTTTATGAAGGAGAGGAAGGAGCAGGAAGATAAGGAGGAGGGGGAGAAGAAGAAAAAACTGGAGAATAAAGAGGATGATGTAACGACGTGGACGGGGAAGCGTGTGCGGAGCAGGTATGACCCTAACCATGGGAATGGGGATGCTGGGAGTGGAGGGGGCGGGGGAGGGGTTGAGGTTGGCAAGTACCTCAAGAATATACAACAGCGGCAGCAAGATGAGGGAGGCGGGGGTGAGGTTGATACGTGGGAGGAGCCGGTGAGGAAAAAAACCAAGATCATTTCGGGTGGGTTTGGGAACTTTGATAACTGGTAATGGCTTGACGACTCAGGGGAATGGGTATGGTTTCAAAATGCCAGGGTATACATATTGCAGGTCGTGAGTAATGAATGAGAGGCTAGGAGATAGAGTCCAAGAATGTCTGGTTTGAAGGCGATTAGCTCTTCATGGGCTGCCTGCGGCAGCGAGTATATAACATCAGAGAATTTACACAAGTACATAATCGTAAAAACATGGTATCATCCGTCCCTACATCCAATCCATATCCAGAAAGGTATCCGAAAACCCCATCTCCCCCGGCGGCCGTTAGCCCATCCAATTCCCCATAACCCAAAAGAAGTCATAAAGAGAAGTTCCGAAACATAACGAGCTCAGGGGCTCGTGGTCCCTTCCATCATAACTTATCCTACATACATGCTCACGCCCAGATGGCGTCAAACTCCGGCCTCAGCAACTCCCGACCTGGCTCAGCCAGCCCAAGTCCATACTCGCACCCAACCATCGCGAACGGCAGCGGCGACGGCAGAGGCGAGGACACATCCGACGACGAGAACGCAGGCGACAACCCCGGCACAGGTGAGGGGCTCGCCAGCGATGGCGGCACCACGACCTCCGGAATGCTGCCATTACCCTCCATCCCGCGCAGCGCAGCCTCCAAATCCAAGTCAATCCACTGCCCGTCCTGCTCCTGCATACCCTGCAGGCCCAAGCCCAGACCGAGCCCTTCACTCCCCTGACTCCGCTCAAACACCTCCTCCGGATGTCCAAGCACCCACCCCCTCTCCTCCACAACTGCAGCAAGCGCATCAGCCTGTCTAGCCCCCGTCTCCATGCACAATGCCCGCAACCGTCCTACGACATACGCCCTCAGCTCGGCGCTACACGCAGACGACATGCCGGCCACAAAAAGCGGCCACACGGCCGTGCTCTTTGCCGAGGCCAGATGCATGTACCGCGCAGCCTCCTCTTCGGGGGCGTTGGCGGGAGCGAGGGTGAGGTCGAAGATGGTTGGGCCGGCGAAGAAGGGGTTGCCGGAGCGCGAGGGATTCGTTGAGAAGAAAGCGGCGTTGTTGGAGAGGTCAGAGCGGGCGGAGGGAGAGGTCGGGGGAGAGGGCGTGGCACGGATCTCGACTGTCGCGATGGGCGTCTTGGAGTCGATCGTGCCGTCGGTCGGGTTGATCAGGCCGAGCTGCTGGGGGACGGAATAAGCGACGGAGGGGACGAGGTGCTTCAGCTTGCGGCGGGCGTCGTGGTAGGCGGGCAGGTAGACGGTTGGCTCGAGGGAGGGGATGATGTTCTGGAGATCACGGGAAATTTCGGCCTTGATGGACTCGAGGATCATGATGCGGATGGCGAGGATGCTGTTCCACAGGTTGGCGTGGTGCAGAGTTGAGTGCAGGTGACAGATGCCACCGAAGACGACAGCGGGATGGTGCTGGGTCACCTTGAGCGTGCGGTGTGCCCATGAGGAGGGCAGTTGAGCAGTCAGCTTCTCAAAGGAATCCTCAAGGGCAAGAAGCCGGTCGACAATGATCTGGGGGTTCGACAGCTTGCCACTGTTGACCTCGGCACGCAGCTGCAGGACCTGCCAGACCAGCGGCATCAAGCGCTTGTTAGGGTTGTCCTTGTCGAGCGACTTGGTCATTTCGTGCCACAGTTGTTGCAGGGCTTCGGGCATGGGCTGATTGCGCTGCGCACAGCTGATGATGGCACGCTGGCACAACATCGAGAACATCCTCCTGCCAGCACGTGTCTTGAACTGTGAGGCGCCCCTGAGCGAGGCAAGGGCGACAGCGCCGTTGACGTGTTCCTGGAAGGCTTCCACAGTCAAAGTGCGCGGAGTCGTCTCGGCCATCATTTCAAAGAGACCGAGGATCAGGACGGACAAAATAGTGATGTCCTTGACAGCCTCGACCGGGTCCTGAAGCGCGTGGTTGATTAGCCGCAGAGCCGTGCCATAGGCCTTGTGCGCGGCATCCATGAGCGTCGGGTTGGTGCTGGCCATGCCCATGAGTCCGACGGCAACCATGCTGGCCAGCACAACGTCAACCTGCTGATCGCGGGTACTTGATGAGGCCCGCCAGACATCACGCAGGAAGTCGAACTTCTGATGGCTTACTGTCTCCTCGTTGGTGACATAACGAGAGAAGAAGTACGCAAACCCCTTCTCCTGCAACTCAGGATCGATGTTGTAGATCTGGGCCATGGCCGGAGTCACGGGCCAACAGCCGGAATCGGGGGACATCAGGGCGAAGGTGTCATCCTCATGCTCGGCGTCCCGGTCTGACGGGCAGCTTGTCGCTGGGGTCGGCGGAACAACCAGGGTCAATGACTTCTTCGGCTCCGAGGTGGCGGACACGCGGCTCCCCGTCTCGGACGGAGTAGCTGAGCGAGCGGTAGCAAGCCTTCGGGCCTTCTTTCGAGCGGCCCGCGCCTCAGCCTTGCGAATGACATGATCGCTCTCATCCCGGAACATCAGATCGACGAGGTTTCTGTAGCCGGGGCATTTTTGGCGTCTTTTCTCGCATTGGCCGCAGCCGGGTTCTTTCTGATCGCACTGTAGACTGTCAGTAGATGCTTCGTTGAGAGTGAAGGCTCAGAGTAATAATCTAAACATACCCGAATCTTGCGCTCCCGGCAGTTGGAGCAGCCTTTGCTCGGCTTACCGCAGTAGACCATGTTGGAGATGTGATCTAAATTACGATTAATCCGCATGTAACGTTGTTATGGCCGATAGTAACACTTGACGACGCAGTGCGATACGGGCATTCACCGTCGTGGGCCTTTGGTTACACCCGGTGGCAGGTCGCAGATCGACAACACAGACGGGTACAGAGGACCGCACAGAGGAAGACTGAGAGAGAGTCTTGCGCTGTCGAAGTTCACTTGACTCGAAGACGAGTGTTTTGCTGGTATGCAAAGTAGAGTAGCAATATTCAAGTTGTGCTTGTACTTGTGCTTGTGCTTGTGCTTGTGCTTGGCCTTGTGAGTTGTGCTTCCGTGTGCCCCTGAGTGCCCCTAGGCCCAAGGCCGCGTCGTGTCAAGTGCTTCTCCAGAAGATGAGCTCTGAAAAAAGCCTACGAAACAGCCCGGGCGACGGCGACGAGGTCCAACTTATGATCTCGAGCCCATCAACCTGGGAGGCCTGCTGAGAGTTTAAGGAGATCTCGGTTGCATCAAGTGTAAAAGAATATCGGAGAGCTCGAAGGCCCAATTCACGCAGCATTCCTGCATCTTGCTCCAAGAGTCCGGGTACCTGAGAGGCGGTGCTGCTCTCGATTCATCACGCTCAGGTCGCGGGATGGTATGCTCGCCTGCTCGTGTGAGTGCCATAGCCGCAGATACGCGGGTACCGATGCAGCGCTGGCAAGGCGGAAAGGCAGACTTGTACCATAGTAACCGACAGGGGTATTTCCTCTTTCGGCTACCTGTGCGAAGAGCGACGTGAATGGCTAGGCTTGGCAACGCTTCCTGACCCTTGCGAGCTGCACAGGCCAGGGGTCCAAGTGGGGCCCAAGCAAAGGGAGTGTGAAGCTTAAAATGCTCCCCGCATCCCAAAGTGTGGGACCATGTTTGCTGCGCCCAACTTGGTCTGCCACAATGATGTGGCTTCTAGGACAACAAGCTTATGGATGGCCCAATTTTGATATAGCTCGAAACCATACATGCTTGCAGCATGCATGGCTTGCAGAACTTTTCTTGTTGCCCGGCGATGGGATTCATTCTAGAAGGCTTCCCTCCTCCGTTGTCGGCGTGGCTGCCTGCCATTATGATCCAATGGAGGAGCTGTGATGTGGCGCTCCTATTGGGATTTTGTGCACTACTGTGATTGCTTGTCTTACCATTAATGTGCTTTCCCTCTGGGTGCGGACCAAAAATATTGAATATTGGCTGAAGCCTGACGCAACCCGACCAAGGTGTCTTGAGCTCGATGTAAATAGACATAAGAGAGCTACCTACACGCTTGGTGTCACTCTGCCACTGAAAAGTTCCAAAGCTAAAACCAAAACTGACACCGGATGACTTACACGCGCGTTGCGGGCGCTTAGGCAGCGAGCCGATTCCGACTCCACGTCGTTCAGCTTTTCCAGCTCTCATGCATCCCGTGTTCCAGGACAGCCTCAGCTTGTGTCCTCGGAAAAGCAACATCAAGCCCGTTCTGGCCATATAGTTTGCGGGAGATTTCGGCACACTCCATCCAGAGCTCTGGCTCCCGATTTTTCCGCGACATCATCGACCTTGTCAGGTGTCTCTGCAGCCACAGAACAAGAGCAGACAGAGCGTAGAGTCATCGTTGTGTTCCAAGCAACTAGATCGGGCAAAGCTGTCCCTGGGGCGCAGATGTGGTGGATGTGGGACTCGAAATTCACGCAGATCCTCCAGATTTTGCTAGCGGCCACACAGCCCTACACTAACCGTATTTGGCAAAGTATATGTGGGGAAATAGTCTGGATGGTCCTATGCAGCACGGACCACATCGCACATTGCGATTGGCGTGGTGAGACGTCCGCCAAACAAACATCCCGCTTCGCTGAGTCACGCCCCAGGCCTGAGATTTTTCATCTCGTCCACGGTTTTTCTCCCACCACTCACCACTCGATGTGATGGCTGTGGCTGACTCCGCAGAGTGAGCATTTTAAATCGTGATGATGATGCCATCACAACCACACAGCTGGACTGCAACATCATCACCGAGCGAGCGGAACACGATGCTCAGTGCAACTCTACGGAGACATCCCGCTCCTCTCACAAACCCCGTGGCTGTGCATCGTGTTCGAGAACTTTTCTCTGCTCATTGCGATGACTGGCCTACAGACCACTATCATGTGAGCGAAGGAGTTGCGGTGAGCAGATGCTCAAGGCCATGATCGTGACAATTCATCTTATGCATTTCTCCAAGCTGTCCGGGATTGAATGCTTGCTGCTGTTGTGTCGTTGGCAGTGGCAGTGGGGATTTAAAAGTTTTGACAATTGATTGTGTTGCCAAGTTTAAGCTTGGAAAAAGCTTGGCGGAATGGGTGGTCCGAGCTCGGACCCAAAGCTTTGGGCCCCCCGCCGCAGACATGCGGGACAAAGAGTTTCAAACTCGTTAACTAACTCGATCAGCCACTGTCAGTTTTGACAGGATGAGCGGGTACGACAGTGACATTCCCAATATACGGGGTAACATGTAGATGTCTCAGCAGTTGTTACCTTGTCTTACAAGCAATATCAACGAGAATAGTGTCTGCTGCTTCTCCTTCAAGCGCTTCCCCCTCGAGGTTCGCAGCCTCGCACAAAACGGACTAGACGCCATTGTTGGAGGGGGGGGGGGTATCGTCTCACAGTTACATCACCCTGCCTTTAACCAAGCTTCTGGAATTTAACTCACATAAACCTCTCGCGGTTCATGCACCTGACAGTAAGGTCGGTGATTACACACTCCCAGCGAACAGATACTTGAATGGGAAAAGAAGACCGGATCTGACATTGTGCGACGCATGACGCTGATTCGGCAGTTCCCGCCCCCAGACCGCTTCTCAAAGCCGAGCTTCGTGGCTGATGCCAAATCCCACACACCCAAGACGCCATTTCACCATTCACGGCAAAAACCGACCCGGCTTGCTTACCGGGAAGATCGACAATGACGTCACACAGGTAGATCCAACTCCGCGGACCATCACCTTAATCTGCTCGAACGAAGTGAGACCACCCCTGGGGGGTCGCTGCAAGACATCGCAGCTACCGCCACAACGGTGCCCTTGGTGATCGAGCAAGACCTCCGGTTGTAGGGCTGCAGCAGGAGCATGGCCCTCGATTGGTTCCTGAAATTTTTGCATCGTAGGGTGACCGAGACCCAAGCCCACGGCATGTCTTATCCAGATTGGGAAGTCTCTTCCACATCCTCTCATGTTCCTGGCCAGCCCTATGAGGCTCTTCGATCGTGGGATACCGTGCTGTGCCTCAACGGCAGCCCTACCCGAGCCGGCCTGGCGGTAACCAGTGAGATTAAGCTAGACGGCAGTGTGGCCCCCTTCTCCGGGGACGGCGTTGAAAGAGTGAAGACACTTGATGAGTTTCTGGAAGGCGCCATCGCCTGCCTAGAGAAGTCGCCGAGGTGGCATGGTTGTGCTGCCCGGGGCCGGTTCTTGTGCTCCCCGATCGCGGGGAAGGGCTAACGGTCGTCGTACATCATTGTTGACGGGGTAGTGTCCGTAGTGCTGGTGCTATATTCGGTAACTGAAGGGCTAGGCAGGGGCGGGTTGCCTGAAGAGAAAGGGTGCAACATATACCCCACGATTTTATTTTGGACATGTATAACGGTACACTGGGGTTGCACTGTTCGACTTGTGTCATGTTGACAAGTCGAGAAGGCAACACAGGCTCAAGAGACATTCGCACCGCCAGACCTGAAGTATCGAGAAATTCTTTTTATAGAAATTTGGGAGAAAACAATGATCTTAGGAACTTTGAAATCCGTTTTTTCTTTTCTTTTTCTTTTCTTTTTTTGCTCGCTGATCACACTGCATACCGGAAATAAGCCGCGCGCTCTCTGTTCTAGTTGTCAACACTTTGACCAAAGCTCTCCTTATTTTTTTTTTCACGGTAGGCATCATTATAATGTCCATCAACTAGTAGACTGTTTATTCGCACTCTATCTTCCTTGGTGCCCCAAGTATAGGTACATAGCATCATGACCGGACTAAGTGAAGAAAGTTGAACTGCAGTGTCATGAACCAAGACATGCTACATGACGACTCAGGATCAGACTTGATATTAGATACGTACCTTACAATTGACCAATAACACACCTGTTAGACAAGCATTCATGATACACATGGATGAGTCGCTGTTAGTTTGGTCAATTGCTTCTTGCGCTTCTCATATAGAGAGGCCTTGGCTTAATTCTCTTGTGCCAAGAGTTGAGGATTGAATATGAGACTACTTACAAGAGAGTGGCAGAGTAATTAAGCCGTTGGACTTACACTCCTGCCTTCTGGAAGTTCACAATTGTGATCTAAGTGCTTGTCTACCTATAGCATTCGAGCTGTACATTGACTCTGTCACTCTCGGATAACATATCTCGGCATATATAACCGATAATCAGCTCGTACATATGTGCACGGTTCTACATGTGATCAGCAGACCGCTGATTGCCTTCTCCGGGTATAATTAAAGCTTTCAGTTCATGGTGCTTGACATAGGGGTATGCGTCTCTAACATAAAGTCGGTGTAGAAATAAGCAAAGTGAAGCTACGCTTGAACCCAGGTTGATGAAACAGGTTCGCAAAATGCATAATTTGAAGAGAAAATAATAAATCTGTGCTTCATCTAGCCATACTTCGAAGACCTAGTGTAGAACAATTTTGCTATGGGATTTGTAAATTTCGATGTTGATGAAGTCCGTTTGCTCAGCTCAACAATGCCGGCCTTGATGTTGCTGAAGGAACAGTCTACGCCAGTAGAAACACTGTGTCGAAGATGCCGTACTGCAAAAAAAAAACTATAGATATGTACCTTGGTTTTTAATACATGAAAGAGCACTCGAGAAATTATCCGATTAAGTTTTTTTTTTTCTTTTTTTCGTAACCTCACGTCAGCAGTTGGATGGAATTGAATCCATATTGCAAGGTGAATTCAGCATCATGTACCTCGATGTCGGAATTGCGCGCCCAACAACCCAGTGCCAGGCACAGTTGCTTCCCAATATTCTCCACAGTGTCCGACACGGTGGGACCTTTCCCCTAACCAGGGGCAAGCGGGCCAGAGTGGAGCTGGGGCGGCCCAGGGGTCTCCAGTTTTTCATGAATCCGCGGATAGCTATGGAATCGTCAGCGACAGCAGCCCAGACTTGATTTCTCGACGCCCCCTTCCCGTGCATCACGAACATCTTCGACGACACCATCCATCCTGCCTTTCCTCCCCACCGGGCCCTAATGAGAAACAGAGGCCTTTGCGCAGGAGGGACAGCGCCGCTCACACCAGGATACGGTTGACTTTATCCGAGCCGGCAGAGCAAGCAAGAAATAAGGAGAATAATACGACGAACATACCTAGGGAAACAGGAGGGAAAGCAAGACAGCTGGGAGAGGAGACTGCACGACACTGTACGACATCACGATACAACACACCGCGCAGGCCAGCGACGGAGACACAGCCTAAATCAGGGTACGGCGCACAGAGCACGAACACAGACACCGTCACAGAACCAGACAAGACACCGCGACGCGGCAGACCCGCCACGCCCCTGGCCCTATGATGCGGAACCGCCAAATCGGCGTCATCGCCGTCGCTGTGCTCCTGATATTCTGCCTGTGGTCGATCCTCCAGACCACAGCAGACCAGACTCGTCTGCCGAGCAAGATCCTCGTGGGCTCTGGAAACGCTGAGAAGAGCAGCTCTAGCAGCCCCAGTGGCGACAAGAAGGAGGTCAACGACGGCAGTAGCAGCAATACCAGCAGCGATAAGTCTCAAGAAGATACAGCCACATCAGATGCCAACAATGTCACTGCTACGATGCCGGTCGTGGTCTTCGACGACAAGCCATTCCCGACAACGAAGCCAAAGCCCGCTCCACATGGACAGCACCCGATCGTGCATCTAGTCACCACCGCCGAGAAGGAGCTCGAAGCGCTCAGGGCGCGCCAGTCAAAGACGCTCGAGGAGGCCGTGGCCGAATATCGTCGCCGCTATGGCATCCCCCCGCCGCCCAACTTCGACAAGTGGTGGAAGTTCGCCCAGAGCAAGAACGTGCAATTGATCGATGAGTTCGATATGATCCACGAGATGCTGACGCCGTTCTGGGGCATGAAGCCGGCAACCATCCGGGCTCGAGTGCGCGAGATTCTCGGCTACAAGGATAACCAATTAATTGGCGTTCAGATCCGTGGAGGCAACATGTCGCTAGTGCAGGGCGGTTTCAACTGGAATCAGTGGCTGCATCCTGCCCTGCGGGGGATGACCCAGGACTTCGTGCAGTACCTGCCCGATATGGATATTGCTTTCAACATCAACGATGAACCCCGCGTCGTCGTGCAACACGAAGACCTGGCCCGCCTGATCGAGACCGCCCGTAACGTTGCCATGCCTGCCGCCAACAAAACCGCCACACTCCGTAACGCCTTCACTGAGCATCCGGACGACCTCAACTACGACGACCGCTTCGAAGAGGTCAAGACAACCCGCTTCAACACCTTCTCTCACCAGCCTGTCTGGGTTCATTCTCGCATGTCCTGCTCTCCAGATTCCCCCGCTCGCATCATCGACGAGACTGCCCAATACGACGACGAAGAAAAGTTCCTCCTCGGCGAGCTCGGCTTCGTGAGCAACTGGACCGCCATGTCAGACATCTGCCTCTCTCCCTCTCTCCGCACGCGCTACGGCTTCTTCGAGCGCCCCAACTCCTACACAACGGCCTACGACCTTGTCCCGATCTTCTCCCAATCCAAGATCTCCTCCTATGCCGACATCCTGTACCCCTCTCCCTGGTACTGGGTCGATAAGGTCCCCTACAATGAAGAGAAGGACCTCGCCTGGACCGATAAACGCGATGCGCTCTACTGGCGCGGTTCCACGACCGGCGGCTTTTCCCGCGCAGGCGGCTGGCGCCGGCAGCATCGCCAACGCGTAGTCCGTAAGATCAATGCGCACGACAACGCCTTCATCCTGGCCGAGTCCAAGCCAGGAGAGTGGAAGACCAAGGAGGTACCCCGCCAGGACTACGCGCAGCTTATGGACGTGTATTTCTCGCACATTGGCCAGTGTGACCCGTCGGACTGTGACGCGCAAAAGGCTTTTTTCGATGTCAAGGAGTATGCAAAGCAGGAGGAAGCGTTCAAATACAAGCATGTGCTGGACATGGATGGGAATGCGTTCAGCGGGAGATTTTATGCGCTCATGCGCAGCAGGAGTCTGGTGTATAAGTGGGCGATCTTTAGGGAGTGGCATGCGGAGTGGCTCAAGCCGTGGGCGCACTTTGTACCGATGAGCTTGAGGGGTGATGAGTGGCTTGAGCTGGTGCGATTTTTTGGCAGTGGGGAGAGCGAAGAGGGACTGAGGATGGCTGAAGAAATTGCCATGCAGGGTCGTGAGTGGGCTGAGAAGGTTGTCAGGAAAGAAGATATGGAGGTTTGGTTTTTAGGCTGCTCTTGGAGTATGTTTTCCCCTTCTCCCCCCCCCCTTCCTTCCCTTTTTTTTTTTTTTTTGCCAAGCCGCTGCTCGTGGTGTTCGTGCTAACAGGATTCGCAGATACGGCCGTGTCATCGACGACAATCGGGAGACGATCGGATATGCTGGTTGATCATCCGACTTGAATTGATTTCCTTTAAACTAGGGCAGCATAATCATCCTGTACCGCTTTGATCGTCGATTTTTTTTTTCCCCGCCCAACGCAATCCATCAGGCGTGGTCAGTTGAAAGAAGAGGCTGCAGGCAACGCGAGCCGGTAATAGATAAAAAAAAAAAACTCCTGACAAAGCACGCGATTATCTAACCAACTGCATGAGCAAGCAAGCAAGCAAGCATCACTTCCCGGCATTCCAAACGGCAAACTTTTTGTTCCTTCCGCAGTTTTCCTTCCGCTCCTGTCTTATACCTGTCTTATATCCACCCATGCCTACAAAAGCATATCCTTCTACTACAGTAATTAGCTTTAATATCGAGCCGTTGAGTGGTAATGGAGGACGTCACGAGAAGCATGAGGGGACGATACAGGAAGAGGAGGGAAGATAATCAAGGCGTTGTGGATGGGTTAACGAGGGTAATTACTACGTAATTGGGTATGATGAGCCAGAGAAACTAGGGATAGTGAAACAGCAAACGGCGTTGGTTTTGAGTGTATATAATTTTGGTTAAGTTTTTGTATAGTAGTTTTTTTGTACTCGAAGGGAGCGATGCATACAAATGGAGTTCATGACCACCATCCGCGTTTCGTGCCAAGTGAGGGTGAGAGTTGGATCCGTTGTCAGTTTTCATCACATTTTTCTATTAAATCTAGTGGATATAAGACACCTGCCCACGTTTCCATAGATCCATCGCGGGCATCTTAGCAGTCGCTTGTTGTACAGATATTCTTTGCCTTTGCTGAGAGATATCTGCTATGTCAGTAGTCGCTAAGCAGCTGAACCCGTAGATAAGCATCTCCCATTTTTCCCATCTTTATCATAGGTTGTATCTTTTCCACCTTTGATCGAAACTCCTGCCCCACAGATGACCTCATAAATACCCTGAGTAAGCACTAGCAGCGGTAGTAGTAGCGAGTAAAATACCAAACTCCCATGCTCCTCAAACCGCCATCCGAATCTAGAAACAGGAAAATACAAGCTTGGGTGCTTTGAGGTTCTTTTGAACCGAAACCAAAAGGGGGAGTAGATATAAGTATTTTTACTCGTCCTCCTCGCCCTCAGCATCCCCCTCCTCATCATCAGCACCACCATTTATGCCCTCAGGACTACCGCCCTCACTGCCTCTCCTCTCGTCCTGCTCATGTTCCTCCTCACCTTCGCCATCTTGCTCGCCACCCTCCTGCTGCTCGTCCTCGTCATCGGGCAGATCACCCACCGGCTGCGCCTTATACCTCTCCAGTTCGGCGCGCAGCTCAGGGCTAGGATCATCGACCTTGACGTGCAGCTCATCAAGGTGGGCCTCCTCCTCTTCGCCCGGCAACTGGCTACCCCGGGCCCGACACGGGCCAGCTTCACGCCACGTGCAATGTTCTTGGTACGCTGACTGCGTATCGTGGTGCGCTGCATAACAGGGTAGTAGTAGACGGCCTTTTGCGCCGAGTCGTCGCTGCGGTTCTTGGGCGGACCAGACTCGTCGTCGCGGAATGCGAGGATGACTTCCTCTGCGTACTTATTGTCGTGATCCATCTCTTTCTCTTGCGCCGTCTCGTAGGCGCGCAGGCGGGGGAATCGGAAGTGGGACGCGTGCCCATCTGTGTAGAGAGAATCGTCGTCTCGCGAGGGGTTGTCCACGTCGAAACGTGCGACGAAGTTCTCGGCGGTGCGGGTGTCCGCTGGCAGGAAGAGGTCGTAGTTCATCATTTGCGAAGGCTTGGGTAGTGTCGGGTCGCGCTCCCAGGCCTGTCGGGCGGCTTCATAGAGTTGTTCCTCAGCGGCGGTACGCTCGATCGGTTTGAAGATGCCTGCTAGGAGACGGGTGTCGTAGGTATCGCTTGCAGCGACGGGGTTGGTCTGGAATTTAACTGTCACGTAGGCGCCAGAATCAGGGAAGGCCTCCAAATCGGGCAGTACGGGGAAGGCATCGACGAGGCGCACATTGCGCTTCGAAGGGTGCTTAACCCAAGCGCGGTCGGCCAAATTGGCGGCCGCAATTTCGAAGCTCTTTTCAATACGACGTTTGATCCATGCAGGAGTGCCCTTGTCAGGCTCAGGAGAGGCTTTGCGCTTTTCAGGACGCTTGAGAGCATTGCCTGAGGACGGCTTCAAGAAGACGTGATCGGCCGGCGGACGCGGCGCGCGGTTCGGCGTCACTGAGGAGATATATTCGGTGCGGCGCAGGAATGAGACAGCAGTCTCGGCCAACTTAGGCTTGCCGAGGGTCGACAGAGGACGCAGAAGAGGACGATCGTGGGGATGGACGGGAGGGGCCTGAGCCGGTGCTTGAATGGCTTGGGGAAAGTCAGTGGATGCGGTCGGTAACGGGTGTTTGGTGGGAAAAAACGCACAGCTTTCGTCGCCATCGAATACACCTGGCATGCCAACAAGATCAAGCGGCATACCCAACTCCGCATCAGCCTCGATGTTTAGCGGTTGCTCGCGCGCCAGGCGCGATGCAAAGGCCGGCATAGTATACTGGCCGCTGGCGAGGCCGGTGTTGGGAATGTCGAGGAGCTTGGGAGGATTTGGTGGCGGCGGCAAGGCATTTGAATAGCGTATTCTGGCTATATAATCTTGATGTATCATGCGCTCTCCGGAGCGCGGCTGTGAGGACGACATGGTGATGTCTAATCTCGAAGAATGGGGAGATTGGTAAGATGGTTGAAGTTTTGGGATGCGACTTGATGTTCAGTCGCGCTTGGAGTTTGGCCGGACCTGGGAAGGCTGCGCGACGGAATTGGATTGCCAAGCCCACCATGCCTGAAATGTGGGGCCGGTGGATCCCCCACCTGGCACAATACCAGACGGTACGTACCTCTGCTGCCCCGCGCAACCGCAGCCAACTACAACCTGCTCCAGCCTATATTGTTGGTGGCTTCTGTTTACGCTGACAATAGTCGAGAAGCCAGATTTTGGGCACAGGACCCTATTGTCAAGTCGTTACTTAGCGACAATCCGTGGTAGAATGTTCTCTGATCTCGTTTGAACTCCACACATTAGGCAGATGTCGTGATGCTCAACCACCACCTATTTGGTCGCCAGCAAATGTGTGCCATCCCCATATCACACGTCATGACAGAAGCCTGCCGCACGGGTCCGTGAAAGCAATAGCCCGGCTATTTTATGCTCCGTGTCTTCGCTGGTAAACACATATGCAGGTTACACAGCCCGTTGGGCCCGAATCGCTCACAACCATAATTCCAAAGCCCATATCAGGAGGTAATCCCTCCTGTTGCAGTTCCACCGTCAGGTATCCCGGCTTCTTGAGCAGCTGAGTTTCAGCTTTTCTCATCTCTTGTAATCATCAGAGAGAAATTAAAGGACGCGGGGGAAAAGCTTCCCCTATCCGTTTCAACGACCAAAGCTTGAGCGGATCAAGGGCCAACTATCGGGAATATGCGAAATGTTACAGCCTGCCTTACAAGCATTGAACATGCAGGAGATCACTCAAGACTCCCTATACGCCAGAGGCATCGAGGACTAACAATATAACGATGATATCCCCCATGTTCAGACAAAGATATGTTTATTCTCGGGTCCGCTTACTCCACTCTCTTGACTAGACAGGCAAGAACCCTATCAGACATCAAGGCCAACCGGCCAAACTTGAGAGGGAACGTAAATCAGCCTAACCAACATTGATGAACACATCGCCAATACCATTTCCAAAGTCCGTGACTCGCTTGAAGATATCAAGGCTCTCAGAGATGCGCTTCCTCAGATCAAAGCTCATCTGCGGCTATTCTTAACCTGCAAACGAGCGCCTCCACTGTCTACACTCGGTTAGGGTTCGATGCTGTTCAGGCTGTAGGTATCACCGTCTGCAAAGTTTGTCAGTCCTTACGTTTTGATTGAGCTAATTTCAATATTTGGCTAGTCAATCCCCGAGATAACGAACTGTGCCTGTTACTGCTTAATGAGCAAACCCGCAATGTTGAAATAAACTCTGAATACGATGTAGATGGGGCTACCCTCCTTTAGAGATCCCTTTCAGTGTGTTTTCCAAGCCAACAAACGGAAAAAACGCCATTACTACCAATTTGGATCTCTTACTACACTCTGATGGTTGAGAGACAAAAGGGCGAGCGCGTACCTATATGTCCAGCAGGCGAGCTTCCAAAAAAAAATCGGAGACTACCGAAACGTCAAGATCACTTTTCAGGTTGCAGTACTTCGGCGATTACTCACCATGGCACTTCAAGCTTGCTTTCACTGGAAGTCTGATGCGTCAGGAGGAAGTATCAAACCGAGCATTATTTACCGTCCAGTCGTCGCGGAGACTTCGCCAGTCTTCCAGATAATTGAGATGTTGCAGCATATGTTCTTCTGGATGGCTTCGAAAGGTTACCGAATTAAATTACCTTTCCAAGTTTACAGCCCTATCAACTAGAGAAATTCAATGATTTGACTTTGCAAAACCTACACCACTTATACACAACTGTCCAGGAATCTCCTTTCTCGGTTAACTGGTAGAACGAATCCCTCATTCATTATCCAGTTAGCAGTGTAGGGTCGTTCGTTCCCGTTCCGCCCAGTTGGCCATGCGTAGCCTTTCGTCTCACCAGCGACAACAACAGACTTCAGTCATTGTGCGTCTATGATTTCATGCACTGGGACTTCGGGCAAGTCTGGGTCGCCCAAACGAATTCTCTCTTAACTATCCTATCAGGTTTGATCAATACTTATCATGTTCCAGGAGCTGCACATGATGATTCAGGAATGTAAGTCGCAAGTGCCAACTCTTCGTCTAACATTCTCGTGACGAGACGGAACAGCCCCAAATTCAAGCATCGCTTGCGATATATCAGCAGGACACCTCTTAGCTCGTTCCTTACTAGCGCCCACTTGGATATCCCACATGAGCCGCGTGTTCCTCGACTGCTCACCTGAATATGAAGCATTTCGGCTTGGGCTAAATATCCTGCTAAAGGCAAGCCTTGAAGGCATGTCCGTTTACCTGAAGAAACACGGATCGGGTGTGTTCTGGAAGCCCGATCTGATATTTCGTCTCTGCCCCCAACTTCCAAAACATATAGCTGAAGACGGTAAAGTGCTTATTCAGGCATGACTTTCAAGTCTCTTTCGAGAAAGTAGTTGTAAATTACACATCCATGAAAGCTGAAATTCTTGGCTAATAACAAGGGCTCAGTATATGAGCTGGGTTCTCTTAGCTTTGCCATCGTCTTTAGTAATGAAACGCAGGTCGAGAACATTCTCCAGATATTTCCAGTTGCTTTACTCAACGAGCGAAACATATTCGGCCACTCCCCTCTGCATCTAGCAATCATGATAGAGCCTACTTCTAGTGAAACTGTCTGTCGTCTATTTAAAGCTGCTAAAAAAAACCCTTGATATCAACCTAGCGGTTCTCTCAGATGTGAAGGCTCAGCTATTGGGCTCCAGAGCCAAAGTGTTTTGGAGCTACATGCTCGGCAACTTGTCAGCCTTCTCTAATAAGAAGGTCTCGTGGTTCCCCATACTGTTGAGAACAGTATATCACTGAACAAGGAACCATTTCGGTATCCTGCTCATCCAATACAATCTCCACGAGCAGTTTATGAACAAATGAGTACAGAACAGCGCTTCGATAGTTACTACGAAGCATCGTTGATTCGTACTGAAGACTTTTTTTTTTTTCGAGAGGGCTTCCGTGAACTTTGCTTCCGTAGAGAAGACATTCATGACGAATACCTTCCTTTTAACTTTGGTAGGGCTACACTTGATGCAGATTTGTAATACTGTTGGTTGCTAACAAACCACGGCCTTAAGTGCCTTCACATACCTATTCGCGAACCACCGCTCCCTCTAACAGCCAAGTAGGAGTTCAATTCCAGTTGCATTTCCTCCCAAACTGCTTCCGGCAATATACGGGATTACTTTCACCAGTCACTAGATACTCTTGGTTAGAGGAGTATCCTGTCTCAACACATCTGCATTTCACAACATGACTGTCAGGTATATTCCAAGTTTGGCATAACAAGAGACAAGACAGATGATTGTGAATGCCTGTGCCGGGGTGGATGCACATCTTTTCGATACTTCATCAAAGAAGTCACAAAACTTTTAAATATAGACTCCAACCTTGCAAGATCGCTTTGGATTTCCGCGAACAGCGATACTTCAGTGATGTTTTAAAAGACATTGTTCAAAAGATTCGGCAGTTATTTCAACCTGGGCCATCATATAGCAAGGGCAAAGTCATTTTATAATCATCACTATGGCGATATACAACTGCTGTTGTAGACTGAACTGGTCTTTGCTCCGTTGCGCTGGCTAAAAGGTTGTCTTCGTCATCCGGAGGGTTCCTTGGCCCCTGAAATTTGTTTTAGTGGGAGGTCCCAACTAGAATTTGCAGCTTGAGTCCTACTTTGACACAGCGATTTTTGACTAAGAATGTATTTTTCTCTCTGGGAAGAAGCCGTTAGTGATCTCCATGACATCAAACTACGGAGCTCATGATGGTTTGTATCGGGCACCTGGTATATACCCCAGCAGCTTGGGCTCCCAAAAATCCTTATATTTCTGGGTAGCTTCCTTACAGACAATGACTGTTGGTGGGGTTACTGTCGTTGACGGGCACTTTCTTTCTCTGTGCTATAAGTGAGGACAAGCGCAAACTTAGTCCTCACGGAGTATACGCAGAGTCATATATCAGCGAGTGGAAGGAGTTCACTGCTGTTTGCGTGGATACAATCATACTGTTTCTTCAGACTGGAAAGACCTCTCCTCTTGCAGTGAATGAAGCTAATCAATCATTGGCGCATCGGACCACATTTCTCGTAAGTTGGACAAGAAGTACTTGATTGTGTAAATGGGATCTATGCTAATCCACGGTTTCTTGTTCAACTCCACAATTACAGATGTCTACTTACGCCCTCATTTTGTGTGGCTGTCAAGAACGGGGATTTTTGGTAACTATATAGATTTGTACAATATTATCCAACCGTTGCTGGGTCTCCTGAAATTCTTGATCTGTTCCAATGCTCCAGTCAATGAGCATGACTGCTCTGGAAAGTAAGTGACGATTTCTATTATTGAGACTTTAACATTGCATACAACGTGTCATGCTGACATTCTCCTAAGAACCCCTATCTACTGCTCAATAGGTAGCAGTTCTTACCATGAGACCTATGCAAACTTGTCTCTAGAACGGCTTCCATGATTATTCGATCGTCCTTGAAAGCAAAATCTGCAATCCTTCCAGACGCAAACAAGACAAATTGTGACATTGTAAAGCAGCAGTTGTCCTGGCGGTCCATATCTCCAACGCTTGCAGATGGTATGTAGACTCTGGACCTACCATCTAGTCTGGTACTAGGCTGGCATATCTCTACCTCCAAGTCGCTCAGTTAGTGGATTGTACACACTTACTGACATCTAATCACCATTTCTAGCTTGCAAGTGTGGCCCTTTACGTCTAGCAATACTTTCCGATGTTACCCATCAGGTACAATACCTCTTAGAGCGACATCCTGCTACACTCAAGGAACGAAACTCATTTAGGCAAACCCCATCTCACCTTGGGACTAGCCGCCCATCGTGCTTACGGTTGCTAGTAGCGAGGGCAGATAGAAAGCAGCTCAACGGAGTTGATGATGCTAGGTTGACGCCTTTGGATATGGCCATCATTAGTAGCGGCCAACGCTGTCGCTCTGTTTGGGAATGCCGACGCTGCTCCTTGTGCAGAGAGCGCTGTCACTTTGTTAAAAGCTGCTTGCGCCATTGGCTATCCCTCTTGGAATTGGAAGATCTTCGACCGTGCCTCCAGATGATGTGTAAAAAGAGATATCCGACATCTCGAAGAACATCGCGCAACGCTGAAGGAGCTCGCACTTAAATATCTTTCTGTCACGGAGGTTTACCGACTTGGGCTGAACAATGCAAGAATTCTCGATTCTCTTGCCTTGGAGGTTAAATCATGTCTGAAGCATCACGGTATCGATGTTCCTCCCGAGCTTCAAGTTGCACCGGCAACAAATAACCTGTAAAGGAGCCCGTTGACTGTCTATGAATACCTGGAGCTGAATCACTCGTCGGGTGATTATTCACCCAAAGTCTATGCTGAGCTGTTTTTCCAGGCCGGGTCCCATGAAATCTCTTGCCACTGGGGCAAGAAGGTTGCTCATCCAACTATTTACAATCCCACGCTCACATACATTCACTGTTTATCACAGCACGGCACTGATCCTCTATTCCTTCCCCTACTATCCGTAGGGTACAACCATGAGATACTCAGTGCTCATCCGACCTTGTTTTCTCTGGGGTTTCATCCACACATCATAGCAACCATGGCGAATGAAATGAACTGGGAGATTGAGCCAGAGGTTTTACAACCTCCGGTAGGAGGAGTTTGACAAACAAGGCCGGGTGCGCATGGTTAGTGTTCAGGGGTACCGCAATGATCGAGAAGATGAGTGTCAATGTCTCTGCCTTACCAGTTCATGCAGCCCATTTACGTATTTTCTAAAAGGCGCAACGTCTAGGTACGATAGGTCGAGTTCATAAATCAGTTTCGATGAGCATCCTCCATATGCACTTGTGACTTGGCCGAGGACAACCGTCCTGGCATGTGCTTTGCACTTAGCTCGTTATGGCGACCTCAGTCATCATGTAGCGTCTGCAAGGGTATTTCACCTATACAACATTGGGCATTCCTCATACCTGCTGCAGACCACGGTTCTCACGGTTCCCACATGTGTCATATCCGAAGTGCTGGGGTTAGTCTCCAGAAGATATCACCGAAATCACGGAAGAATTAGCTTATGAGCTCTCTTTGCTACAACCACTTCGGCAACAGTTTACGGAGCAGTTGGAAGATATCTCTCAGAAGAACTGGAGTAGACCGGAGGATCGACATGAAGCCTTGATTAGTTTCTGGCGTGATATATATTGCATAGTGATAGAGGAAGTTTTCGAAGAACATTGGACAGGCAAGAATTCTGGGGAGAAGGAGCAGGTGGCAGAGATTACGGGAGGAGAATCCTTTCCAAAAGAAGTTGACTATAAGGAACCTTCCTCTATCACAGCCGCATGGAACCTGTTTCACTCAATCTTGGGAAAATTGTTCATAGATATCGGGTGTCCTCACTGCTCAAGGTTGACTCAAGAAAGAGATGGTTCCTTGGGAGAATTTTGGAAATATCCGAAGGAACCGTGGTGGATTAGAAGATGGCGGCTAGAAAGCAGATGTTCAATTGTGATGGTTTGGTAGCTGAAGCGATTCAGGTGTAGGTACCTCTTGATAGTATCAAGGATGTGTTAATCTCAGCTTTTCTGACATCATACTTGCCACAAAAAACGTAAAGAGAAAAGAAAAGAAGTAGAAGATAAAAGAAATATATATATAAAGAAAAAAAACCCTATGGCTCAAGGATTGCACGGGTAAAGACGCTTCTAGACTTTCTCGTCGACAAAGCTGAACAACGGCCCAACGGGATGTTAAGGGGAAACGGAATGACAGAGGAAGCACAGGAGAGAACATTGATTGATCTTTGATCAAACAGAGAAATCACTAGACCTCATGGTGCCCTGACGTCTGAGAGTCTATCAGGGGACGGAGAAAGAAAAACAACTCTACTCCTATGCATTGCTCATGTCGTCTGGCTTCTTCACTCGACATTCATCACGCACATGAGTCGGAATACTAGGTAGTCTGCTCACAAGCAGACAGTCTGCATTGCAGACTTCAGAGTTTCAAACAAAAAACCAATATAAGTATTCCGTGACACCACAACAAAACTACAAAATCCTAAGCAAGCTAGGTAGGTAAGTGCCCGTAAACCATCCCTCAACCCTCCCCCCCAACCCCCTTTCCCAATAATTACACATCCCCCCCCCATCCTAAATAATTACATTCTCCTCTCCAACCTCACTCTCCCTCCCCCTCCAAACCCCCCTCCAAAACCTCCCTCACCCCAACCAATAACCCAACCGCCTTCTCCTCCAGTCTATTCTCACACCCCTCTCCCCCATCACCAGCCACACCTACCACGCCCCCCGTGGCAACCATCCCCCTCCACTCAACCTCCCTCGGCCCCAACGGCACAAGCCTCTCCCTGAGCACTTTCCGCCCCCGCAACCAGTACTCCACGCACTCGAGAACTTTGGCACCATCCCATGTGACCTCGGGCACATCCCTCGCGTTCTGCGCCCTGCAAGCCGCCAAGACACGGGTGAGCAGCGCGAGGGAATGGATTTCAGAGATCTCTAGGAGGGAAATAAACTTCTGCCTAGGGGGGGTCGACGCGAGGGATAGTGTCGGCCTCGAAAATCCAGGCGGCTCGATCCTCTCGACAGAGGATTGTAGCAGGTTAGGGAACTGGTTGAGCACCCATGCTACCTCAGGTGCGACGGTGCTCCCAAGGGCGGCAAGGATGTTGAGTAACAGTGGCAGGAGACACTTAGCCCAGATGGCATAGCACCTTGCGGCACCAGCGTTTTCCGCAAACGGCCCGACATTAGTCCGCCGCATGTAGCCTGCCAGCCGGGCGGCGGCGAGATGGCCGAGGAGGCCGTCGCAGGCGAGGTGTTCTGCGAGGGCGGGGAGCGCGGAGAGTTCGAGGAGGAAGAGGAGGGCGAGTTCTCCGTAGACGGGGTCGCCTGAGGCAGGGTTTGTGGCGGAGGTAGAGGTAGAAGAAGAAGCAGGAGAAGGGTTAGCGGGGAGGAGACGGTCAGCCCAGGAGAAGAGGGCGACGGCGACCTGGAAGACGTCGTGGGCGGCCATGATGTTGAGGACTTGGACTTGGCACTGTTCGATGCCGGGGACGCTGAGGCAAGCTTGGAGGATGGCCGTGATGAGAGCCAGATCTTCGGGCGCGGTGGTTGTCCCGTCGGTAGCGTTCTGCTGCTGCTCGTGGACCAAGGCAGCCAGAGCCCGGAAGCAACGGGCGACAACACGGTCCAGGATGGTCAGGACCTGCTGGGTGATGGCGACGTTGCTCTCACCTGGCTTGGCGGTGCCCTGCTTCGCGGCACGGAGGACGACGAAGAGGATCTTGAGCAGGGTACGGAAATAGGGCAGGTCGTTTGCTCCGAATGGGTTCTCGACGGCGTGGATGGCCGAGGAGACGAGGGCCAGGAGGTGGGTGACGTCGCGCGGGAGCTGGTTAGCGTCGGCCAGGCGCTGAAGAAGGGTCAGGGCCAGGCCGGCGCGCGCGTGGCCCAGCACGACAAAGATGTTCTCAGGGGGCTGCGAGCGCTGGTTGGCCTCGAGACACTGCTCGACGACTTGGAGGACTTGCCGAGCGAAGGCGGCGTTCTCCTTCTTAGGGAGAAGGGAAAGGGTAAGCTCAAGTAGGAGGTACTCCCAGGCGTGGAACAGGGACTGTAAAATAACAAAAAACCCCCCCCGGGGCGGGTCAGCAGGTATATTCAAAAAGCGAAAAAAAAAACAAAAAAAGCAAAAAAAAAAGCAAAAAAAAACAGGAGAGTAGACTTACCACCTGAGCCTCAACCAACGACAAATTCAAATTTGCCGTCTCCATCTCCTTCCTAAACCCGCTCTGCTTTACCCCTCCCCAGCCAGCATCAAAGCCCAGCATCTGCTCCGCCACTTCAAGAGCATAGTAATACCCTTTACCAAGCTCCCTCGGCAACCACATAGTCCGCTTAAAATCATCCACCTCCACGCCGGGGAATCTCTTCGCGAAATTCCTCGCGAAATTCCCATGCAAGCTGGCGTTATATCCCCAAACCATAACCCCCTCCCTGAGGAAATAATCCAAGTCGGCGACCAACTCCCCCGCAAACTTCTCCGCCTGCCTCATCTGCCGCATATGATACAGCTGCATGGCGAAAGTCTCAGCAACATATGCCGCAATCCTAGCCTGGAACGCCGCCGCAGCAGCGCCGTCCGTCTTCATGACCATCCCCGGAGCCTTCAACCCCCTCACGTAACCCCTCAACGCATCCACCACCTCCTTCTCCTTCCGCACAGCGAAGATGGTCCAAGGCCAATAATTCTGCGCCGATACGACAAAATCCATCACCGCGACGGCTTCCTGGACATCCAGACTCTTCACCTCCCTCAACCTCTCCATCGCAGCGGCCAACACCGATCCCTCCCCAACCTTCCTCTCAATCTTTTGTTCCCCCCCCCCTTTCAGCGCCTCGCGCGGCGTCCTGCCCGTCAACAAACACCCAGCCATCCACTGCTGCCTGTTCCTTATCACCGCCGCAAAGAACCGCCACGTCACCACCGCGTGCTCGACCCTCCCAAACGGCTTGTCAATACCTTCCACAAGCGAAATAAACGACCTCGCCGCGTGCGAACCCAAGTACCCCAGCAAACTAGGCGGCTCGCCCGATCCGTTGGCGGCGCGTCCCGCGACCTCGACCAGCGCACGCAAGAGTTCTAGTACAGGAGCGCGGTACACCGCGTTCGCGGCAGGTAGGCGCGCCAGCAGGCAGGCGGACTGGAAGAGGTGTGTCTGCAGCGGGATGTGAGTTTGGCCCAGGAAGTCGGCGGCCCTGAGTAGAGAGGTACAGAATGCCAGGACGGAGGTAACCCTCTCTGCTAAGATGCGCGACTGGCCGGGGTAGAGCGTTGCGCGGGGGGTGATGAGCGCGACTAGAAGCGTCCCCAAGAGGGGCTGGAAACGCAGGGAGGAGGCCGAGGGGGGCGGGGTGAGGAAGGAGGAGATGATGTGGGCCGCAGCGGGGGAGAGGGTCGATGTTAGGTGGGAAGAGAGGGTGTGGGCGTGGACAACGAGCTTGTGCATGAGCCCAACAACGTCCCTCACTAGAATGCTGCGGTCGAGTTCGGAGCGGAAGCGCCAGGTGGTGGTGCTCTCGTAGACGTCGAGCGCGGCCTGGGCGATGGCGAGGGCGACGCGGGAGAGGATCTTCTCGGACGTGCCGAGCCACGGGTTTTCAACCGCGCTGCGGACGCTGACGAGGGCGGTTGAGCCTGCACGACGCTGGACCGCGCTGCAGGCAGCTGAGTCGATGAGGGCGGCGAAGAGCTTGACCGCGGAAGAGAGCAGGTCGAACCGCTCGGCGTACATGTCCAGACTGCCCGTAATGCGCGACAGCCGGCCAGGGCGTGCGTCGCCGGCTATAAGAGCGCACCGCGACATGTAGGCCCAGACGCGACCAGGGCAGACGGCGAGGGCAGCATGAAGGAACTGTAAGCACGACGCCAGCACAGCAATCTGCGGGCCGTCCAGCTCCAGCAATTCCTTCTCGACCAACCCGTCAATCGTGTCGCTAATAACGGTAAGAATATCCTTGTTATGCGGCAGCAGACGGCTCGCCTCCTTAAGGAACTTGAGCGGTGCCTCCGGGTCGCCGCCCTTGGCCGTGCTCTTGAGACTCTCGGCCCTCAGAACGGTAGCAAGCATGGCGACGGCCTCGGCCTGCTCGTCGACGTCGAGCGGCGCCATGCCGCTGTCGCAGATCTCCTCGGCTGCCTTGACCTCGAGCCGCTTTCCCAGCAGCGCGAGGGCCGAGTGCTCAAACTCAAGACGAGCAGTGCGTCCGACGTCGGTCACGAAGCGGCCCAGCGTGCCCTCGGGGATGATGAAGCGCTCCTCGGCGGCCAGATGACGCGGCCGGGCAGGGGACGCCGAGCCAAACAGGTCGACGTCGCGCGTCAGGCGGAAGGAGTTGGTATTCTCGTCCTCAAAGCACAGCTCGTAGGAACGGTCCCAGGCCGGATTCCAGTCGACGGTCAGCGTCGGCGTACGCCAAAGCCAGCCGGTCACGACATCGGCCTTGTCCTTGTTGGTGATGAGTGCGGCAGCCAGGACGCGGCAGAGCACAGAAAAGGGGTTGAACTCGTAGGGGAAGCGGTTGATAGCTTGCATGGTGAACTGCGTAAAGAGCGTCTCGTCGTCCAGCATGTCAGTGTAGACCTGGTTCAGTGACGAGGCGCTCAGGGCGTCCGTGACGTCCCAGTACTGGCGGCCGGTGGCCAGGATGGCGAGCAGGCTAAACACGGGCTCATCCTGGTAGGGGATGAGGTACGCGCTGCGCTTGAGCAGGTCCTGGAAGACCAGACGGGCGCGGGCACCAACCGCCGGCCGGAAGGCGGCCTCGTGTGTAGTCCCTAAGCACAGGGCCATCTCAGACATGACCTGGTAGACCTGGCCACGGGACGTCGCCAGCATGGCTATCTGCTCGACGGGCGCGATGTCGTTATCGAGCCTCTGCTCGCGCAGGAAGTCGTCGTAGGGCGACGCCTCGAGCGAGACGATGCTGCCAGCCGAGTTGCGACGTCGCCTGTTAGGTGTCGATGCCGAAGGCTGGAACTCGAGCTCGAAGCCGGCCTGCGCGCGCTGGTTAACGAGCAGGTCGCGGCGCTCGGCGCGCTCCTGGTAGCCTAGGTGCATCTGGTGCACGATCAGCGACCAGGCGAACGCCACAGGCAGGGATGCTGCGACGCCGCTGTTGACGGCGTTGGTCACGGCCGTGTGGATCTTGTTGAGGGTTTGTGACGACAGCAGATAGGGCTCCTCGCCGTCGGGGTAGTCGAAGTCGTGCAGGAACTGGATCGTCCTGTCGATGTTGAGCATTTTCAGGCAGATCGCCGACACCAAGCTCCTCGCTGGCATGGCCAGGTCGGCCACGACCTCAAAGCCCAGGATCGACTCAAGGAACAAGCTCGAGTTCATCAGCTCAAACCACTCGCTAAGCAGCTCATGCGGCGCAAAGTAGGGCGTGTCGAGATCAAGAGCCTGGAAGGCGATCGACAGCGAATGGACGGCCTCCGTGATGGCAGTGCGCAGCCAGTCGAGCTCAAAGGCCTCCGTCTTGAACGACTCTCCCAGCTTCGCAGGCAGCGCCTGGGCGCGCGCAATGCAGTCCTCCACCAGGTTCATGTAGGTCGGCGCCATGGTCAACAGTTTGCTGCGGTCGGGCACGTCGAGATCTTCGTCAAACGCGAAGGCATCTTTGAGCAAGGCACGGCGAAGCGAATCGAGGTCCTTATGCTGGCCGGGCGCCGAGTGCAGCAGGAACGTAACCAGCGCATCGACCGCCGCCGTGAACGACCTCCTCTCCGACAGGTAGGTAGCCAAGATGCGCTCGCGACGGCGCGCCTCGGTCTCAAAGTCACACCACATCGTCTCGGCGTCGACAGCGCTAGCAGGATTTAGCAAAGACAGGATAGATGAGGCATGGGCGTCGCCGACACCAGCAGCCTCCTGGATGTTGGCCACATCCTGCGTGCTCAGCGGCAGGACCAGATGGCTGTGGGCGCGCGTCTGGTACTCGATCAGCACGATGCGCAGGGCGGCCACCTGGTTGATGGCCACGGCGTCGGCCAGCCACAGCGCGTCCTTCTTGATGGTGTCGACGCCCGGCGCGACGGTCTGGATGCTCGACGTCTTAGTCTCGAATTCCTGCTTCAGGTCCTTGGGCTCGAATACGCGCGCCGGATGCTTCAGCAGCTCGTGAACGAAGCCGTCGCGCAGAAAGGTCGACAGTGCTGGGCTCGTCAGCCGGGCGAGGTCGGCGTCTTCGAGCGCGCTGGCCACGAGCCGCCACGACAGGATCACTGTCCGGCCCGTCAGGCAGTCCTCGAGGGGCGGCAGGTATGTTCTGTCGGTCAGGGTCGCCATGACATCGTGCGGGAGGAGAAGCGAGGGGAGTGAGGTGGGGGGGGAGAGGTCGAGATGTTGATGTTTTCTTATTTTGTTGTTTGCGTCGTCTTTTTTTTTTTTCGCCTATTTTTTTTTCCCTTATTGTCGTCGTCCGATCGTCAAGGTCGTGCAATTATCGAATCTTGCTGCAAAGCTGAGCTAGTGAGGGGTATTGCAGCTCGTCCCTGCAGCAATTGAATTTTGCGGATTTTTTTTTTTTGTGATGCCGGCGCGTCGACGCGGTGCCGGGCTGACAGCTTGATAGCGATGTTTCGCGATGTTGAATGTCCGACCTCTCTATTCTGTTGCCAGGGAGCCCGCTTTTTTCTGGCTGGTCCCCCCCCCCCCCCTTGGCTCTCTTATCGATAGCTTGGCATTGATAAGAGGACCTGCAACTCCTTATCGATAACAGCTCCTTTGTCAGGTTGTCGATTTATCGATAACAGCTCCGGCCGATCAGCGTCAGCGGACCCTGATCTCGGCCAGTGATGCCCCTCCATTGCCCCTCTGTGGGAGGACAAGTGAGTGCCGAGCGCATCAAAGAGCCTCCGTCTCACTCATAGTCGGCAAGCCATTGCAGGGTCGTCAACGCCGTCTACTCTCTGTAGGTGTGTCATTCCATTCCTGTGTCTCGGAGGACATCGTCCGAATTTTGGTGTATTTTTTTTGGTCCACTTATCGGGTCCCTGGCGCTCCTTATCAGTAATACTTGGGTTAACTCACCTCTACTGACTCATCACAGCCCATCGACGGTGACATCGGGCTCGGCCATCAAGCCTACTGGCCGTCGCGCCTAGGTAGTCAATTGCTATCATCAAGTCTTAAATCGGCTAGCCAGGCTGCTGTTGTGACAGTTTGGGACTACCAACGAGATTGACTGTTCCCCCCGTCACCAACCTCATCGTCGAGCTCCGAACTCGGCATCACCTAACCAGCACTCTCATTAACCTACCAAACCACACACCGAACACTATGGCCGCCCCCCTCGTCGACTACTCTCGCGACGCGAACCCGTCGCCGCTGGTTCCAACAGCGTCGAACCTAATCCTCATCGACAACTACGACTCCTTCACCTGGAACGTCTACCAGTACCTCGTGCTCGAGGGTGCCAAGGTGACCGTCTTCCGCAATGACAAGATCACCCTCGATGAGCTCATCGCCAAGAAGCCGACTCAGCTGGTCATCAGTCCGGGCCCCGGCCACCCGAAAACCGACTCGGGCATCAGCCGCGACGCCATCCGGCACTTCGCCGGCAAGATCCCCATCTTCGGCGTGTGCATGGGCCAGCAATGCATCATTGATCTCTATGGCGGCGATGTGAGCTATGCAGGCGAGATCCTGCACGGCAAGACGTCGCCCTTGACACACGATGGCCGCGGCGTGTATGCCGGCCTAGAGCAGGGCCTGCCGGTGACGCGGTACCACTCGCTGGCCGGCACGCACGTCACGCTGCCCGAGTGTCTCGAGGTGACGTCGTGGATCGCCAAAGAGGATGGCTCGAAGGGCGTGATCATGGGAGTCCGCCACAAGGAGTACACCATCGAGGGCGTCCAGTTCCATCCCGAGAGTATCTTGTCTGCCGAGGGCCGCACCATGCTGCGCAACTTCCTGCACATGCAGGGCGGCACCTGGGCCGAAAACGAGCGTCTGCAGAAGCAGAAAGCCGCTCCTAAACCTGCTCCCTCTGCTGGTAGCGGCTCGAGTAACATCCTCCAGCGTATCTACGCTGCCCGTCGGACCGCTGTCTCCGCTCAAAAACAACTCCCCTCTCAGCGCCCTTCTGACCTGCAAGCCGCCTACCGCCTGGGCCTGGCCCCTCCCCAGATCTCCTTCCCCGACCGCCTGCGCCAGTCGCCCTTCCCGGTGTCGCTCATGGCCGAGATCAAGCGGGCTTCGCCCTCAAAGGGCGTCTTTGCCCTGGATATTGATGCCCCCAGCCAGGCGAGGAAGTATGCCCTGGCCGGTGCGAGTGTCATCTCCGTGCTGACCGAGCCCGAGTGGTTCAAGGGCAGTATTGAGGATCTGAGAGCTGTGCGCCGCGTGCTGGATGGCATGCCGAACCGGCCGGCTGTGTTGCGGAAAGAGTTCGTGTTTGACGAGTACCAGATCTTGGAAGCCCGTCTGGCGGGCGCGGACACCGTGCTGCTGATTGTCAAGATGCTTGAGCCAGAGCTGTTGAAAAGATTATATGACTACTCCCTGTCTCTGGGCATGGAGCCGCTGGTGGAGGTGCAAAACGCGGAGGAAATGACCGTCGCCATCAACCTCGGCGCCAAGGTTATCGGTGTCAACAACCGCAACCTCGAAAACTTTGAGGTCGACCTTGGCACCACAGGCCGCCTGCGCAGCATGGTCCCCGAAGGAACAATCCTTTGCGCCCTGAGCGGGATTAACTCGCACCAAGACGTGCTGGATTGCAAGCACGACGGTGTGAATGCCGTGCTGGTCGGCGAAGCGATCATGCGGGCCCCCGACGCGTCGACCTTCATCCGCGATCTGTGTGCCGGCCCCGAGCAGGACGATGCCCAGCAGAAACAGGAGTCCGCCCCCCCGCTGCTAGTCAAGATCTGTGGTACCCGCTCCGCAGCCGCCGCCACCGAAGCCATCCGCGCCGGCGCAGACCTCGTCGGCATGATCCTCGTGCCCGGCACCAAACGGTGCGTCTCGCATGACACGGCACTGGCCATCTCCGCGGCGGTACACAGCGCTAGGCTCGCTCGCAGCCCACCCGTCGCCCCGAACCCCAGTAGCGAAGGCTCGAAGCAGACGCAGGCTCAAGACTGGTTCACCCACACCGCAGCCACGCTGCGAGAGATGGTCAAAACTAGAGGACCCCTCCTAGTAGGCGTCTTCATGAATCAACCCCTCTCCGACATCCTAACCGCCGTGCGCGTGTACGATCTTGATATTGTCCAACTCCATGGCAATGAGCCGCTTGAATGGGCTCGCCTCATCCCCGTCCCCGTCATCCGTAAGTTTACCCCCTCCAAAGACTCCTCACAAACCGATCTGCTCCGCGTAAGAGGGTACCACGTCCTGCCACTGCTCGACTCGGGCGCTGGATCGGGCAGGTTGCTTGATCTTGATGGGGTCAGACAGGTTCTGCGGGAGGAGGAGGGCGTGCAGATTATGTTGGCGGGGGGGCTGGATGAGGGGAATGTGGCTGAGGTGGTGAGAGGGTTGGGGGAGTTAGGGACGAGGGTTGTGGCTGTGGATGTGAGTAGTGGGGTTGAGGTTGGGGGTGAACAGAGTGTGGAGAGGGTGAGGGAGTTTATTAAGGCTGCTAAGGGGATTAGGTAAAAGGGGCGCGCGCGCGGGGCGGGGGGGGGGGGGGGAAAAAGGAGGGAGAAGAGGAGGGGGAGCAAGAGATAAAATGGCGATGAGGGAGGACGGTTTCTCAGCTATGTACCTGTCTTGAAGGCTCCAATTAAATCTTGGTTGGTCAAACGTGATCTTGTATGGTCGATTGAACTGTAATGATGTACTTGTGTTGGAGATAAGTTGGAGTTAACTCGAGTGTGATATGGGTTATGGACCTCCGGGTTTGTTAGGCCAGCGTTGTTTTTAGTTGTGCTGTGTGATGAGGCCTGGCCGGTGTTACCTCTCACCTGTGTCTAACATTATTTTCCTTCCTTAGTCCCGGGCACTTGGATGTCCAAAACTACTTCTCCCAATCTTTTCATTCCTCACCAAGCCCTTTATGCTTCTGCCAATCTCTCTCCTCTGTTCCTCTTGATTTCTTCCTTATCATCATGATTTCAAATCTTTCAGATCCTCCATTCCGTTTCTCTCCCCAAACACGACAACATCTTTACTCCTATCTCTTTCCTCCCCCCTTTTATCATCATTCCACAGTTTCTCGCTCAGAATACATACACCCATAAATTTTTATCCAACCCTCCATCTCCTCGAAGCACACTCCTCTACTCATCCTTGCGCCAAACGCAATTCAACGAAAGACAACCACCTACCACCACCCACTACCATCTATGACCTTCGACTTCGTAGTAAAATGGCTCCCCAAACCACCCCTGACACCACCGTCCGTCCAAGTTCAATATGCGCTCCCGAAAAGAAAAAACCAAATCTTCCGGTCCCTCACCATCGCCGCCGCCGGCGATTTGCAAGGTGGTGACCAATGGACCGACGCAAACATTGCCCGCTGGGTTGGCCTGCGTGAGGGGAAGTTCACGCGCACTTGGTCGGACGACGTCACACATGTGGTGTGCAGCAGGGAGGTGTTTCGAGCGGCGATGACAACGCCGGTTGGGGGGAAGAAACTCGGTTGTGGGAGGGTGGAGAGGGGGGTTGTTGAGATGGGTAAGTTTTGTTTTTGATGTTTTGGCTTTCCTTTCGTGATTTGGGAAAGGCTCGGGAGAGAGGTAGCTGAGAGGGTTGAGGGGAGATGTAGGAAATGGACTGCTTGAATCGGGTCGGGGCTCGAGGAGGATAGTGTCTTCGAATAGCAGTAGTTCGGTCCAGATCAGCTAAGCTTGGGTTGAGAATGATCTCCTTTGTCCAAGGTTGTCTTACCCCTGATCCCTTGAACTTTTTTCTTGCCCATCACCACAACACCAGCCCACAGGTCCTCTTTCCTACCTCGGAATCTCAACACACGTCATTCACATTAACCATGCCCAACACATGCCCACATATGGTCAAGGTCAGCATCACTTTACATATACCTTCATCCCTTACCCCTGGTATCATATACGCTAACTTCCAGGTTCTCAAAGTTCGCAAAGCCCTCAAGCTACGCCGAAACATCGTTACCCTCGACTGGCTCAAAGACTCCATGCACATGTGCAAGTGCCTGCCCGAAGAGCCATTCTCACACGTAGCGGCAGTCAAGAAGCAACGAGAGAGGGAAAAACGAAGGGCCAGACTCCAAAAAGGCCTGGAGGAGGAAAAGAGGGCTGTTAACACGAGTGAGTTCTCTTTTGCTCTATTTATTTAAGGGGGTTAGTTATAGTTTGACAAGGAGAGAAATGCTGATTGGTGTCTAATGACAGATCTCTATCGTATCTACAGAGACCAGACATTCTTCAGATATGCTGTCGTCATCACAAGGGATGATGAGGAGAATGGTATCGTTGGGGAGAGGTATATTCTCATGGTGAGTGTGCTATCTGTCATCTGTTTTTGGATTATTCATTCCGTCGAGTAGTTTTGATCGTATTATTTCTTCGTCTAAAAGCACGCAATTTTCATTATATTTTATGTCATCTCGAACAAAGTCACGCAGGTTCAATGAAAGTAATACCATAGAAGAGGAGCACATCACAGCTCAGAGTCGAGCGAACCAGAGTGGTATCTCGTTTTGGTGAAAAGAGATCAGGCATGGCGTCTAATTATCATCTTAATGGGCAGTCCGCTCAACCTCGGTTAGGTTAAGTTATTTCACGTCCCGTAATTAACGTCGCCCTCATGACTCATTCACTACTGCCTTTCAGTGTTTGCCCATTCCGTCATGCTGCCTAACATGATCACACTTTTACACTTTCTATGTCAACAATCTTCCTTGACCTTAACCTTCTCATAAAAAGTATATTCTCCAACCCGACGAACTAACCCCTGAATCACAGCTCTTCGAATCGTTAGCCCAACCAAAGCTCTACTGGTTTCTTGCCAAGTACTACAGAAAGAAGGGTGATACGCAAGCAAAGTTCTACCGGCCCAGCCAGTCGCCTGGCATCTTTGAGCGGGGATATGCGCTGTTCAAGCTCTTCTTTTTCAAGAAGACGGGTGTCAACTGGGATGAGCGGTTGATCCAGGAGAAGAAGAGGGGTGAAGAGGGAAATGTTGATGGCGAGGACAACGGCATGGCTGTCGTTGGGAATGCAGATCAAGAAGGGGTCACTGTCAAACCCAAGCAAAGGCGGGTTACGTTTACCTACACCCCTCCGGTACGTTGCCTGTGTTTTTTCTACCTTTTTTTTTTCTGGATGTCATACCACGTTCGCTAACAATATCCCTCACAGACAGGTGGTAAGCCCCTCGGCTGGGTCCCAGCACAGTTTCTCTCTCCTGAAATGCCCAAGCTCGAGCCTGAGCCCAAGCTGGTGTCAAACCTTAATGGCGCAGTTGTGGTTATCTCTAGAGATGATGATGATGATGATGATGATGATAACATCGACGAGAAATATGAACGCGAGCTCAGAGATGTGGATATCACCATGGTCGATGTGGACTGTGCTGGCAAGGGCGGGGAGGGGGAATAGGACTTAGTGACTGAAAGTCCACTGGAGGGGTTAGTCACAGAGTTCTCGGGAGAAGGGGGATTTCACAATGCTTCTAGATCGCTGAACTTGCGAGATCTTGAGGCGTCATAGCGTGGAGTTATTGTGTTCGAGAATTTACGGGAGCAAGAGGCTAATAAACACCTAGGTTGGGCAGAAGGCTGGATTCAAATGAAAAAAAAAAAAAAGGACAGATGCTACAATGGACGCTCTCTATGTCCTGCGTTCTCTCACATCATTATTACTAGTAGCTAGTTTATCCATTCCAAAGCCAACCAACACCCTGATGCAGATATGCACATAGTAATATCATAGTAATATCCTTAACCCACACAACTCCTGCGAGAACTTTGTCCAATACTCAAAAAGCCCACACACCATCCCATCCCCCTCAAAACCTCAACTTAGGCATAACCCCCACAAACAAAATCAACACAATCATCAACCCATATACCATACAATACAACCTCACCCGCCCCCAGAACCCCTCCCCCTCCGTTAACCGTCTCAACGTCCCCATCTTCTGTGTCACGCCATCCATCTTCTCCCCCGTCCGTGCCATCTCCCTCCCCGCGCGCTCAACCACTTCCCTATCCTCCTCAAGTGAGGCGCTGAACGCTTGAGTTTGAGCTTTGAGCTGCGCGGCGAGGGAGAGGATTGACTCGGAGAGAGCGTCCTGCTCGGCGCGGTGGTGGTCGAGGATTGCTTCGGTTGTGGTGGGGATTACTTGAGTTGTGGGGGAGGATGCGCTGGGGAGGAGGGAGGTTGCCGTGGAGGTGGAGGTGGCGGTTGGAGCGGGGGGTGCACCACGAGGACGAAGGGTAGAGGTTGTGGTTGTTGTTGGGGTCGGGGCTGGGGCTGGGGCTTGGGCTGGTGTGGGTGTTACTGTTGGTATTGGGGGTGTCGTCGTGGGGTATGTTGTTGTCATAGCTGGGGATGCTGTTGGCTCTGTCGGGGCGTCCTGCTCGGTCTTTTGGCTCCCCTCGACATCACCATCCCCCTCTTGCCCCTCTTCAGCCTTTTCCTCGCTCGATATGTCGACAACCCCAGCAAGCAAATCCTCTCCTTCTTCACTCTCCTCCCCAGACTCCGTCTCCTTCGCAGCCTCAGCAGCAGCCATCTCCTCCAAATCAGCCAGCCTCTCCTCTACTCTCTCCAATAACTCCTTCTTCTGCGCTAACTCGGCCTGCGGCACACCCCCTCTCGGGCCCGAGACAGGAAGTTTGACCCCGACACCAACACTAACATTCGGAGAGGACGACAGGGAGTCCTGCTCCAGGCGGGTGAGTAGCTCGCGGGCATGCCTCACGTTCTATTCGGAGACAAAAGTTAATACTACTGTCCAAACCTATCTGATGCCTGAGAGAGGCTAGACACTCACCGCGCGAGCCTTGGCCCTCTCAAGCTCACTCCTGCGCAAGCGCTCCTCGCGCACGGTATCGGCATGGAGGATGGTTCGTTGCAGACGGGAAAGTAGCAAAGTCAGATCGGCCAAGGGGTCGGCGTGGCGGATAGCTGCCGCTGGTTGCGCAGGTGCTGTCACGGTTGCTATTAAACGAGTCATTTTTGTGGCGATCTTGTGTTCGGCCGGACTTGGGCGCGCTGGAAAAGATTTCGAGGAGTGAAGTTCGAGGAGCAGAGTGATGGGAGTGACGTTGCGCTTCAGGTTCGCGCGACTTGGCACTTTGTGGTTTAACCCTAACCCTTATTTGACTCGGTGGATGGAAGGGTTATGGCATCAATGGTATAAATACGGGGTCGAAAGAATCTCTCCCACAAAGATAGATTTGTGTTGGCGAACATTTATTGGATTATATATTTTCTTTCTTCTATGAGAGTAACGATGATTGGTACAGGTCCTCGTTCATCGAACCACCAGTCTCAGGTGCATGTGCCACCGTCCGGATTGATAGTGAGGTTAGGCCAGGGTTAGGGTTTTTCACAAAATAAACTTCATCCAGTCCAGATGAAAGTCGATCTTGAAAGTGATAAAAGTGAGCTTCGACCTCAGCGTCCACTCACTCCCAGTGTGAGTGCTGTGCAAGACGACTGCACTGTCTAATACTCAACCGATCTCAGACACTCAGAGCAGATGTTCAGCTGAGACATCCAGCACTTTGGTCCAACATGAGGACGGCATCAAGGGTGCTCAAGAGCGCCCATTCTGCGCGCCAACTTCCAGCCTCTCTCACCCCCAGAAGCTCACTTAGACCATTTAGGTCACTGAGTGGACTCGCGCACTCCTCCAGACCTAGCATAAGACCTTGCACGACTCCAATAGCTCTCACCCTGCCTCGACAACTCCTCTCAACTACCTCCCCTCTACGCAATGAGTCAAAGCCAAAAGAGGAGCTAAAAGACGAGCCAAAGCAAGAAGAGATCGAGCTCGAATATGAGATCGACGAAGACCTCTCAGAACGCAAATGGTCTACTCCCCTAGCCAAGACCATCGCCGAGGCGATCGAGGTACCTCCTTCCCCTCCCTCTCATCCCCCTCAACCCCTCAACTCACGCACTAACCCATCTCCAGGTCACCGGCCCGATCCCCCTCGCCAGCTACATGCGCATGTGCCTGACGGCCGACCTCGGGGGCTACTACACTGGCGCCCTCCCCGCCTCTGAAGCCAACCCCGAGCGCGATCCGTTCGGCGCAGCAGGCGACTTCGTCACGTCTCCCGAGATCTCGCAAGTCTTTGGCGAGCTGTGCGGGGTGTGGTTCGTAGCCGAGTGGATGGCGCAGGGGAGACCTGCTACGGGCGTCGAGCTCATGGAGCTGGGCCCCGGGAGAGGTACGCTGATGGATGATATGCTCAGGACAATGCAGCGGTTTCCGGGGATAGCGAAGGCGCTGGAGAGGGTTTATCTGGTGGAGGCGAGTCCGCAGCTAAGGCAGGCGCAAAAGAGGTTGCTTTGTGGGGATGAGGCAGTACTTGAAGGGTGTGAGGTCGGCTGGAAGAGCAGGAGCAAGTATGGAGGGGTTGAGATTGTTTGGACGGAGAGTATTCGGGCTGTGCCGATGGGTGAGTTCAAGTTGCCTGCCTCTGACATTATCTGTATTACGTGAGAAGCTAACCAACTATGCAGACCCCTCGAAAACGCCCTTTATCATCGCCCACGAGTTTTTCGACGCCTTGCCTATCCACGCCTTTCAGCTTGTCTCCGTTCCAGCATCCTCCGATGCCAAACCCTCCCCCATCATCACTTCAGTTTCTTCCCCAACCCCATCCCCTCCCCAAAACCCCAACCTCCAATGGCGCGAACTCCTCGTCTCCCCAACTCCCCCCGGTTCAACCCACGCTTCTTTGAACACCCCCCTCTCCGAACGCTCCTCCCCCGTCCCTGACTTCCAACTAACCCTCTCGCCCTCTCCCACCAAGCACTCCCTCTACCTCCCGGACTCAACCCCGCGCTACCGCCGCCTCAAATCCCTACCCCCTCAACAAGCCCTCAACGCCACAATCGAAATATGCCCCGACCTGTTCAGCCACACCACCAACATCGCGCACCGAATCGGCGGGCACCCAACACTGAACCCAAAACCCCATCCCAGTGGTGCGGCACTAATCTTGGATTATGGCCCCGGCGACGGCTCCATTCCGACCTCCACGTTGCGAGGCATCCGCCGGCACCGCCGCGTCAGTCCTTTCTCCGAGCCCGGGCTAGTCGACCTCTCCGCGGATGTAGACTTCCAAGCCATCGTCGACACGGCACTGGACGCGAGCGAAGGGGTCGAGGTGCACGGCCCTGTGGAACAGGCTTTCTTTTTGAGGGCGATGGGAATTGCGGAGCGGGCGGGGGAGATTGTGAAGAAGGTTGAGGCGATGGGGGATCAAAAGAAGAAGGGAGATGTGGAGAGGGCGTGGCAGAGGTTAGTAGATAGGGGGCCGGGGGGCATGGGGAGGGTGTATAAGGCGTTGGCGATCGTGCCTGAGGCTGGGGGGAGGAGACGACCTGTAGGATTTGGGGGGGACGTCGTAGTTTAGGGGGAAAAGTGGAAGGAGGGGAAGGGGTTGTGTACTAGTAAATGTGTAATAGTAGGTGTTATAGATTTGACTGGACATAGAGATGTTACGAGCTTGGTGATGCCGTGTCCCTAGAAATGAACCCGTATATTGTACACGGCCGTAACCAGCCAGATTCAAACGTTTCCTCTGTTGTCTGCCTGTTCCCATGTTTGATGAACTCTCTTTTGTCCGGACACACCTAGTCATGTCCCAGATTTTTCAAACCCAAACCCGGTCTATCATCTGGTTCTCGTCCTCAGTTACGCCCCCCCCCCCGGCACCCCACCCAAAACCCAACCAAAGATCAAGATCTCTAGTCATTGTTCGTCCCCCCATACCTACATTCGAGGCAGCACAATCGAATCAAGCCTTATCATGAACCATACCCCTTATTCCATTCCCGGTACCCGGTCCTAATCCTTACCATACGCGCATATCATACACCCATCCTCGAAACCAGATTTTAACGCGACATCTTCTGCTGCATCTCCGCCGTCATGGCCGCGTTCAACTCGGCGAACCTCTCTCCCAGCCGTGCCTGCGTCGTCATACTCTTGATCACGCACCGGCTGATGCACCCCGTCTCGCGGCCCGAAAGGACCTTGGACGTGAAGTCGTCCACACAAGCGTTGAAGCAATTGTCCACTAGGTTGCCGAAGACCTGTTCTTAAGGCATTAGTGATTGTTCTAGAGGAAGGGCAAGAAAGGAAGGATCCCCCCAAGGGGAGGAGGTGAGCAGGGAACAAGAAATCGCGTGGGAGATAGTTGGAAAGAAAGGATGGAGAGGGAAAACATACGGTCATGAACTCCTTAACCTGGCGCTTCTGCAGGCGCTGGTCGAGTTCGCGCTGCTCGGCGGGGGTGAGGCTGGAAGGGTCAGTCAGTCATTTCGATTCTCTCGTCCATGCTTTTATTTTTTTGGAGTGTTGCTGAACATACCCTTCCATTTTGATGCTGAGTTCGAGAGAAAAGGTTTAAGGGGAAGTAAGTATCGGAGTTAAGGTAAACGGAAGTAAAAAACGTAAGAAGTTGACTCCGAGGAAGGTGGTGCTCTTTGCCGGATGTCGTTGGTGAGGCGGTTTCTTATCGGCTCTCCGATAAGAAAATTCATTGTTGACTTGGGCTCGGCTGAGGTAAGGGTTGGTCTGTGCATCGCCATGCCAAACACCCAGGTGGTCAAACCCAGGGTTCGGGCTGGGGTGAGTTAGGGCCACCTTTTGCATGGGCGCCATGCAACGTCGTCAGCGGCAGCGCACGTGACAAAGGGGCAGCGCAACAGCCGGATGCAACTTTGCTTGTTTTCAATATGGGAGTACTCGTTTTTGAGCGGCGATGACGTTACAGAGTTAATTCTAAAATATGAATAAGAGTTTATTGTCATTCGCCTCCTCATCGTTATTCCGTCCGAATCCGAGCTATCCATTTGTCTTCAATTCCATACCCGCCCCCCCACCCCCCAACCCACACCAAAATCACCAGCACTCCATGGACACCGCTAAAAGTTGACTCAGAAAACCACGTGCTAAATGCTCCAATCACACCTCCTTCTCCACGTCTCAAAACCCAGCCCCCAAACGCCACGCTATCACTTTTTGGCACGTTTTTTTCCAAACAGGTTTGACTGTACCAGCCAATTGGGTGTCTTGCCCGTCGGGATGGCTGCTGATGCACGTTTTACTGTCGGGGCTACTGGAGACCTAAAAACCAGGCCTGGGCAAGTCCCCGTGGCCTATGACGTCCGTTTGTTCGCATGGTGGGGGAGGGGGAGATATTGACTATGGAGCTAGCGGGCTGCATGAGAGAAATAAGGTGCGCGAGGCTGATGCTGAGACATAGTGTGGGTGAGTGAGAGGTAATTTGGATGTTGGGCTTGATCTTTTTACTCAACCCTACCTTGCTGACCTCATGGTTAATTACCTGTCTATGTTGCTCTACGAGATGTACTATATGATCCCCGAAACGCTTCGACCGTCAACCTTGCGGCATCTGCTTCCATAATCCCATTTCGTGGCCGCCTTGGCGACCCGATCGTCTGCGGCTGCCGGTGAAGCGGCGTTGGAGCCCCTGTGGTGGAGTCCCGTGCCATGCCGGGGCCGGGCGCCTAAGGGTCGCAACTTGGGTCAGCGTTCGTCCGAGGAGAAAATCCAATGTAGGAGCTATGGACATGAATATGGCTCGATACTCACAGCAGGGACGTAGCTGAGTGTGAGATGACTAGGAAGGCAGCTGTTCGCGGGGACCCATGGAGGCAAATCTTAGATAAATCAGCTGCACGTCCTCTCCTGATGACGGCTCGCGAGACGAGGTGGCGCATTGGAGAGAGGGTCGTCAAAAACCATAAAAAGCTGCGAGGCAGAAGAGAAACGAAATAAAAGACCGCCACACATCCCATCACTTGCAGGTCATATGCTATAATTGGATCGTCCAATCCGGTGTGGCTTGCGATGGGTTTGTGGTTGGTTGGTCTCCGGGCATTATGGCGACGCCCAAGGCGAGGAGAGATGCCTTTTTGTTTTCGTCTTTGTCTGTCCAGCCGATATTGAGTGCCCTAGAGATAGTTTTGTCTACTGCTGATTTTGCGGAATACATTATATAGGCTTCAATAATCCGAGTAATGAGTATGACGAGGCACCTTACGTCATGAGTGTAGCTCACAATCGACTTTGGGATTGGGTTGAGGGAAATAAGCGCCAGCATAACGGCCTTTGCGCTGCAGCCCACTGCAGTGCTAGCACGAAGTCAATTAACAGATGGAAGCCCGAGTTTCTGGGTCCGATCTTTTATCTTGAGACAAAACTTTTAGCTCACAGCCAGATGCAGGGTCTTGCTAGCTGCATTTGCTGGCTGCCGGAAGCTGGAGAAAAAGTGAAATCTCCGTCCCAATACAATGATGCTCGCCTTGTAAAAAAAAAAAAAAAAAGGGTACTGTGCGAGGCCTAGGGCTGACAGCTCAACACTGTGTGGGTTCGGCATTCGACGTTGGATTCAACGGTCGCTGATCACAGACGGAACGCAGTCAGCAGCGGGAGCTACACCACGCAAGGGATCAAAAATTAGATCCAAGAATCTATTTGGGCATCGTGCTATCGAGCGCAATCTGATAAAGGAACAGGTTGCAGGTCGCACAAGGCAGAACAGAGGCCCGTGATTACCCGGTCCAAGCCAGCAGGTCGAGCTGTCATCCGCCACTGTCCCCTGCTACTGGACCCTAAACTCGGGCACTGTGCCGCCAGGAACCGACTGTCGATGCAACATAGCCAAGCGCCGGCCAGGACGGCGATGAGGTCTCTATAGAAACAATTGAATGATGCAGATCATGTCGACAACATTGCTGCTAGACACGCGTCGCGGCCTGAATGACAGAGAAATACTGTCGCAGGGGGTCAGATGACGCTCGATCCCCCAAGACCCTGGGGCCGCTTCACCGAAGAAGCCGCACGGTTCCCAGGTACATGCACAGTGCGTGTGTGCACGTGACACTGTTACCACGCTTGGGTCAGACCCCTGGCGAGCCCGTCGGGCCCCAGTTCCCCGGGCTTTTGAGGAAGGCAGCCCCAGGGCCAGCACCTGCCGCCAGTCCCACGTCCCCTCCTTCTGAGTGCTCATGCTGTTGCTGCCGTTGCCCGCGAGTAAGGAGAGCGCCTGCCCGCACTGAAACTGGAACGCAGCTGGTGCCAGTGGAAGTGGACTGCATTTTGAATTGAATTTCATTTCCATTTCCCTTTTCTTTTTGTACTCCATTTTATTTGTCCCTAGCCACAAACCACGACGCGATTTTTCTCCCGCATACCAAAATCAACCTGCCGCAACACCTCGCCGCCCTGAGGTGCCATCTTGCCTCGACTGCTCGCTACCGTTCCATCCCCTGCCGTCTTTCCATCCGCTCGCTCAGAATTATCCGAATTCCGACAGCGCGCCAGCCAACGAAGCTCCATTCCGTCTCAACTCGATTTCGACTTTTGACCGACTTTCTTGATACCTTTCCTCCGATCCCACGAATCCACTCTACCTCTGCCAAAGTCGTCATCGCCGGGAACGCCCGGCTCGCGTCGCTGAACCCATCAATCGATCGTTTTTGCTGCCAGCTGCTCGACGACGACACGATCTCTCGTTCTAAGCGCACCACCGCCGGCTCCCCCCCCCCCTTCCCTCCTTTCGCTGGAGGCTCTAACCGTCGGCGTGCATGCCTCGGCCCTCGACCTGACCGCCCGACCTGGCGAACATATCCTACACTGCCCGAGCGCAGTGACCGCCCCCCTCCCCCCTTCTCAAGGCGCGTTGTCCGTCGTTGCCGTTGTTCGCGCTGCCTCCAACACCATGACGTCCACGCCCGCTGCTGCTTCGGCGACTGCTGCCACCCAGGCGCAGTCGAGCCAGCACCAGCAGCACCAACAACACCCAGCCCAGCAGAACCAGCAGCCCCGGCGGGCCGCCGACCCCGGCCCGTCGCAATTGCAGTCGGCCGTGTCCCCGCCATCCAAGCGGGACCTCAAGTCGTGGTGGAAAAGCTTCAAGCTGCCGACGAAGCAGCAGGAGTCGCAGGGTATGCTCTCCCGGCCCTCCTCTCGTCCCAAGCTCCGGGGTCGTGGTCGTGTGGGCGGCGGTGTCTGGCGGATGCCACGCCGGATGAGACGCTTCCCCACGCTGCGTCGTCGCAAGTCGGCCAGGCCCGGCTTCTTTGACCCCAAGTTGCCTTTTCCCGCGCGCCAGAGCAAGTGCCCTGGCTAAGAGACGCGCGCTTTCAGGCAAGTGCTTGTGCGCGGCTAGATGTTTATATATACTGCCATCTATTGCGATGGATATTATTTCTTGATGTGCTTCTTACGGTCCATGTCTTAACACTGCGCTTAGAACGTCCTCCCGGCATCTTTGGCGTCCCCCTGCGTGAGAGCATCACCTATGCCAACGTGGCGATCTCGCTCCTCGACGAGGACGGAAAGAGCTACATCTACGGCTACGTGCCTATCGTCGTCGCCAAGTGCGGCCTGTTCCTCAAGGAAAATGGTAAGTCACCCGACCAAGCTGTTCCTTCGCAGCTAACCTCTCCAGCCACCGAGGTCGAGGGCATCTTCCGTCTGAATGGGTCCGAAAAGCGCATCAAGGAGCTCAAGAACGCCTTCGACTCGCCCGATAGATATGGCAAGGGCCTGGTTTGGGATGGCTACACTGTACACGACGCAGCCAACGTGCTGCGCCGCTACATTAACGACCTCCCCGAGCCCGTCGTCCCGCTCGACCTTTACGAGAAGTTCCGCGAGCCGCTCAAGGGTTTCACGCGCCTGGGCACCGCCGAAGGCGAAGGTCCCCACTTCGTGGAAGGTTTCGACATGGACGCGGCCATCCGCCGCTACCAGCAGCTCATCGCCGAGCTGCCGCCGTTGAACCGCCAGCTACTTCTCTACATCCTGGACCTGCTGGCCGTCTTTGCCGCCAAGTCCGACCAGAACCGCATGACCTCGCAGAATTTAGCTGCCATCTTCCAACCCGGCATGTTGTCACACCCTGCTCACGCCATGATGCCCGACGAGTACCGCCTGAATCAGTGCGTCATTATCTTCCTCATCGAGAATCAGGACCACTTCCTCATGAGCGGCAACCCAAGCGGGGATAAACCCCTGGAGACACCCCCAACCCCTGAGTTAACCTCGGAAGCTTCGCGATCTGCGCCCAATGTTAGCGCTACCGCTGATACTGCGACTATCAAGGCTGGGTCATTACGTCGAAACAAGTCGACCTCATCGCGCCACTCCTACTCCAACTGCCCGAGTCCTAGCACTCCAACACGTACGTCGACTGGTGGTCTATCTCGCAGCAATACCCTCCCACCAAAACGATCCCCATCTCTCGGCTCGTCCCGCAAATTCACCCCCAAAACCGGTGCCCCTCCTAGCCCTGGCACCCCCGTAAACGTCTGCCCGCCGACCCCAGTTGCTGCCCCGCCTACCGTCCAAGAAGAACCCGCGCTCCCTGCCCCTCCCCCCACATTACCCGCAGCGCAACCTACCAACAAGAGCCAAGAAAGGCTCGATGTGCCGGAGGCCAGCACGCCGGCTAAGGAACGGAAGCTGCCTATCCTCTTCCAGCGCATGTCGTCCAACGAGAGCGAAGGCCGCCAGCCAAACAAGCTCAGGAAGAAGCGGCTGCCCGGGAGCGCGAACCCGAGCGCCCAGAGCTCGACCGCCTCTTTGCCTCACTCAGCCGCCGTCTCCCCCAACTCAGAACTTTCCAATCCCCTTGAGTCGATCTCCTCTAGAGCCGAGCACGAGGCAACCCCGCGCGCCCACCCCCCTGCTAACGAGGTGCCTAGCACGCAGCCAAGCAGCAGCGCGCCCAGTGCAAAGCCGAGCACAGCTGATCTGAACTCGAGCACGAACCTGAGCGCCACCGAGCCGAGCACCACACACGTCAGCGCGGTGAACCAGGAGAAGAGCAAAAAGTCCCCGTCGGCATCGATCAATGGCTCGTCAGCGGAAAATACCTCTGACCTCGACCAAGTCGATGACCTCGCCTCCAAGAATACGACTACTGAGCCAGCTGCTCCGGAGACCCCAGGACAGAATGGAGCTGAAAAAGAGAAAGAGAGGAAGCGCCGGTGGAGACTGTCCCGTAAGAAGGATGATGCAGCTGTGCCGCCGGGTCCGTCTCCCCCTCGTACTGGGAGTGGCACTGGAGGCAATTTACACGCCGACGTGAGCTCTTTATCTGTCGTCAGCAGCACTGCGCAGAGTCACCAGGGCCATAGGCCCAGGGCGAGTATGAGCCTGGGAGATTCTTCGGAACGTGAGAATATGGCTGGGCTGGTGGAGGTGTCGAGTGGCGAGTCTGCTAAGGATGGCGCAGTAGGAGAAAAGGGAGGGAGTAGATTGTCGAGTTGGATTAAGAATAAGTATCGCGAGCATAAGGGGGGGGTTGTGGAGGGGAGGAGGAATAAGAGTCCTCCTGCTCCGGCTCCGGCTGGAATTCCGTTACCGGGCAGGAGGGGGAAGAGTTTGGATTTGAAGAGGGAGGAGCAACAGATTGCGGGACTGATTCAGCCGGCTGAGGGTAAGGTCCCGGCTGCTGTGGCGGCTCCTGCTCCGGCTCCCGCTCCGGCTCCTGCTCCGGCTCCAGTACCGGTCCAGGCTCCCGCTCAGGTTCCCGCTCCTGCTCAAGTTCAAGTTCAGGCTCAACCCCAACCCCCGGCTACGGTCCCAGCGGCTGCTTCAGCTCATGCGTCAGCCCCAGCTCAGGCTCCGAGTCAAGCTCAGAATTCGAAGACCAAGTCCTGATGAGACGGCTACCCACTGAATGAAGGGAAGAAAAGGAAAATGGATGAAATGGTTGGATGATCGGATGGGATGGATGACATGTGATGACTACTACTAATTACCCTTGTTGTTTACCATTGTTTTCTTTCTTTTGTTGTTGGGGTCATCCCTCTTCTTCCCCTCGATTGATGAACGCCACACTTCCCTGGATATGACGAAACGAAATGAAACACTACATGACATGAAATGGAACCTCGGGTTACGGAATGATTTTCTTTTCTCTTTTGGGACGTTGTCACTACACTTGAACCTACCAATTTTTTTTTTTTTCACCTACCCTTGTAACACACTTTACGCCAGGCAAGGCGATGTCTGGGTGAAAATACCCCACCAAGGCTGAACCATCTTGGCTAGGTAAACTCTCTTGAACACGACTTCTTTTGAGAACTCCGGGTGCGATAGCAGGTCTGGGTAGGTGCTGACAAGCACCAGGGATGCGGACGGGACGTGCATTGGAGAGGCAGACTGGCCTGTCGGAGTATGAATTGGTGGTGGAAGGATGCTCATTGCAGCAGACGTCTGCCCCTTCTCGATCTACAAATGATGTGGTGGCTAGCTGTCTGCATGGGCAAGGCGGATGGATGGATGGGATAATATTATCCTGTACTCTTGTTGGGTTATTATGTTTGTGAGGATTTTGTGTTTATTTTTAAGCTTCTTCTTTGCAGCTTCTTTTTTAAACTTCTGGGATGGGACTTGATCTGAACCTGAGGGGAGTTTACTTCTTTTTTTTTTAATTTTCTCCCTCCTCTCAGCAAACTTTTTGTACTTGTTCTTTTTCTTTTTCTTAAAGTCATGATGGAAATGATGATGGATTTTGTTTTTTTGGCAATCTTCCTCTGGTTGGTTGACCATGATTTTCGTTTCTACTTAGGGGTTTTGTTTTACCCACTCCCTCACTCCCTTCCTGCTAGCTCGCTCTTTTTTTCGGGGGGGGAGGGGGGTTTAGAACTCTCCCTACTGACCCTTCTTATCATTACACACCATAACTTACCTGTAGTTAGTTGCCTTTGCTTTTGGGCAGGACGGATGATTGACTCCTGGGCAACAATTGTTCAAAAGCAAGCTCTGATGCCTCAGGATCAATGAATGAAGGGAAGGGATCCTGGAACAGATATATCATTCATGGAACGTAGTGTTTTTACGTTGGGGCTGGTCAGGTGCTTGTGCGAGTGTCTCTGTCTTCCAAGGACTTCTTATGAACGGGTAGGGAAGGAAAGGAAAACGGAGGGGTTGGTCACCGGTGGCTGCGTTTTGATGTTTGATAGGTATTAATTATTTTTTTTTTTTGAGTTTTTCTAGGCAGGGTAGGGTAATTGTAGTAATCGTCTTTAGTCCATAATCCATTCTCCGAACAATTCGATTGTTGTCGGCGAATAGCCTGGAAACCATAAAACAGCAAGTGGTTTGAACTTGTAACTGGCAAATGATGTCATCCCAGTGATCAATGATGAGGTGATCGGTGTTGTCCCGTGGCTTTAATGAAGGGTTCAAAACCGATGGTCAGGGATGAAATTCGACAGTCTGGGATGAACGTCCAGAACTCCAACCATTAAATTTGAATTTTGAACCACCTCTTTCCATTAATCGCATTTTGAAGACTTAAGCCTCATGTCCTCTGTTCCCGCAAAAAAAAAAAAAAAAAAAAAAAAACTACGCTTTCATCCCACCGATCTGCATCTCTCGGGATTGTCTTCACGAAACCCCTTCAATGACGCCCGCCACATCAGCCTCACCGCCCCACTTGACCGTTCAGCCACGCCGCCACGTGCGGCTGAGCAAAAAGCTTAGCTTGACTTCGAGGCTCCACATCGATGGGATCCACTGATAACGGTGTGGGAGAAAGGGGAGTTCATCTGTCGATCTTTTTGCTTGGACGGGTTGGGGTTGAAGTGTAAGAGCTTTCTTGGTTGGGGCTTATCTCTTGGGTGCCAATGTACATTCGGCCGTAGACTCCTCAAAAGAAGGATGAAGGATGCTAAATACATATGAGGGGAGTTACACTCAAAAGTTAAGATGAAGTTTTCCCGAGATCAGACTCAGCAAGGAGAGCTAGTTCCCCCCTGAGGATTGACTTTCAAAGTCCGAGCCAACATCCGGGCGGTCCCGCTAAGGACAGGCCCGGCCCGAATAAGAACCCTTTTCGTAGGTTGTCAGCCTTTTTCATCATCATCGTCAGCCACCGGCACTCCAGTCGACTTTCTCCGATTTGACCCACCGGCGATAAGACCCCAGAGCGTAACCAACTTTATCCCCAATCATTCCCCAACTTTCTGGAGTCTGGGACCAGACCAAACACAGTTCAGGCCTAGCCCATAGAAAATTTCTCGAAGCTTTTCGCCCGAAAACAGTGTCCCCCCGGCCGCGGCAGATGAATGCGGCAACTGCCCGCAAGCAGGAGCAAGATGCATGTGCCGTAACCAACGCTACTGACTAGGTGCGTACAGAGTGTAACGCGGTCTGTTGCTCCTGAGAGGATCAACCCCGATCTTTACCCGAGCTAGGCTGGTAGAGCTGGTGTTGGAGTAAGTTGAGGTCCGATCTTCGGATAGGCGTGGGGATATATATTGGTGATGCTACGGGACCTAGGTTGAGGTTTACTTCCGGGGAAGATGCCTTGTAAGCTTGGATCAAATCCTAGATGATGGACGAGGCAGCATGGGCATGACATGTGTCACAGCAACAACAACAACCACAGCGGTCTTGCCGTACCGTCACACCAACCGCTGACCCATATCCAGAGGCCCGATCGTTCCGACGAGAATGAAGGTCTTATGTGACAAGTCCACGAGGAATCTCGACTGGAGCTTCGAAGGCAGAGAGAAGTCGGCCGTTTTTTTCTTCCTCAGCTCAAGACCCACCAACCCCGCGGTGTCAATCCCCTTCTGTACTGTAGCTCCGGAGTTATTGTTTAGCGAGGACCTCGGACGTTGAAATAACCAACAGGCTGTTTCTGACTGGGGACAGGAGAAATACTAGAAGTGCCGGCCGGGGGGTCAGCTGGGGAATCGCTTGTCTAGGTAGATTGTGGGCTTTGGAGAAGGTAGTACCGTAGTACCGAGGACGAAGTTTGAGCTGTCACAAGCCTGACGTTGGTGGTTGTGACTGTGACTCGTCGGAAGAGAAAGGGTAGCCGGTCTGAGTGCTCACAAGGTATTGTGAGAGAAGTAGCTGTATCGTCTTACTCCCAAGTCCAAGTGGAAGCTTAGGTATCAATCGAATACGTATCCGGATGGGGCTTCATAGGGGATCACTCTCAACCGTTTGCTGTCATAAGCAACAAGCCCAACTCACGACTCGAGCACTAAGCAGAAGCTACAACAGTAGTAACCGGTCCGGACCTATTCACAAGATTGAAACCCCGTGTTCGACGGATGTGGACTTTCCCACTCGTCACATCCCCCGGAGCGGGATCGCCTAGCGCCAACCTCCACGAGCCACGAGCTACCCCATGTCTCACCGTCCCACCCAACCCCATTTTGCACAACGGGCCTGGCTACGGAGCAGCTGGCTGTTGGGTTGAACCAGTCAATCTTTGCTGCATACGGTAAGTCACATCCGAGCCGGCGGCGTCAAAGCTCAGGTTAGCCGCCGAGGTGCACTTATATTCCCGGCGGTGCGGATGCGGAGAGTGCCGGGGGGGGGAGGGGGGGGGGAAGCCGAGGCGTTGAAGGGCGGTTGGCCGAAGACGGAGGGACGTTGGCGGCCGGGGTTTGTATAATAGTATGAGAAACGTGTGTGTGTAACACTTATAGGTTTGGCTCGATGGTTGCTGATTGCGAGGCGACTAGGATCTGAGTGACGTCTGTGCTGAGGACTGTCTGTGCCTCTCACCTCACGTCTTCCTTCCTTTCACTCATCCACGGAGTGTCGTCAAGCTGATTGTAATGAACCCCTGACAATAGCAGCAACAACAACAACAACAACAAACATGTCAATCCGCTCCGAACGGGAAAAACACTGTACGTCCATGCCCCTTCATCCAGGTAACCTAACATCTAACCTCATCCCCAGCCTCCGACGAGGAATCCCCCTCCCCTTCTCCCCCCTCGCTCCCCATCTTACCCCCCAACACCTCCGACCGCCTCCTAACCCTCCGTATCGACACCCACATCCTCCCCTTCGTCATAACCCTCTACCTCCTGGCCTTTCTCGACCGTGTCAACATCGCCAACGCGCGAGCCTTCGGCCTCGAGTCCGACCTCCACATGACCGGCCGCTACGACTACAACACCGCGTTGACCATCTTCTTCATCCCCTACATCCTGTTCGAGGTGCCCTCCAATATCCTCCTGAAAAAACTCAGTCCGAGGGTGTGGTTGAGTGCATGTTGCATCGGCTTTGGTGTCGTGACCGTGTGTCAGGGGTTTTGTAGGAACTTTGGCGGACTGCTGGCGGCGAGGTTTTTCCTCGGGGTGTGTGAGTGCGTCATGTTTCCCGGGTGTTTTTATGTGATTGGGTCGTGGTACCGGAGGGGGGAGGCTCAGAAGCGGTTTTCGCTGTTTTTTTGCTCGACCAGCTTGGCGGGGGCTTTTGGGGGCCTGTTGGCGAGCGCCATTGGAAAGATGGATGGAGTGGGAGGGTATAAGGGGTGGAGGTGGATTTTTATTATCGAGGGCGCGGTGACGGTGTTGGTTGGGGCGTTGTTTTTGTTTACGTTCCCTGGGTTTCCGGAGCAGGCGGTTTGTTCCCCTTTTCTTCTCCCGTCTTGATATTGAGATGATGACTTGGAACTGACGATTCCCAGAAATGGCTCTCCCCATCAGAACTCTCCTACCTCCAAGCGAAACTCGCCCTCGACCAAGGCCCCTCTGCTGCCGAAAAACGCATCACCCCTCGAGACGTTCTCCGCGTCCTAACCGACTACAAGGTCTGGCTTGGCGGCCTCATGTACCTAGGCCTCATCGTACCCGCCTACTCCTATGCCTTCTTCGCCCCGACCATCATCCAAGCGTACAACTCGTCCAGCGCAATCGAGACACAACTGCGATCTGTCCCGCCCTGGGCATGCGCGTTTGGACTGGCGATGATTGTAGCCATCGCGTCGGACAAGGCGAGGCACCGGTTCGCCTTTACCGTGACGCCCATTTTGTTGAGCGTAGCCGGGTTTGGGGTGCTGTTCAGTGTGTTTGACAAGCTGGATGTGCAGTATGCGGCGTTGTTTTTGATTTGCATGGGGACGTACGCGGCTATGCCGGTGATTGTGTGCTGGTTTAATATGAATTTGGGTGGGCATCATAGACGCGCGGTGGGGAGTGCCTGGCAAGTTGGTGAGTATCTGCTTACCCTTGAAACAGATTTTCCGGCCCTTTTCTTACCCTCTCATCCCCCCTCATCTTCCGCCCCTCGCCCCTTTGACCCTAAGCATATATTGCCCCTGATACTGACACCACCCCAGCCTTCGGCAATATCGGCGGCATCATCTCAACCTACTCCTTCCTCAAAGAGGACGCTCCACGTTTCACCAAGGGCTACGCGATATGCGTGGGCTTCATCTCGCTGAGCGTGGTGTCGTGTGTGGCCTACGAGTTGGCCGTGGCGTGGGAGAACCGCAAGAAAGAAAAGATCCTCCGGGAGGGAGAACTCAACCTGACGGAGGAGGAGAAGACGGCTTTGGGGGTAAGTGTTTTACCTCAGAAATCCTGAATCCTGGAAAGAGGTGAACGTCTTACTGACAATGCGTAGGATCTGAGTCCGGAGTTCAAGTATATGCTTTAGCTATTCCACAGTTCGGTTGGTTGCATTATCCTAGTTATGATGTGGCTATGAGATGCATGGTGGTTGAAAGTGATACTGGTCATTGGATGGGAAAAGGACAGAAAATATAGAGGAGCAGGATAGAGCAATGCGCAAATAACCATCAAAGTGGACATAGCCCTCGAGTGGCTAGCTTAATAACTCTTAGTTCGCTTCACTGAACGGCCCATGAATTGTGGATATTGGAGCAGTTTCTGAGGACAGCATCCATCTATCCAACGAAGCCGCTCTGCCCCCTCATTTAATAGTTCTGCGACTAGGATCATGCTGACCCTGAACCCTGCTGCCAGGCCGGTGAACGGTCTTTATACTCCCTGATCATGATCGAATATTGCCCTATGACGCGTCCTGTCAAGTCCGTGGGAGCAAGCTATATCCTAGGACTAACTTTGCTTGCAAAAGCAAAGCCACTCCTGGGGTCAGGTTCCGACAAAAGAATATCTATAAGTCGGGGGGGAGTACAATCCTTCCCGGTAAGCAACGAGGTTTAAAGAACGAGTCAGGTCTCTGCTTCCAAGAGCAACCGGCGTATCCCATTCGCTTTCACAAGATATATAGACCAGGTTTCCGGAGAGGGTTGGTAGTAGCCCCAATAGCGTAACGGTATGCGGGCAGCTTGCTTGGTTTCTCGGTTTCTCCTTGGGACTTTTCCTCCGCGGGTCACGGGGCGAGAGTGACAAGAACATGCTCATGTCCACGGAGTTGATCGCGAGTGTGAGTCAAGGTCCGTTCAATCAGGTGTAGCAGGCATTCGGAATCAGCTATCGAAGCTGCTTTTAATGCCTCTCGGGCCTCTGACTGGATGCTTGACGAGAAGCTCCAAGACAAGGCCATATGGACCATGCTCTTAGGCACCTGCATGGGCAATTGGCTGAGTACCGACAGAAGCGCCAACGATTCACTTAGAGCATCCCAGATTGTTGCATGCTGGATGTGTTATGTACGCCAGAACTTGCCAGCTGCATTCTGTTCCACTGTTTCTCTCTACTCTGCACCTTTATTTTTGATCGTACTCTCCTGTGAAGGGTCGGACATCCTGGACATAGTCGCCTTATCAGCCACTCTATGAGCACTAGAGACTTGGTTGTACTTTTCAGAGCTGATGTGCTGGAGATGGACCAGTGATCTAAGGGGAGAGGGGGAGGAGAAACCGGGCAATGCATTTGCGCACTGCCAGGTCTCCAGAGCCGCCAAGTTCTAAAGAAGAAGAAGGCTTTTGGGTGGGCGTTTGTCTCATTTCTCGCGTGCTCCTGTTTGAGTGTTGGCTGATCCAGCTTTCTCACAAGCCTAGACTGCCACAAGCTTTGGCGGCCGGAAGCTCCTTTATCGATGGTCTCCTGCCTCGACTCAAATGGGTAGAGGATCGAAACGAGGTCCTCAACCACGATTAAAGGCATGGTAATCTCTAGTTCATCGAGAGGGGTTAGCGTATCCTCATCAACCTGTTATCTGAGATCGCAAATGTCCGTATGCAGGGAACCGGTGAGAGAGTCTACGCATTTTGACAGAGTTCTGATGCATGTTGGGCTGGCCAAAGACAGATTGGCATGAAAGGTGATGAGGGGGTGAATATCAAAAAATGTCAACGAAAAGTGATTGGAGGGGATGATGACGGTACGGCAGAAGCATTTTTAAACCCCGAAGGACATCTTACCTACTCTCGAAACTGAGAGAAGACTGAGCGACCTGAGGATGGATTTCGGCAGAAGATGCGACCCTTTTAAACTGAGATAGATGCCTGGGGCAAAAGTCATCATCATATGTCTTGCAACGGACGGATGGCATGGACCATGATTTCTTCAAAAATCCGACAGTGATGGGCAGAGAAGCGGCTCCATGTTTAACGCAACGTATGACTAATTATGAAGTCAGTTATGCCTACTTCTCTCAAATTCTTCTTAGAACTTCCCACAATCAGAAGTGACTTTAGGCAGAAGCTAACCTATATAATGTTAACAGAAGTTGCGTCGTCGTCGTCGTCGTCGTCGTCGTCGTCGTCGTCGTCGTCGTCGTCATCGCCGTTGTTGTTGTTGTTGTTGTTGTTGTTGGTGGTGGTGGTGGTGGTGGTGGAAGAGGCAGGCGATGAGGAATTTGAAAAAAACAATGGACTCTTTGCAGGCCTGGGTAAATGCAGAGATGGAGTGAGTGATAAGTACAAGTATACATTAATCAAGTTATATACCTATAACTTCATTAGAACACAAGTCCGTTTCTTTCTTTTTGTTTTTTTTTTTTCCCTCCCAAGATAGATCAATAGATGCACCCATCATCATTACAACTCCTCCTTCTCCCGCCTCTCTTCTATTTTTTCCTCCAGCGGCTTAGCCGACCCCTTATAAACCCCTGTATCCCACACCACCAACCTCCCTCTCCTCCTCCAGTCCTCGTTAAATAACCCATTAAACCCGCTCCACACTCTCGTTAGCCTGACTCCCATCTGTTTTCCCTCACCATTTTCACTCTCAAAAAACTCTCTCAATACAGGCTCAATCCCCTCAAATCCAACGATATACCTTGGCATCTCCCCGTCGCGTTTCCCACTCCCGTCTTGCGCCAAGGGAAAAAGCTCGTTAGCGAGGAATGTTAACCCGTAGGAGTTATTCCTCTTCGGATCCCTCAAATAAAACCGATCTGCCTCGTCCAAATACGTCTCCCTCTCCACGCTCCCCGGTTTGGTATGCAACGGCGGCTCGCAGGTAAGTGCCCTCGCCCGGAGGGCGGGATAAACTAAATGTGAGCGCCATGGGGTGCTATGGCAGGGAGTGAGAAATAGAGCAAACAACTCATGTCCTTCTTCCAGGCTGAGGGGCGTCTCGGGAGAGAGCAGATCCGTCCCCAGCCAAAGCGACTCGGGATGAATCCTCTCGAAATCAGCGCGCAGAAATTGCAGGACCGACAGAGGGGCGGCTTGGTGGAAGACACTGAGGTAGGTTCCGAGTAAAAAGTTGATAGTAAGGAGGTTGGCAAGTGTGAGTTTGCGGCGGAGAACAACAGGTCCATTGGATGTGGAGGAGTTTGACTCGGGGGTGGTGAAGAATGCTGCGACGTAGGGAGCGGAGAGGATGTGCAGTATGGGGAGCAGGGGGTAGATGAAGCGGACTTCTTTGTGAGAGATCAGGGACATGATGGCTACGACTACGACAACCGTTGTCGCTAGCGTCTTGAGAACAGCTGATTTACAGCTATTATCGGGAGGGAAGAGAGCCTTCACGACTCCGACCAGGGCGAGCGGGAGAAAGGTTGTCATGAGGAGCGGGATGCCCTGGCTGAGGTAGTAGTGCCACGGCATGTGCCCGTAGAAGACGGCCAGCGACTGCGAGATGTTGAAGTACAGCCACTTATACGGCGGAAACGTCCAGAAGCCGAAATACAGCCTGTCAGAGAGCACCGAGAGAGCGAGAACAGCGCCACCGCAAAGGAGAATCTCCCTGAACAGAACAACCAGCGTTGAGACCGGGACCTCCCGTCGCGACCTCACAAGCCTTGCGAGCGTCATCCCAAGGATAACAACCCAAACCAGGATATTCGTCGGCCTCAACACAACTGCCAACGCCGCCAACACAAGCGAAATCCTCAAACTCTTTACCCTCTCTCCGACCAATAGCAACTCCCCATCCCCATCCCCATCCCCATCCCTATCCCCCTCACCCTTGAGCATCTCCCAAGGCCAATACGACACCCCCGCCACAGTCAATCCCATCTCCATCGAATTGCTAAACGTCCTTGTCGACACGTACCAGCCCCACGGGCTCACCACACTCAACCACAGCGCCGCCCACGGCGCGTTACTCCCCCTCCCGTACAAATCCATGCCCAGCTTCCACGTGAAAAAAGTCCCCTACCGCCGCAACCACGCTCTGCACCGCCCCCGGCAGCGCCGTCAAGATCAGCGCCCTAAACGGGGGGTACAGCTGCAGAAACCCCATCACCCCGTCCACTCCTCGATAAAACGCCGCGATGAGGGCCGGGTATAAGGAGGAGCGGAGTTGGTATGTCCATTCCCAGGTTAGCCAAGCCGAAGAGTCGGAGAAGGCGAGATGCCAGGCGGGTTCCAGGGACTGGAAGTATTCGTCCGGTTGGAAGAAGGTGCGGGTGAGGAGGGCGTTGAGGAAGCGGAAGAGGAGGAGGAGGGAGAGGACGTCGTGGGTTTGGGCGAGGGTAACTTGCGGGTGGGGGGTTCCTGGGGGAAGAGGGGTTATTCGTCGAGTGGGCCGTTCATTTCTGGTTTTAGGGTTGATGATGTCTTTGGAGCTGGGGTTGGGCTCCATCTTTGTCGGTGTTGATGGGTAGTGAGCTTGAAGCTCGAGCTGATGAAGCTCGATAATAGTGAGCTCGACACGTGAGATGATGAGCTTCCAGCTGTCACCAACCCGCCAGCTGTCAACACTGGCGCCAACCAGCCGGGACCCACTGAGCAACCCAGATCGCCACAGAACGTAATAGTAAACTCCCTGATTGGCATAATCCCAGCCCTACGTCACCAACAACCAATCATTCTTCAGTCGGAGCTGTACCCCCTGTACGACTCACCAAGAAGGAGAAAGGGTATTTGTGCACGTATCAACCAACCAACCAACCAACTACAGCCAAGACCACAAACGCGGGGAACACGAGGCGGCGGGAAGCGGGCTGCGCGGGTTGTGACCAGACAGCAGCAAACTTGCGGCGACGGCAATCCACGGGATTCCCATGCGACCCGGCGTTCGAATGGATTGGGCACGTCCGGGGCCGGGGATAAGCGAGCAGGCAGGGTAGAGAAGGGAGGAGAAGAAGATAGGAATAGAGATACTGTGAGATTGGAAGGAAGATAGGAAAGGAAGCTTCGGGATCATGGACACCAACTTAAAGCAAAACCATCCACTGCTTTTTCACGTTAAGCACCATTTCTTGTTGGATAATGAGCACAATCGGAGGAGCAGCGCTGGCACAATCGGAGCGGCACAGCCTTTGCTGGTGGTCGGGATGCTGGAGAAGCGGATGCGGCGTCCGCTTACACCTGCACTTAGGGGTATGGTGGCGTTTCACGGGATTCCACTCTTTTACGGAGCACAGCTGCGGCTGGCAAGGGAAGCGATCAAGAGGAGAACAAGGATATGAAAAACAATCAAGGCCGGATGATCGGGGGTCGGGGCGAGGGTTATAAAGTGGCAATGCCCGCCACTTGTGGAAGGGGAGAAGAGGGGGAAGAGGTAGTATAGAGCTGCTGAGTTCTTCTTGAGATTCCAAAAGTCAATTAAAACATCAGATTGAGTTGCAGTCGCTCGAAGACAGACAGCACCTTTATCATTTATCAGATAAGAACGTCACTCTTGCATCGATAACTCGGTCTCCTTTTATCGCTGATTGCCCCACCCATACATCATCGGGTACCTTTACGGACACTAACGTCACCGGCTCACTTATACTTTAGCCCTCTCCCACTGACTCCTTAACAAATAGCGATCGTCTCAAAACATACCAATCTAAAAATTATTCCAAACATTAAGATCTTTTTTTTTTTTTTCGCTACCAAAATGGCCCCCCACGCCGAAGAATCTACCCGTCCTCACCCTGTCCCCCAGCAAAAACAAGACCGCTATCACTCCCCCTCGACCACTACCGCCATCACCTCCGAAAACACCCACGCCGCCCACAACTATCACCCTCTCCCCATCGTCTTCTCCCGCGCCCAAGGCGTTCACGTCTGGGACCCCGAAGGCCGCCAATACCTCGACTTTCTCTCGGCCTACTCCGCCGTGAACCAAGGCCACTGCCACCCGGCCCTCGTGCAAGCCCTGAGCGAACAAGCCTCCCGTCTGACGTTGAGTTCTCGTGCGTTCCACAACGATGTCTTCCCCGTCTGGGCCGAAAAGGTGACGAAGCTGTTTGGGTATGACATGGTACTGCCGATGAACACGGGCGCAGAGGCGGTCGAGACGGCGGTCAAGGTGGCGAGGAAATGGGCGTATAAGGTGAAGGGAGTGCCGCAGGGGAAGGCGATGGTGTGGAGCGTGGAGGGGTGTTTTCACGGGCGGACGATGACGGCCGTGTCGCTGTCGGTGGACCCGGAGAGCAGGGAGAATTATGGACCTTATTTGCCGGGTGTGGGGGCGGTTAACCCGAAAACTGGCAAGCCTATAAGGTATAATATGGTCGAGGATATCGAGGAGGTGCTAAACGAATTCGGGAAGGAGACCGCCGCGGTGTTGGTTGAGCCAATTCAGGGTGAAGCCGGCGTAGTGGTACCCGATGAGGATTACCTTGCCAAAGTGCATGCTCTGTGCAAGAAGCATAATGTCCTGTTGATTTGTGATGAGATTCAGACGGGGATTGCGAGGACGGGGAGGATGTTGTGCTCGGAGTGGTCGGGGATCAGGCCGGATATGGTTACGCTGGGGAAGGCCATCTCCGGTGGGATGTATCCTGTGAGCTGTGTGCTTGCGGACAAGCACATTCTGGGGGTTGTTGAGCCTGGTACGCATGGGTCTACGTATGGTGGAAATCCGCTGGGGTGTGCGGTGTCAATTCGCGCGTTGGAGCTTGTTATTGAGGAGGGGATGGTTGAGAAAGCGGAGAGGTTGGGACGGGTGTTTAGGGAGGGGATTGAGGCGATTAAGAGCCCGATTGTGCAGTGTGTGAGGGGGAAGGGGTTGTTGAATGCGGTTGTGATCGATGAGAGCAAGACGGAAGGCAGGACGGCGTGGGATCTGTGCTTACTGCTGAAGGAGAAGGGTGTGCTGGTGAGTACTGAACAGGGATTCTTGCGGTGTAGGGGAATGCTAACGATGGAGTGACAGGCTAAACCCACGCACGGCAACATCATCCGCTTTGCCCCTCCGCTGGTCATCACCGAGGAGCAGCTGCGCTGGGCCCTTGAGAAAATTGCTGAGGCCCTGAAGGAACTGCCGACTGCCCCGAAGAGCGAGGATCATTGAACTGGGTACTAACTAGCCCGAGGATCTATCTCGATGTATTATGATTCTTTTGATAGGATGCTTTTCGTTTGGTTATGTCAATTTGATACCACATTTCTTTCGGAGATGCATTAAGGGAGATCTGAACGGGGTCAATTGTTGGAGAAGCCGGGGCGTGCGGCTCGCATGGGTAGTCCGGAGTTAACAGACTGTTCTGGGTTTGGTCCGGGGGTTCTGAGGCCTGGGGCATTCATGGCTGACCTAGACGTTCTGTTCTCTCATCTTTTGATATGTTGAAGGTTTCAGGTCGGATATCTGAATCAGTAAACAGGAGGATCTCATAAATGAGAGGATTCTAAAGGTTTGATGAAAATTTGCTGTCTCAGTAGGATATATGATAACAACAGATTACCATAAACATTGAAGAATACTTCCGGTCAGCAGTACATTTAGATTTGACAGTAACCATGCGAAGTGATCGACCAAACAGACCATTCAATACGATGATGGTCCTGTTAGCTACCCGGCTCCTAAAGGTTGAGCGAAAGCTCGGGCACCTATTCTCGTTACCCGGATATATATATATATATATATATATATATACCTCGGCAAGATGACACTTAAACAAGATCAGTGGATTGCTCTTCGCTACCATTGAAGGAACACCATACGGGTTTTAACACAAACCTTAGATCAATTCCCCCTCCCCCCCAAAGATATAAATAGGTAGGATATCCCATCTCCACTTTATGCTCTTCACGCCAAATCTCCATCCAACTCACTTCAACAACTGCTCGATTTAACCTAGCGCGCAATCACAACATTCACTTGCCTTAGGCGCAATGAAACTCGGAGGCATGGAAGTAAGCCTCTGCATATAACGTGCGCAGTTCAATCGAAAAGTTAAAAGAGTCGAGAGCGATAATTGAGAGGAGAAAAAAAAAACGAGCCACAACCCGTCCAGCCCAACCCATCCAGCCCAGCCCAGCCCAACCCAACCCAACCCAGCCAAACTCAAACCTGACCTCAACCCCTTGAAGCCATTCAGTTAAGTACCTAGTAGTATCAATGAAGTGAGCTAACTACGTACGTATGTATCTACGTAACCCCGTAGAAGTTGTTTAAAAAACAACTGAGTGAAGAAGACGGCCCGCCCAACTCCGATTCCGACTTTCCGACTTATCGACACCCACCCATCCGCCCAGCAATGTGCTAAACCTCGAAGAACCGAAAACAACAAAAAAAACAAAAACGAAAATACCTTGATGAAGAACCCCCTAAGCAATGTGAGGTGATGTGTGCGCGAGCTACCGGTTACGTCCCAAGAACGCCATTGCAGACCCGCAAACTGCAAACCGCAAAGCCAGCCGAATGTAAACCCTTCTTCACCTATCGCCCATGTGCAGAAAGACAACAACAACAAAAGAGCAATCCAGAGCCAGCCTCCAGCAGATGCCAACCTAATCCCTCAGTCAACCTAATGAAGAGACAAGGGCGTATAAGTCCTACTCCCGGCGGCCTTGAGAAAACTCGAACTCAAACCCAGTCCCGACCGAATGAACACCCAACCATGCAAATTTCCCAAGCCTAACCTAATGGAAATCACGGGCTCGAGCCGGCTCCGCCCGAATTCAGTCTCTGTCCCAAAAATAAAACAAATAAAAAAAAAAAGAAGAGAGAGAGAGAGGGAGGGAGGGAGGGGAAGGGGGGGGGGGAAAAGAGACATAACAAAGAAAGCTAGACACATCTTCTGTGCGTCTAGGTGGGTAAGACTCCCCTGTCAAGCAGGAAAGGCTCTCTGCCCGGAGCAACTACGGACGGTGAGAGAGGAGGAGGAGAGGGAACAATCATCGGAAGTGAGCTCCCCTAGCAGGCGCAATACTCCATGTGAAGCACTGACCTACAATGGGGACAACACCCCCTCCTCTCCCAACCGCCTACCCTCTCTGATGATCTCATAACCGACGAGTATTAGGTAGTTCAGGTCAGGGTACGTCAGAAAGGACAAGAGCAGATGGAGGGGAGGACAAGACTAAGGTCCTTCTCAAACAGAAGGCATCCCGCTCCTCGACCCCTCACCACTCCTCCTATGCCCCATAACCATACCTCCCTGCCCGGGACTCTGTCCTAGCCCCTGACCTTGCTGCGACTGCTGCTGCTGCTGCTGCGCGCGCGACGCATTCGCAATAGCCGCCATGCGCTTCCGCAGGCTAGTCAGGCGGGTATTGATCATCTGGATCACTGTTCTCAAGCGTTTAGCATAATCTCATCCTCAACCGTATGGGGAGGGAGACTTACTCTTCTGCACCGTAGCGCGATCCTCCACGCTCATAACCCCATTCCCCATCCCGCCCCCATTAGCCCCCGTCTCCTCTTCCTTCCCCTTATCCTTCCCCTCCCCCTTCTTCCCACCACCAAGCGGCCCAACCCCCTGCTCATCATCACTCTCCAGCACCGCCTCAAGCATCCTAATCGCCGTAACATACGAGATCTCGCACCCCGGCAAATCCTCGCTCGCAATCTCGTTGATCGCCGCAGTCCGGCTCATCTCAACCGCCCGATCATACATCAACTTCTCAGCACTCATCCCAGGACTCAAGTAAACCCCGCTGCTGCCGGAAGCCGCCCCCGAGTGCGAGCCGGTCTCCGGCGGGTGGTTACTCGGATGACTCGGGTGCTCCTCCGGCAGTCTCTTCTGCGCATCGATCAGCTTCAACCTGACAACCTCGGCCTTCTCCAACACTTCATTAAACCGATTCCGGATCCATTGCACCGCGGCGTTGATCTTCTTCGCAAACTTATCAGCCGCCCCATTCCCGTTCCCATTCGTAGCCTCGACAGCAGCCCTCTGCTGATGCTTGGTCCACCACGCGCCCGCGATATGCATCGCCTTGTTCATGATGCTCAGCGCCTTGACGTACAGCACCAGGGCCTCCTCGCTGAGGGCGACGATTGCTTCGGGGGTCAGGCCATCCTCTTCTTCGCCCATCCGGTCGGCGGGGACACCGCCCAGGCCGTGGTCGCTTGATGGGGCCATCGGGACAAGCTGCTTGTACTTTACCTCGGCAAAGCCGTAGACCACATCGCTGCGGGTAGCGTACTCCTCGATGCACTGCGCGACACGGGCGTCTTCATCGATAATGACCTTCCCAGCAGAGGCAATCCCCGAGCCCGAGCCATTGGCCGACCCATCGGCGATCAACCCCGCAGGCGTAGCATACGCAGTAGGGAAGGGGTTATAGATCTGCGGCGGCGGGGAATGGCCACTCCTACCGCCGCCCAGCAAGCTGGGCGTGTACTTAATCCCAAACAAGCGCAGGCTCGCGTCCTGGATGGCCTTGGAGATCATGGAGGTAGCCCCTCCCGGACTCGAGGATAAGCTCTTCTCGTAGGACGCGCGACGCGAGTGATCGGTGCGAGTGGATTCCCTAGTGGAAGCAGAACGAGCGACAGCGCCGGAGGTCGAGGCTGGAGCGTTGCGCTGGGACGAACGGCGGATGAGCTGGCCCGATTTCGGGGATGATGAGACCTGCTGCTGCTGTTGTTGGAGGACTTGCTGGTTCTTGTACATCGAGATCTGGTCCGCGAGGGCGTTAACCTCGACGGCGATCTTGTCCACGAAGATGTAATCACGCTCGAACGCAATGTCTTGGGCGACCCTCTCCTCCTCCGTGAGCGTCTTGGATGATGAGCTCTTCTTCTTGGGCTCCTCGACCGGGGTCGATGGGGACTGAGCCATGCGCGATGTCGGACGAGAGGTGTTGGAGTAGCGCCTTGTGCGATCAACGTAGGCGATCGGCCGGGTGCCCGGCGCCGAGGTCGACGGCTGGATGGCGGCCCGCCGGGTAGCGTCCGGAGCGTCCTGACGCGGCGAATAGCTCAGACGAGGGCTGTCCAGGGACGACGGCTTAGGCTCGACGGGTGTCGTCAACGGCGAAGCATGACGATGCCGGGGCGAACCGGGGGGTTGTGTTACCTCCGCATCAACGAGAGACTGACGCCGGCGCAACAACGGGTCCTCAGGCTTAGGCGTGCTGGATTTCGGCTCAACGGGAGCCTGCGCCTGCTGTAATTGGGCACGAGCCTGCTCTTGAAGCTGGATATCCTCCTCAACGACGCCCGGAATCGGGCCCACGACGACAGGATGGTTAAAGAAATCGTCGAAGTCAATCCGCTCGTCCGGATTCCGCTTCAGCAGCGCACGGATGAGTTGCTTCATCTCGGAGCTAACAACACAGTCCCGCGAGAACTTGATGCAGTCCTCGGCCTGCTCGATCTTTCGGATCAGCTCGACATGGTTGCTCGCACGGAAGGGCGGCTTGCCCGTGACCATCTCGAACAGAACTGTCCCGACCGACCACAGGTCAGCACGGGCATCGTACCGCTCGTAGCGCAGAATCTCGGGTGCCATGTACAACGGCGAGCCGCACAGGGTCTCCGCGAGTGAAGTAGACGGCAGGACCCTGGCAAACCCGAAATCGGCAAGCTTCAGCATGGGCAGCGACGGCAGGCCGGCCGCCGGAGTTAGGGAGTCGTGGCTGGCGCTGAGGATCTGCTTGGCCAGCTTGTTCGTCTCGCGCCACCGCGGGGACGGCAACAGAAGCAGGTTCTGCGGCTTGACATCGCGATGGATCAGATTAGCGGCCCGAAGGAACTTCAGAGCGCTGGCCAGCTGCTGTAGGAAGTGGCGGCTGACCACCTCATGCAGGCCCGAGTTGGGCGACACTGGGTACTTGCGGGCGAGCTCATGGGTAGCCGAGTTGGTGATGAGCTTATCGCGCTTGCGGATGAACAGCGAGAGGTCGCCCAGCTCGCAATACTCCATAATCAGGTTGATATGTGTGGCCGACTCGACGCAGTCATGCAGGGCAACGATGTGCGGATGTCGCAGCTTCTTGAGGATCTTAATCTCACCATAGAGATTGTCCTTGAGCTTCTTGTTCAGACGGGCCAGCTCGACCGACTTGATGGCCACCAGAGCGCCCGTCACCTTATGACGGCCCGAGTAGACCTGAGCGAAGCTGCCTTTGCCGATCTCCTTATCGATGATGAACTGCCCGACGACATTGTCCTCGCCGTGCCTCGATGACGATGACCTCTTGGAGGTCGCGGCTGTGCGGTCCGCCATGGCTCCCCGGGGCGTCAGGGGGGGAGCTGGCCGGAAGGGGGTATTCGTGGCCCGAAGGCTCAATCTATGCGGAAGACGTCGCGAGGGGACCAGATCGGCATGTACACGGGCTCAGAGGGACGAGAGGAGAGAGGCCGACGGTACGGCTATCAACCTAGACGCTGCAGATGGGATCGTCGAGCACGCAAGGAGGCCTGCCAAACCGAAGATGGCTCGCTAAGGTGAGCTAGGTCAGCTGCTATGGACCAGGATGGCTTGTGTCTGGCGATATCAAAGCCCGGGGTGTTTGAACAAGACAGGGTCGGCGCTTGGGCTTCAGGCAAAGGTAAGGTTGGGCTGCAGCGATATACGGTGTTTCGCAGAAAGCAGGGCAACTTGATGAAAGCAGTGTTTGTTTGTTTGTTTGTTTGTTTCGCAGAAGTTTATTCTGTTTCGTAGGGATGCAACAGAGATGTCCGCACGGGAAGCGGCTGCACGTGTGGCTGTCTCGGCAGCACGGTTGGTGATAAGGCTCGAGAGTTGGAGTAGTTGGAGTACCTAGTTGAGCTTCGTGAGGAGAGGAGTAGAAGATGTAAATGTTCAGGCACCAGTGGCTATCTAAGGCTGTCTTCGTATGTATATGCTCCCGCAACAGCGGATCAGATATGCAGGCACTTGAGGCTGTCTCAGGCTGATAGACGCGCCCGTTGAGCTCCACACGTCCTCTGCTGGTGAATGAATGTGGCAGGATGCTGATATGCAGGTGCTCGCTGAGATTCCGCTGCTGGGTGACGTCCAAGGTCAACCGGATGACTCAGGCGGGCCGCCGTAGAGCACACACACCTAGCTGTCGTAGCTGCTGTGACGGGATGCTGTTTGCAGACACTAGAGTCTCTTATGACCCTGTGTACGTGATGCCAGGTTCGAAGGAGGAAGAGCACGGAGGGCGGATGGAAGAGAGTTGAAGCCGGATGGACTGGGGATCGGAGACCGAACACAGGACACTAGGCTGGAGCAGATGCGAGTGATGTGGATGCCCCGACGCCGTGCGGGTGATGCGGGTGGACTGGACAGCGGTCAGTGGACGCTGGGCAGTGATAGAAGAGCGAAACAGTGGAAGAGTCCACGACATGGATGCTGGAACAGCGCTGGACCAGTGGATAAGGATGCCGTCGCCCAGCCCAGTGGCCACACTGGATGGAGCCCTGCGTTGAAGCCCGCGAGGCACGCCCAAGCTCACAGCGCTCCCCGCGACACCCTCTCCCCCCCTCCCCCAAGTAGGCTTGTTCCCTGTATTTTACTGCTACGAGCAATGCGCTCTCTGCATGCTGTGGAGCATCTCGTTGTCCTCATTGCTGACAGCAAGCAAGCAGCCAGGCACTGTCTCACAGCCATCACTGATGGATGCCCAAAACCCAGAACAGGACAACAACAGACTAGCACGCGGGGAAACGTGCAAACAGCACGGCCAGCACAGTGCGAGTATTCAGGGACGTTATGAGCTCGTGACGCACACGACGGGCCCTGGGTAACCCCTTGTACCTTCTGTGCTTTCCCCTGGCGGAAACGACCAATGGGGTACGCCTTGCTGTTAGCCATCTTTACTGAAACGGCTCCACTGGGCTAGCACAACGGTATTGATGGGGCCTGGAGTCCATCACTCTTCGATGACTTGGCAGTCTCCGGCTGCGACCTGGACGTTTGGTGCGATAAGGCACCGATAGCACCACACCACCAAAACGAGGACACAACGGCAGCCATCATTTGCCGCTCTTTTTTTTTTTTTTCTTTGCGTGGTTCCCATGGTATGATGGGTGCTAACTGGGAGTTTTGTCAAGATGCTGCGTAAACAAAGTCTCTACGTGTAACCCGCTGTTCCGGCTGATCCCGGCTGCTCTCAAGGCCCCTGGAGCCTCTACCAGGTTCTCTCTGCCCGTCATGCACCATGCACCTGCTGCTGGCGCCCTGGCTCTGGCGCTCACCCGCTCCCAGTCAGTGCAGCCTGCGCGGATTCACTCTCCGACAACTCTTCATTCGCCAGAGCCAGCAACACCCGGTCAGCCTGGGATCCACTGTTTTGGGGAGATGCAGCAGATCGAGGCTGGCGAGTGTCGTACACAGATGCGTCCATGAGCCAGTGTGGCAGCAGCCCGGGTAGCGGGATGAGATGTCATTGTTTGCCTCACAAAAAGTGAAGACTCGGGGCCGGAACACAGCAATAAAAAAAAGCATTTCGAGAAGCATTCATCAATAGAGAGGGTTTCAGAGCGCCAGTCCATTCCAAAGAAGCCGGGGAAGAAAGAAAGCAGTAATGCCAACATCACCTTGACGTTCCGTCCACGGGACGCTGTCACATGGCCATGATACATGTACCTTAGCTAACAGTTTCTGCATCTCCCCATCACCGCAACTCGCCCTGCAATGCCCTGCAGCTCTCTACTTGCCATCACACGTTTTCTGGAACTTCTTTCATTTTGCATGTTTTCATTCCCCTCAACGCCCAAAAAAAAAAAAAAAGAGGAAAAAAACCTAACCCTCCGCGGTGTGGCCGAGGACCTTTCCAAGCGACCCCGTTAGCCTGTCCCAACCCTCTCAGCCAGCAAGGTTCCCGGTCCCTGTCTTATCGCGTCATCCATCCGTCCAAGCATCAGCTTTGATCTTATCAAGCCGATCTGGACCTGGCCAAAAGTCGGATATCTCTCTCGTCCATTCCCCAACCCAACCCTCCATCTCATCATTCCATCAGCTAGGGAGCTTCTCGTATCAAATCCTCCAGCCCTCCGTCCTCCCAACGGATAAAAATGATGAGACCGTCCACAAGCCAGACCAGGCCAGGCCAGCCGGCCATCCAAATGGACCCCTCCCCGGCCCTGTCACGGCGCCCTAACAGTGTCTGCCAGTGAACACGACTGTGAACGTATGCCATGGCTTCAACTCAAGCTGTCCTTTCTGGCTCTGACCATCCGACCTGCTGCTTCTGGCCTGGCCTGACGGACGCTCAAAAATCCCAGCCCCTAGGAAACTCTCCCTCACAAGAAAAGCCAGGATCATCTGCCCGTGCACCGAGCGATCGCAGCGAATCGGGATGTCGCGCCCAGGCAGCCACGTCGTCCGGCTAGGCTGGCCACGACCGCCTTTGCTTTCTTTTCTCCGGACGCCGTTCTCCTTCTACCATTGGCTGCGGCCCTGCATACCACGGGTGCCGGATCCGAGCGTCACAGCCTGCGTAGGATGATGCCATCTCTTTTTGAGCGGCACTTGTCAGCATTATCTCCGAGTTCCCTGAATGTAAACAATGGAGTTCAATGTTTTCGAGGGATGATGCCTCTTCAACAGTTCCCTTCACGACAGCTCAACGTGCTTGCAACTGGCAGCAGCAGGGAACACACACACACACACACACACACACACACACACAGTCGACACACACAGAGGTGGTGACACCTACCCCCACTGACGGACCAATGCCCACGGACTATGAACCAACCGGCTTCCAACGCCATCGCACGGCAGGCAATGTCCATTTTTGTCGATCACTTTCCCCGGGGTTGTGAGACAATTGTCCTCGTGTCTGTTCGACGTACCTGTCTGTAAACTGTATTGTACAGAGACAGGATTGAAGACATTGTTGCTATCTGAGCACGGGAGCTCAGACATCTAGAGAGAGAGAGAGAGAGAGAGAGAGAGAGAGAGAGAGGAGGGGTAGGGGGTCGTACGTAG